GTTTTTATTTGACAGCGTGGTTTATGAATTCACGATGTGCGCCATTATACTGAAATTGCCAAGCGGGACAATCTTGAGTGAATGTGAAAAACAACCTCTGGAATGTGTTGTTAAACGTTTTCTTTGGAAACATTCACTCAGACTAACAAATGTATAGATTTGTTTAATTCATTCTAAGGGTAACATTGATATGTGTGGTGCCTTGTCGGGCCCTACGCATATATGAGCTTTTAGTATAGGATACGTAGGCGTGTTGTTAGGGTACACGTTGTTCGCATTAGTTTCAGAGACCTTGGTTGATGTAGCCAATATCCATTGCCTACTAATAGAAAGAAACGCAACCACAGTGTGGTGGGATTTCAGAGTAGTATTAACCAAGAGCCCTGAGGCTCTGAACGAAATATTTCATGATTTCATGTTCGTTGACATCAAAACAAAAAAAACATGTGATGCTCTTTACACGTTTTGGCTTTCCAGCTTGCCGTGGTGATGGAGCGACCCACGAGTTTACACTTCTGCGTGCATGATTAAGATTAATAAGGAGAGTTATGCATGAAATTAAGTTATTACCATCATTATTATAATGAATATGACAACCATGCTGAATGCAGCCAATAACTATTTAATTTATACAGCAAAAAAACATGTAATATTGGCATGTGATTTCACTCAGATGTACGTATGTATGTTGAACTTATTTCGCACCGTATGTAGCCAACCGTGCTCATCGGAGGTGCGGGGAAAAGACAACACAACTAAACACAAAAAGCAGTTCTAAAGAAACAAAAATGGTACCTCACTTGTAAAAAATAAAAATAAACACCATACGTTTCAATACACTTGACAAATACTGTACTCCTTAAAAAGGCGCTGGCCAACAATCTCAGATTTTGTAGGCTTGGCATATGAGGTTGCCAAGAGATGGCAGAACAGCAAAGGATTCCTAAACCTGTTTTTGTGGAGATTGGAGTGTTACTCCCTTGTATGCGTGTTTTTTTCTGCGTGTACTCTGTTACTTCAAATATGCTCAACCCTTCTGCATGGGATTGGCCAAACATTCTAATGCAAGACTCTCCCTGGAAAAGAGGCTTTAAACTCAGTGAGGCTTTTCTGAGTAAATAAAGGCCATTTATTTGTTATTAACCCAAAAGCAAAACCCTTCCGGAAGGGAATATTGACACTCATTAAGCCGTTCTTAGGCACATAAATGACATCAATATGCCTTTTTAAAGCCGCATCGAAGATAGCGGTCCGATGAAGTGTATCTACACGCAAAGAGGCACTCGTGCAGAGGACGAAGGGCCTATAGGTAATGGCTCTCGGGCTAAAAACAAGCAGAACCTCTTCGCAGTCCTTGTGAGCCGCTGGACGGGAACGGCGCTCGCCATTGTGCACGGGGACATTCCTGTGGCGGCTCTGCTCGCCCGCGACGCTTCTCTCGTTGCCGAGGAGCCACGGGCTTGCTCTCTTTACATGCGGCGACTGTAATGTGGGGAGCGGTGGCGCAGCGGTCAGCACACTTTGCTACATACCTGGCGACCTCATTTCGATACCCGGCCTTTTCCAATATTTTAAAAGGAGTCGACTGTTACCTATTGCTGCACAGCCCTGGAGTGAGAATCATTAGATCCCCTAGTTACACACTCACATTAAACTTACAGGGAGCAGTAGCACAGCATTGTAATTTAGTAAATTCACTGCTCCAGCATGGCCCATTTATAACATCAGCATTGATTAAGCAAGCATGACTCAGCTGATGAGATACCGAATGTCGAAACATATCCAGTGTTTGCTTGTGTTAAACCAATACTGATGTAGAACATAACTCCTAGAATGGATTGTGGGATATACATATATGTTTACGTAGAGAGACGATATTAATGCTGCATATGTCCACTATTCTCTGTTGTAGGTGTTAGGTTGAGTAGTTGGATGCTTGCAAACAGTGCCTTCATTTTCACAAAAATACTCTTCTTTTTTCCGTTACGTGTTCAAGTAAATACACAATGATACGTTTATTTCCTTTGAACTGTAAAACAATTACCTTGCCTGCTGCAGATGATGACCCCTATAATATTGGCAACTACGTCAGTGCAATGTCACTTGACTTCCATATAGGATAACCTTTATTGTTCATATTTGTAGTAAGCAGAGCGTGGTTGTCTGGTGGATAGCGGGGACTCGGGGTCATCCGCAGAGGCGCGAGACGCTGCAGGAACGAACCGGCGAGGAGCGGGTGCCAGAACTGGCCTCGCCTGGAACACGGGGCTCTCTCATGCAGTGCATCACCGCCCGATGTCGCTCTCACTCCACCTTGTGGTCAGTCTCAAGCCGGTCACATGGCTCGTCTCAGTCGAACGATGGCGAGTTTAGAGTTCGTTGTAGAGGTGCGCGGTTGAATGCCGCATCGGCCCTGAATATTGACCATAAACACCGCGTCGTCTGCTTTCACAGTGGATCCTTCAAATTCGTCTTACATTATTCGAAAAGGAATGGGGCGCGTGTGTCTGCGTCATAGGCCAAACTTGCCTTCCACTTTGTGGCTCCAGGTCTTGAAGGCACCAAAGCCCACCTTGGCTTTTCCGTCCAAAATCGAGTGACGTCATTTATGGACGGCCCCTTACGCTTGCATTGAGAAACTGGAATTCGCCGGCAGTTAATTCATCATCAGTGCTTCCTCCCCCATGCAACTCCCCAGAAAAAGTTGTCTGGTGGATGCCCAGCATTGATGCATTGTAATCAAACGTATTCTCTATTTTCAACGATCAGTTAGCACATCTGTACGCATTATCACCAGAGACTTGAAATCCCAAGGCGGACTTTGTTGCCTCCTCGAATTGCAGTCAAATGTCCCCGATGTCACCGACATTTCCATGGCAATGACAATCATATTGCTGTCTGGTCACCCAGAATAAATAATCGGTGACTGCCAGTGCCCATTGCAGAATGCAATTACTAGATAGTGATTATCTTGGTGAATATCTCAACATATTCGACGATTCTTATTATTGTCGGTGATGCAGAGGTGGATTGAATGTGGTTGGAAATGTTGACAAGACTCACAGTTCAAGTTCAATGCATTTTAACCGGGCAGCAACTCCCCTTGAGATGCCCTCCGAGAAAGCTGTATTACGTTACAGTATTTATTTAACAATACTGTACACAATACAACCAATTCCTGCTACCCCGTCAAATGCTTAACAAAGTATGCATCTAAACAATAATTTGCTCAGATGAGTATTTAAGTACATTTTTATTTTTTCCTTTTGCAAAAAATCAGCAACAGTGAGGCAATGTGAAGATGTTGCGGTAGAGATCCAAAACCAAAATGTTAGCCTTTATGACAAAGGATTAAGTAATCCTTGTAAAATGACGATTATAACGTATCCAAATCAACAACAACCATGATTAAACCACTGCTGGATTAAGTCCTCCCCATGTCATCATCAACCCTCATTGTCCTGAAAATTCACAATTCACCTCACTCCTCTGTGTGAGCTAATTTAATCGCTCCATCTCTGTAGTATCATGTCGGGCGTGTTATTCTTTTGGCTGCCATTCAATTACCAGTCTCGTACATCTCGTACATCCTTTAAAGCCCACCCAAACCCACTTTTGTAAGCAGCTAATATTGTCTTCAATTCGTGTTTGTTCTTTGATCCAATTGCAGCTCTATGCCTGTTTGTGTAATGTTTAGTAATGTGCAGTGATTAAAAAAATATATTTAGGCATAACATGTGCCTTTAAATTATTCAGCTTTGTCTCACATGCCACTTTGTTTGATAATTTTGATCCCAATCCACATTACAAAACACGTTATATGTACAGTAGTTCTAGTATTATTGAAACCACTGATATAGGAAGTAATATTCTAGTTCATCGATATCCATTATGTTATTGTCACCATTATCACTGTGGTAAATAGTAATTGGAGCATCGCCAGCATGACCGTGGTGAATTTCCTTTTCAGGTATCTTCAACAACCTGTATGGACCAGTGTGGTCATATAACCCCTCCAGTGGATGTGTAACCTAAACCACCGCAGCAATCCCCAGCTGCTCTGGTTCGACCAGCCAATAAATTGACTCTTCTGAAACTAAAAAAATCACATTGGTGACATAGTGAAATGAGGATAAAAGGAAAATGCCATACTGTTGCTGATTAATTATGGAGGAATGGGATTCTAGTGTCGAGGAATCAAACATAGATTATAATGGAGTAACTCTGATAGCGTTGTCTAGCTTACATCGAGACTCTTGAACCAGAAGATAGAGTAATTAGAATGTCTGCTCCAAATGAATAAATCAAATGAATAAATCAATTTCTACTTCAGGGCAAAACACACACATAATTAGCATAGGCACAAGGAACCAGAGCTCACAGCCCACAGGGACATGAATATAGCGAACATCTTTTAATATTTATTGAAAATGGGCATGGGTGGGCCTAAAATTGATAAACCAACAATGAATATACATAATTACCAGTTTGCAAATTCAACACATCAAGTGACAGCAAGCTGGTGGGTGATTCACATGAAGGTGTGAGATTTTGTACATCTGCGTGCATTCTAAAAATCCACCCAATTAATGCAACGCTGCTAAACGTACCCTATTGGAATCGCATTAAACCAAATGAAAAAAACCCCCACAGCAAAACAGCGTGACCCCTGACCCCCCCCACCACCACCCACGTTGGCGCGTGCGCGTCACGTGACACAGGCAGCACCATATAAGGCGACGCGCGCGCGCGCGGCCGGCCGTCAATGAGCGGGCCCAGTCGAGACTGTTCTACGGCGAGTCGCCCGGCCGCCTCCACGGGGGAGGCGGCGATGTTTGATTGTCTCACTCGCTCGCTCGCTTCCTCACGTTGCCCATTCCATATCATCGCTGCATTTCTCCCATCGCCCGCCCGCCCACTCACCCACCCACCCGGACCATGCGTTCGTCTCGTGTTTTACAAGACGTTGCTCTCATGTAACACCACCGTGCGTTGCTTTGTCCTAAAGCAAAATAATAAACAAAAAGCCTCCTCAATGGATCGTGTTTTGACCCACGTCCCCGATTGCCTCCTGCAAATCGTCACGATGTTGACGACAACGCACGAAAGACAACACTTTTTAACGTTGTGGGTACGCCATCGTGATGCGTGCGGTAAATTGTCGGTCCTTCCCGACCCTCCGACCCACCACCACCGCCGCCGCTGTAAATTCGTGAGGGAATATGTGTCATTGCGGTGGATTTTTTTGGTGCGCCCGCGTGACTTTTTTTACATCGCCTTTCGACGTGAAAGGCGTAATTTTATACCGCATTGCAATGCCGCTGCAATGACAAGAAGAGGGCGGAGGAAGGAAAAAAAAGGGCGCGAACGTGCGAGCGCGCGGCGCACATGGACTCTCCCTGCGCGAACCGGTTGCAACCGGTTCCCGCGCGTCCGTCCGACGAGCGACTTCACTTGAGGGGAGGGGAATATTGAAGGGGAAAGAGACGAAGTGGAGAAGAGAGGCGTTGGTGGAACAGCAACAACAGCAGCAGCAAACAGCAGCGGCGGGCGGGAGACACACGCGGGCGGCCTCCAGCTTGCACCACCGGGTGGGTCTCACCACACGCGGGGCAACCACTGCCGAGGTAAGAGAGATGGGGGGGGGGGGTGGTGGTGGTGGTTGTCCCAGGTCGCCATCGACAGCAGCCAGGCGGGCGTGAGGCGAGACTCGCCCCCCCCCCCTATTACGGTGCAAGGGAGACGCTCATCCCCCCCCCACTACGTCTCCCCCCCCCCCACTACGTCTCCTCCCCCCCCACTACATCTTCCCCCCCCCCCCGTGTATTGCGCGATCAGTTCAACAGCCCCCTTCGACCCCCACCACTGCTCACCCCCCCCCCAATTAACTCCCCCCGACTCACCCCCCACTACGTCTCCCCCCCCACTACGTCTCCCCCCCCCCCACTACGTCTCCCCCCCCCACTACGTCTCCCCCCCCACTACGTCTCCCCCCCCTACGGCTCCCCCCCCCACTACGTCTCCCCCCCCCACTACGTCTCCCCCCCCCCACTACGTCTCCCCCCCCCACCGACCCCCCTCCAACTCACCCCCCCTCCACCCCCCTCCAACTCACCCCCTGCCCCCCGCCACCTCCCGCTCGTGCACGCGGCTCCGCTGTGCCCGTCCTCTTCTCGCTCCTCGCGGACCCTCAGTTGTACGTGGAGGAGGAGGGGGGGCTCAAATTGTTAGTGGTGTCGTTAATTGCTATTGTTATTACCATTAGCATCGCTTCTGATGATTGTTGGGGAGCCTCGGGCTGGCTGGCTGGCTGTGGTGGTGAGAGGGGGGGGGGTGATACCGATTGTTTTTGTTTTCAAAGCGATCTTGCGCGAGAGGGAAATAATTGTGTGGATGTGTAAATGTTACCAAGTTAGACGAGCTGTGGTGATTGCTTTAAGTTTGTGGCGGTGGTGCTGATCAGAGGGGGGAAACAACAGGGGTGGGGGGCTGCGAGGGAACAGGACGACGGTGTGGTTGTTTTGTTGTTTTAAGAAAAAGAAGTCGATGCTATTGGCGAGGGAAAGTGCCGCTGTCGATGATGTTACAGAGTTTAGACGAGGTGGTGGTGGTGGGGGGGGTGGTGAGAAGGGATAAGAAAAGGCGCGCGCGCACGCGCGTGCTCTCAGTCCCATTGGAATTCGTAGCGCGGGCGCGTGTTTGTGTTTGAATCCGCAGAGCGGATTGGCTCTATCCACTGCTGCCGTAGCTACTTTGGTCGTGGCGGGATTCGAGGCGCCTCCACTTGCTCCTCTGTACTCTTTAGCGCTCTCACTCGCGCGATTCGTTACAATCGCAGCCTTGCTTCGTGGTTGTTAAGACCGCTTCGCTGGGGTGGGTTTTTGTGTGTGTTTTTTTTTTAACCCCGTGCTTCTGAACGGTGCGTTGTTTATCGCTCTGATGTAAAAGGTGCTTTGCTTAGGTTTGGAGAGCTTTTCTTGTTTTCGCACTGCCCTAAGATTGGTAAGGATTTGTAGGGCCTCCGTGTGTGTGGAATGCATTTTCATTGACGCCAGCCTTTCTGGCTATTGTTACCAGCTGCTGTGTTGCACGGAGTAATTTTAATGTAATTATAATTTAGTCGCTCCGCTGTATTTTGCTTGGTGAGCGTGGTGTGTGCTGTGGGCCTGGTATGGTGTATGCGTGCGTGTTTATTATCGGGGTTTTCGCCCGTTCCTCGGGTTTGTAATGCAGCCTGGCCAAGTCTGATGCTCGTCGCGGTATGTACGGCGATGTGTCGCGACTTGGCTAAGCATGGTAATACGGGGGCTCGGGAATTTTGTTCGGAATAATGTTGCGGTGGGCCCCGTGCAGAGAGACACGCGAGGCCTAGTGTGGACGGGCCCCGTGAGCGAGGCTGAACGGCGGGGGTGGAGGGAGGCCCAACCCAACGTGGGCCTAGCCGCCCACCCCCCCCTCTCTATAACATGCAAGAACATCGAGGGTCTTGGATAAACAACAAAAAATGCTATAGTAGTTTTTTTTAAACGTACAGCAAACTTAAGAGAGGGAGTTTTATATCTTAAAAGTGGATCGGGCTGTGGCTGGGCGTGGCGGGAAGGCGGGCTGTGTTTGTATGCTATACGCTACCGTTTAAGCACATGGCACACGCGAGCGGCATGAATGGAAAATTCCACCCAGTCGCCTGCACGTAGAGTAGTGGTGTAGTAGTGGCGGTAGTGTATGCACAACAGCTGTGACTTGAAATCCGCGGTGAGGCGCATGTGGGTAATGTTTATGTGTGGGGTGGGGGGCAGCCTATAGGCCATACGTGTTGGCCATAGGATAGGCGGCGGAATTTGGATTCTTTTAATTTTTGATGAGCACTTTTATTTGTGGGAATGCGAATTGTACATTTGTGATGGATTTCAATTTGTGTGTGAAATGTGGGTCACTTTGGGGGAAAATATATAGCAGCCCCATATGATTATACATCGTGTTTGTAATGTACTGTATACACGCGTACGTCGATTGATGTTCGAAACAAAGCATGCTTATGCTTACTGTATTCTGTTAAATTAGCCAAATATTCAGTAATTACTAGCAACCCTGTTGATAGCCACTAACTATACAGTATAGCAGTTACTCCTTGGCTCGCTGTAAATCAACGCGTTTACCTTTGCAATTTTTTTTAAAATTGTAAAATTCGACACGCTTTACAATTTTGCCATGATCATTCTCTTGACTTTTTTTTTACGACAGACTTGTTATAAAGGAATTGATGAGCGGCATGGGACTCGACAGTTGCCTTGCAGCTTTTGAGAATGTCTCATCACATGACAAATATTGCTCACGTGGCTTTTATTGAATGTTTATTAACCAATTCAAACGTAGATAATGTACAGTAATGTAGACATTGGTCCAGGTTTACCATGTAATGGGAGGCTAGGGTGCTTTTCTGTACGGTATATGGAAACGCACAATACTGTACAGTACTTGGTCAAAGCTACGGTAACATATAGATTATGCGTGTATTGTTCACCTATAAGAGTCATTTTTTGTTAAAAAGGGCTTTTATAGGAAAGTAGAATACATTTTTAGATGTGTAGTTTGGTGTAAAAACTGTTCGATAGTTTTATATGCGGCAGGGAATGATATCCAACTTTACTTTGCGCTTGGTAATAAGTGCAATGTGTTATGTTCAATATTCCTCTAAGATTACTCAATATTCTATTTCACATGACTGTAAACAATATTTTTTACAAATGATTGTATTAAACAGCTTGGAATATAAACGCACTTGAAGTTATATGATCGTGAAATGTAAGGTTTACACCTCACTGGCTAATCTAGGAAAAGGGAGACTATCTTCCTCTTCGTGGGAACAGTTGGTCTCACTAAAATACCTTGCAGTGCAATTAGTGCCCTTAATTGCAGAGAAGTGTGGAAGCACTGGTGGCCCAACGTTTTGGTTGCAATATTATGTCTATGATGTAAATTAAAGTATTCACAAAGCAGAATTCGCTTGTATGACTTAAAAGAAAATTGCAGTATTTTCTGATCAGTAATGAATGATGTAATTTTTAGAATGAATTGGAATTTCTGTGAAACTTGAACATTTGAGAAAGAGGCACACATAAATAAGAGTTTTGCCCTGTTATTTCACTGTTCCATTATCCACACCTTCATGACGTGATTTTCCCAGAATTTGGATGTTTTTGACCGCATAAAGCAGCCCTATTCTTGGTGCCTCTATTTCACTGAGCAAATATTTTTAAAAAAATCATCCCAAATTTATTACAAGGCTGTGTTTACACAGAATCGCCGAACATGTAACAAAACGTAATGGTATTCTTTGGTTCTTTCGGTAAAGTCACGTAGATAGAAATAATACAAATAAAGTGAATTAACAAAACCACGACGTTTCGATCACAACAAGCGATAGTCTGTTTTATTTTTCTTATTTTTATTCACTTTATTTTTCTATCTACTTGACTTTACCGAAAGAACCAAAGAATATTAATTCCTGCAGTCACGAAAGTTTTAAGTCAAAACGTAATGGTTGGTGCCTTCGGTCTCAAGTGACATGAGGAAATGCAGTATTAACGTGTCACAACATTCTCAAGATAACTTTAAGGGGCAGTTTGTGAAGCGGTAGCCAATCCAGGGTTTAAAATCGCTTATGAACATAGCGTTGTGTTTTTTTATAGTCTACATTTTGTGAACTTTGGAATATGTACTTGAACACTTGGACTACCCAAAATTATTCCACGCTGAAAGTATATTTTAGCACTGAGTCACAAATTTTCATTTTAATCTTACCTGTGGGGTGGTAATATTACTGATAAAACATATTTTCAAATAATTTTGTGACCATTATCCTTTTTAACGCAGTTCCTAAATAAATGGAATTTCCATAGTTGGATGTATTACTATAAATTGAATATTTGCAAACGGGTTGAAAATGTGTTAATTTTGATTTAAAGCTTTCGTGACTGCAGGGATTCATATTCTTGGTTCTTTCGGTAAAGTCACGTAGAAGGGAAACAATAAAATAATTAAAATACATTATTTTTATTGTTTCCCTTCTACGTGACTTTACCGAAAGAACCAAGAATATATAATGTGTTCATTACCACGCTGACATTTTCTGTTATGGTAATTGCGTTATTTAAATGTTACACTGGTATAGTGATATACTCTAATTATATACTGTTATTTGTTGATCATTATATTGACTTGTGATTTTGTGTCTCTTGCAGAAGTTCTGAAAAAAAAATTGGAAACTTATTGTAAAACCCATGCCAGCCATTATGACCATGTTGGGAGACCACGCAGCTCGGCAGCTGCTGGACTTTGGCCAGAAGTTGGACATTGGTTTGCTAGACAATGTGGTCAGCTGTCTGTATCAGGGAGAAGGTCCACAGGTATGTGCAAAAGGCAGTGGTTAGGATTATCAGGAAGCACATCATGAGCAGCAAATATGACATTAATTTGGCATGGAACCTTTTTAAAATATGAGGATAGGTTTTCCCCTTTTTCTGGCAACAAAACAGGTGTTAAGATGTTAAAACACCAAACTGAAACCTTTTTCAGGGAATCATGTCTGCATTACCACAATACTTGTGGTCAGAATGCAGACAAAAAACATACTCTGATAATATATGCATTGTCTTTGAAACTGATTGGTCCACGCCAGAGACAGCTTTCTTTCGAGCCTAGTCTCAAACGGTGTTAGACCAGAAGATGCATGATGTATTATCAGGTGCCAACATATCCCACTATTATACAATATCCATAATATTAAACTACATTTTTTTTGCTTTTTCATGATTTCTTGATTATGCTTAAGATTGTCTGAGATTTCAGAAGAATGAGGTAGGATGTCATATAGCAAGTTGTAACAAGAGTATTGGGCTGTCAGTATTTGAAATTATATTTTGTTAATGGTTAAGTGCTGGATTGCATCCATAGGTGTGTTTGTTGTGATATGGTCTGCTGGAGTGCATTGGAAGAGATTCTGCGGGTTGTTTTGGAACAGGGTGTAATAAACGTGTGTGCTTTGTTAGCATACCCACACCTACCGCAATTGGTCGGCACAAGTGCAAACATTTTGCACCTATTAGCATCTAGGTCTGAATCTCTTGCTGTGGACATGAAATAGTTTTATTTTTATTGTACTGAGAGTGCAATAAAATTTTTTATGGCCCAGATGTATGTACTTTTCTGTTTGGCATAGTTTTAATAGTAAAAAAATACAATGATTTTCAAGCAATCCCTCCCACAGAAATATTCTTGAGCATAAAATTAGAGTTCAGTACCATCTCACCTGGCTGTCAAATGTCACTGGTTTCAACAGCAACGTGTGGCCCAAGAGGTCCTAACGCAGCTCAAGGAGCACCCCGACGCGTGGACTCGGGTTGACACCATTCTCGAGTTTTCCCAGAACATGAACACAAAGGTAAGGCAGTTTTTTTTTAAACATTAAATATGTGCTGTTAATAGCTCTTGAGAGGAGCGATTTATTTTTGCCAGTGTTTTTCTATATTTACCAGTTGGACACTGACAATGTTAAGAATGTAAAATGAAGTGTAGAAACTTAATGTAGTAAATATTGGCAATAAAATCGGTATGGCATATATTATATCTGCCATAACAAATTGTTTGTCTCTCTTTACAGTACTATGCTTTACAAATATTGGAGAATGCTATAAAAACCCGCTGGAAGATTCTTCCAAGAAATCAGTGTGAAGGTACCAGTGTTTATAATTAAACACACTACAACACTTGAGATTATGCATTTTTTGAAAGTCGTGATGTGTTTTAATGTACACTTGCTTCACTTGTTTATTTTTAGGAATAAAGAAGTATGTTGTTTACCTTATAATTAAAACATCACAAGAACCTCAAACAATGGAGGTAAGGTGCTTTTCTTGAATATAGTGCAGAGTTTAATGGATGCTTTTAATCCGTTTTTATTTATGTATGAATAACATTTTCCTCATTTTTACAGAAAGAAAAGGTTTACCTAGGAAAATTAAACATGATTCTTGTTCAGGTAAGATTTTATTCTATCCTACAATCAAAGGCTGTAATATGTTGTGTTGAATGCGCATTCCTTTTTTCTATTTCTAAATATAACAGATTTAATTGTTTCATTGGCAGATTCTGAAGCAAGAGTGGCCCAAAAACTGGCCCACATTTATCAGTGACATTGTAGGTGCCAGCCGCACAAGTGAATCGTTATGTCAGAACAACATGGTCATTCTCAAGCTTCTCAGTGAAGAAGTATTTGATTTTTCAAGTGGACAGCTCACACAGGTCAAAGCCAAGCACCTCAAAGACAGGTGAGTCTGAGGTGAAAGGTGTATATGACTGCAGTGTTTAATCAACTGTGTAGAAGAAGAAGAACTTCGACAATGTAGGCTAACAATATTAATGTTTTGATTTAAAGCTTTCGTTACTGCAGGGATTCATATTCTTGGTTCTTTCGGTAAAGCCATGTAGAAGGGAAACAATAAAATAATAAAAATAATAAAACAATTAAATTCTCACGACGTTTCGACTGCAACACAAGCAATCATCATCAGTGACTTTGCCGAAAGAACCAAGAATATAATGTTTTACTTTTAGTGGTAAAAGTTGTTTTTAATCATGGTAAATTGGCAAAAAAATATATTATTCAAAGGTTTCACCGTAACATGACAAAGATAAATTGCATGGTGCATTTCTGGGTTTGAATGGCACATGAAAACCTACTCAAACACCACTTACCCATGGAGAATCACAGTGCTTTGCTGACAAATTAAGACCATGATGTGTGTAGGTCAAAACATGGCTGGAAGTGCCTGAAGGTTTGTATGTGTGTGTCATTGTTAAAATAAAAAATACCTAAACGTATTACTTTGAGCCTCAAATTGTGCGCTAAAGCAGAAAAGGTTATTCTTTTTTTCCAGGTTCAACAATATAAACACGGCATTACAAATCTGGTATATTCCACCTACATTTGGCTTTCACCAATCCTTGGAGAGAGCCAAGGTGTGAGGTGTTACCAGCACAATTACTGTGACTTGGATTTGTAAAGTTCAAATTGTATTTGTTGACCTTGGAACTCTTCATTATATTCACAATGTTCTATATCCAATAGAAAACAATGTGAATCATAAAGACCCCCACTAGGTTATACAGTACATCAGGTATAATTTATTTATCTCTTGTGTTTTTAAGTTTCCACAGCTTGGGGATCAGGATGTGATGCATGTGTCAAAATAACTTACATTTGTAACAGTTAATATTTTCTTCATACTTACATTTTTGGAAGAGATTAATATGCATTTCATCTTTATTTCTGAGAAGCTGATTGCACACTTTATTAGCAAGGTCTATTATATCTAATTAAACCATAAATTGGGGCACACTTAGTAGAGGGTATAAGTATGCATGTAAAAATTAGGGCTACATTAATTTGTCAGTAATTTGAGTGCTTACAGTCTTAAAAGATTGTGTTTGTTTCTTTTCTGCAGCATGTGCAATGAATTTTCTCAAATATTCCAACTCTGTCAATTTGTGATGGTAAGTAAATCTATAAGGGATCTATTAACTGAGCGTTGCACATACAAGATTTACATTTATTGTAATTAATTGTTCCTCTACATCACGTTAATTATTTTGGTTTTGTTGCATTTTTCTTTAGGAATCTTCGCAGAATGCTCCACTTGTCGCAGCCACACTTGAAACTTTACTTAGGTTTCTCAACTGGATTCCACTTGGCTACATATTTGAAACAAAACTAATAAGCACCTTGGTATATAAGGTAAGTGTATTTCACAAGTTCTAAATATGCAAATGTTATGTTCTTATACTATACATACTCACAATATGCAATATATTTTGAAAATGTTAATGCTGTCAAGTATACTTATTCAGAAGCTCCTTGAAGTGCTGTGTTTTCATATCAGGTTGTTCACATGAACTAATTGTCTAAATTGTTCTGCAGTTTCTGAACGTGCCAATGTTCAGAAACCTGACGCTTAAATGTTTGACGGAAATTGCGGGGCTCACTGTGGTTCAGTATGAGGAGCAATTTATCACCCTCTTCACACTCACCATGATCCAGCTCAAACAGGTATGACATACAGATCGCAGATATTGAATGCAAACATTTCTAGTCCAATCCACTTTCACAATGATTGGGATACAACATTGAGATGCCTCGAATAGGTCTGCTTGATCCAGGTCCTATATGTTTTACACTTTGAGCTCTTTCAAATATAAAGTAGAAAATGAATCGCGACCAGGTTCGCCGCAAAATATGCAGCAAAGCTACCATCTCACTTCTACTGTCGAGTGGTATGGCAGAACCTGTATGGTAGGCATGCGTGCAGTGGCTGATTTTTTTTCCCACGTACAAAAGTAGTTGATGTTTTTTTTGTCATACTCTGTCTTGTCTGCTTACAGATGCTTCCGCTCAACACAAATATCCGGTTAGCATACTCGTCTGGGAAGGATGATGAGCAGAACTTCATCCAAAATTTGAGCCTGTTCCTGTGCACATTCCTCAAGGAGCACGGTGCCGTAGTGGAGAAGCGCGCTGATCTTCGTGAAACCCTCATGGAGGTCAGGGCGGGTCCCCAACAACTTTGTGCCATTTTTTTTATAGTTCCCATATTTTGGTGTGCTGTTTTCATTTAGTATATCCCTACGTGAAACGTTGTGCTATGCATCATGATCACCTGTTTCCTTGTGATTTTCTTCTTGCTGCTGTTAAATTAATTCCCATCTGTAATATCTGTTAACTACATTAATATTAGTTAATTCATTCAGTCAGTCTCATGACAATATGCTTTCTTTGACACTGTACAAATCTAAAATGTAGATTGTGCAGGTAACATTAAAAACATGCGTGTAATGGACAACACATTTCACATTGCCAGTTTGTTCGACCTTACTAGATTTGTTAAACACGTAGGCTGTCACGACCAGTATTATTCATAAAGGTTTTTGGGTTAGATCGCATTATTATAAATGTATTGCAACCCTCCACCACCTGACATGGCCAATCAGTAAAAAATGTGTCACGTTAACAAAACCCCAATTAGCCCACCGGTGTGTTTGAAGAGTGAATCCACAACATTTAGAATTTGAGTACGACGTTTCGCTGGTAATTACATCTGGCATTTTCGGGCGATTTGCCAGAATAGTGAAGCCATTCCACCTGCTTCTGGTCTTAAATAGTGCAGGATGACGTCATCATTGTTGAACTCCATCAGGTTTCGAGATCAGGTGGGGTATTGCAATTATGTAATAGATCAGTAATCAGCCACTTAGCATTTGACTCCTCGATAAGGAATTGCAATATGTATTACTAGTTTTACATACAGCTTTACATTTTACTGACTAAATGGCATACTGAGCTGAAGCGGGCTTAATGTTGACAAATATAATGAAGTAGATAACACAGTTGCTCTGAAATATTCTTCACTTGAAGGCTTTACACTACATGGTGCTGATCTCGGAGGTGGAGGAGACTGAGATTTTCAAGATCTGTCTGGAGTATTGGAATCATCTGGCGTCCGAGCTGTACAGGGAGAGCCCCATGCCAAATTCTCCCTCGCCACTTTTGTTGGGTAACCACCACCCAGAAGTGCCGCCCAGGCGCCAAATTTACTTACCCGTCCTTTCAAAGGTAAGGCAATAAATAGGGAATAACAAACACGTGCTTTTTATCAGACTTCATTTTTAAATGTTGTAAATAATGGGTCAGTCTCTTTGAATATGGTTGAATGATTCTACAGTATTAAGGAGGAGGGCATTTGACCTGTGCTTCAGGTGCGGCTCATCATGGTGAGCCGCATGGCCAAGCCCGAAGAGGTGCTGGTTGTAGAGAATGACCAGGGAGAGGTGGTGCGTGAGTTTATGAAGGACACAGACTCAATCAACCTCTACAAGAATATGAGGGAGACACTTGGTATGGCCTATCATGATAATTCATCCATGTTTTTCACCATGTGTTTTTCTGTGATGTTACTCCTCCCCTGCTCTCCCACGTAAAAATAGCTTTGCACTTCTGATGTGACAAACTTGTATCATTTATCTTAGATCAAATTCTGGTTTGCATAATAAATAACTGTAAGCTTAAACAGCTGTCATAATATTTAATTTTATATAAGCCGTGTAGTATTTTTAAGGTTAAGTAGAACATAAACTAAATCTATTTAAATTAGCAGTGAAATAATTGAAGTTTTGAAGCTTAACCACATGAGTAGTTTGTAATAGGCATAATTCCATTAAATCTTATTAATTATTTACTTTGACGTGCTGATGAAATGCAGTGTACCTTACTCACCTGGATTACGTGGACACGGAGCGCATCATGACAGAGAAGCTGCACGCACAGGTGAATGGCACGGAGTGGTCATGGAAGAACCTCAACACGCTGTGCTGGGCCATCGGATCCATCAGTGGCGCCATGTACGAGGAGGACGAGAAGCGCTTTCTGGTCACCGTCATCAAGGTCCGTGACAACCAGAGCAGTCGCTTTCATATATAACTGTTGTAAGGCACCGTGATCGGTATTGGACACGTCGAAACACTTTTTCACTGTCCAACCGAGCCACGCGGAGCAGCAGCTGTGCTGCTTGACACACGTAGGTGATGTGGTGATACTGGGCCCTATACTGATTGTTGTGCCATGCAATTAATGCATCATTATAATCAGCCACTTACCCTGTTTGGTGCTGAGCTAGATTGAGATGTCTTTGATAGTTAGCGTATCACAGTTTGATTCCTTTAATCGTCATGTCCAAAAGGAATGTGATCGCTAGCTAATATAATTGATTTACAATATGCTATACTTATTGTGGACCAGTTTCCCATATTGTGTGGTTTTAATTTGGAAAATTCTGGCACCAGGACCTCTTGGGACTTTGTGAGCAGAAGAGAGGGAAGGACAACAAGGCTATCATCGCCTCCAACATCATGTACATTGTGGGGCAGTACCCTCGTTTCCTGCGTGCGCATTGGAAGTTTCTCAAGACTGTCGTCAACAAGCTCTTTGAGTTCATGCACGGTAAGGGTTGCAAGGTAATGCTGCCGTCTCTACACTTTTGTTTGAAATGGCCTTTTTGAGTCATTCAAATCATGGCAGGAAATCCTTTTAACTTTTTGGCAGATTACAAAGAAATGTGGTTGTCAAATGTTAACATTCTTTACCAAGTACATCAATCTAAAATGTACACGGAAGCATATGCATTATATCATTGTATTGTGGATTGTAATTTATGAATAATTGCTGAGATGGTTTTGTTTATTTTTAGAAACGCATGATGGGGTGCAGGATATGGCCTGTGACACATTTATCAAGATTTCCCAGAAGTGCAGACGGCACTTTGTGCAGGTACAAGTTGGAGAGGTGATGCCTTTCATTGACGAGATCCTCAGCAGCATCAACACCATCATCTGTGACCTCCAGCCACAGCAGGTGTGACTTAGAAACTGCACTAGTTTGAAAATGCATTGTTTGGAATGCGTAGCCTTGATAACTAGTAACTAGATAAAATACTACTTTTTTGAAGATGGCATTTTATTGATAAGTGCAGAAATCATTGATTTCATTGCAAGATCTGTAGGAGGACAAAGTGGCATTCTTCTGGAATTCAGCAACAAGGTGCATGCTTGTTTCCTGTCCTTTATCGTTGGTCAGGTGCACACATTCTATGAAGCGGTGGGATACATGATCAGTGCCCAGACAGACCCCATTGTGCAGGAGCACCTGATAGAGAAGTACATGTTACTGCCCAACCAGGTGTGGGACAGCATCATCCAGCAAGCCACCAAGGTACTTGGAAACGCTACCCCACCCCCCCCCCCCGCGAGCCACGTGAATAGCAGCCACTCGGCTACCATCATTTTTCATAACACTACTACATGCAATGTGTATAATTGTACTTTTTATTATGTATATAGCTGTTGATAATAGGTTTTTCCCCTTTTTTCTGGCAACAAAACAGGTGTTAAGATGTTAAAACACCAAACTGAAATCTTTTACAAAGAATCATGTATGCATTTACCACTGCTTGTGATCAGAATGCAAAAAAAAACACTAATATATGCATTGTCCTTGAAACTGATTGGTCCACACCAAGGGACGGCTTTCTTTTGAGCCTCGACCCAATTGGTGCTCGACCAGATGACGCCTTTTCTCTGGTCTTAACTTTTTAAATAACAATGCATGCATACAATGCATTAATATTGGTAACCAAATGCTGCTATCTGTTTTTTGAGAAGGAAAGTTGGAGCGAACCATTTTTCCTTTTATGCCCACCCTCCAGAACGTGGACATCCTCAAGGACCCAGAGACGGTGAAGCAGCTTGGAAACATCCTGAAGACAAATGTGCGGGCGTGTCGTGCGGTCGGGCACCCGTTCGTCACACAGCTCGGGCGCGTTTACTTGGACATGCTGAACGTCTACAAGTGTCTAAGCGAGAACATTTCAGCTGCCATCCTTGCCAATGGTGGGTCACAGGCATGTTGCTTGCACGCAATGCCAGCATCTCGCATGTTCAGTAAGACTCTTTCTGTTCTAGATGATTGGCTGGTTTAATACAATATTTAAAGACCTCTGATTGCCAAGGTAAATTGCTTGTAGTTAAACCGACTAACTTTACTACAGTAAGTCATTGACCTTTTACTAGGGTTATATAATAGTAAAATGATGCAATAGTTGAATGTATAACTCAAAACTTGTACATTATTGAGCTGTGGTAATGTAATATTTTATAGATAGTGATATAAAAATGTAAGACCGCTGATGTGTGATAGATGATGTCTGGTAAGCTGCTCTTCCTGCTGGTGCCACTGCTCCCACTAGTGGCGCAGACAGGTGGGGCAGCCTGAGGATTTGAATTGTTGGGAACTTGTCTGATCTCGTGTTTTGAAGTGCACAGTGTGGAAATGTGTAAGTGCATGTCTGTATACATCTGTTTGTTGGCAAATGCACACCTCCATCCACCAATAATTTGGGCTGACATGTGCGTTCCTGCTTGTGTATGCCTGTGTGCTTTGTGCATATCTGAGTGTGTTCCACTCAGAACTCTGACTTTACATTGGTAAACATTATTTTTAACCTTGGAGTTGTCATTTTGCCTGAGCTCTCATTCTGTTATACATCTCAAGTCTGCAGGACCCCTCATACCTTTGTCTGTTAATATCTCTTGCCACTTCCTTACCCCACCGGCTGTTGAGACCCTCATCTATCGATTCATCACATCCCAATGTTGCTATTGCAACTCTCTACAGCCGCTCCAAACGTATCTTCTCTAAGTGATCCAAAATTATACTGCCAGACTTCTCACCAGTAAATGAGACATCGTCACAATCCTCCAGTATCTGCACTGGCTCAATCCAAGCAAATTTAAATATCACACGCACTAACGTTAAGATCCTCCACAAACTCATGCTTGTCTACCTATCCTCATCTCACTCTTTTCAACTCTATGCATTCTCCACTCCAGCAATCAAGACTTTCTATCGAAGCCTCCAGCCACCATTTACCTTTGGTGGGAAGTCATGAATTCTCCTTGCCACTACAGTAATGGAACTTCCTTTCCCCAACCATCTCTCCTGTGACTCCCTATTCAAGTACAGGATCAAGACCTTTCCTTTTCTCTGACTGACTGCCTTTATTAAATGTCTACTGCGTCTACAGTGTCTTGAGATGCGATCGAATTAACACAGTATGTAAATCATCCATAATAGAGGTTTTTTGGGGTTAGATGACGTAAATATATAAATGTGTCATTAAAACCCACCTCCACCTAATACAGACATCTCCACAAATCTGTCACCTGATGAAGCTAGTTGTAATTACTGGCGAAACGTCGTACTCAGATTATAAATTATGTGGCTGGGCTCTCCCAACACACCGGTGTGCTGTACTAGTGACGAATTGGCATGTTCTGTTTACGTGACGACCCTTACTAGTTGGCTGTGTTGGGTGGTGGCAAGTTTTAATAACACATTTACGCGATCGAACCCAATAAAAAAACCCTCTTATGGATGATATTGGTCGCGAAAGCCTACGAGTTAAACTGACTAAATCATGTTATATACTTAGCACCACACTCTAAATTTGCTACTTGTCTTATTTGGGTTTACTGTTAACAATATTTTTGAGTTTCCCAGTATTTTGTTAAACATTTTTTGTGTGCCTAAATTGCAGGTGAGGTTGTTACAAAACAGCCCCTTATCCGTAGCATGCGAACAGTCAAAAAAGAAACCCTGAAACTCATCTCAGACTGGGTCAGCCGCTCCAATGATCCCAAGCTCGTAAGTAGAATTCTAGCCACTCATGAAGAACATGACAACCAGTTCAGCAGCTCTTGAGGCATACAACCATAACCCTCTTGCATTTACCCAGTCATTGTTTTATGTGACCATAGGGATTTCAAGGATGTCCTCATTCGGGTGGGTGTTCATTTGACCAAAGGTCGAACATTTTAAATAGTACTGGGCTCAGATTGATGTAAAGCTAATCTGGGGATTAACTCTTGATATTTCAATTTTCATGTGTATATGACAACAGTTATTCTTCCATGTTATATTGAACGAATGCTGAGAGGTTATTGCAACAGTAACTGATACAACTTATGACATCCTAACAGAGCTTAAACTCATTTGGTACATTTAGAGTTGAGAACAATAATAAATTTTGTTTTTAACTATAAACATTTGTGGCCTCCCAAGGCTTTTAAGGTTGATTTGTATCATTCATAGGCAGGGTTAGCTGAACGTCTAAATTGCCTCAAGTCTTATGCTATACACATGTTAAATTAATGATGCTCGTTCATTAATGAACCAAGTAATTTGCGTTTTTAAATCTAAATTGAAAACTGATTTCTTTAGAACTGCTTTTTGTGTTTAGTTCTTCCCCCCCCGCACCTCTAAAAGGCATGGTTTTCTACGAAAGAGGTTCTACATACACAATCCAACGGAGTGATTCGAAATCTGCTAGAAATCAGGTTATTAATTTTACATACAGTTTATCGGTGTGTTCTGCCAAAGGCAGGGTAAATCATTCCTAAAGATGTTATCCCTGTGTTGCACGTGCGTGTGTGCACCCATCTGTAGGTGGCAGACAACTTTGTGCCACCCCTCCTGGATGCTGTGCTCATTGACTACCAACGCAATGTGGCAGCGGCTCGGGAGCCGGAGGTCCTGAGCACAATGGCGACCATAGTCAACAAGCTGGGCGGGCACATCACCGCCAGCATCCCACAGATCTTCGATGCCGTCTTCGAGTGCACTCTCGACATGATCAACAAGGTGTGTGCGCGCACTTCACCAGCCATCGTTTGCAGTGAAACTGAATTTCTCCATATAAGATTTTTTTCTAATGCATTTACATGCATTTGTAATACGTATGTACCTCAATATACAATTGAGTTGCATTCTGGAATACCTGAACCTTCAGTGAAAAATCTATATCGAAATGTATTTCCAATCGGATCCCATTGTATAACCTAGCGTGTTCCTTTGATATTTTCTGACCCAAAACCTCTTGAAATAACACTTTTCAATTTCAACACAACTAATATATTTTAATTAATCAATCTGCAGAATCGTAACAATAGGTGACTTGAAAAGAAATAGTGTACATTGTAAGTTACAAACCAGAACTGCAGTTAACGTCATGCGAGGTGTTGAGGGGGTTACTTTGAAGGTGAGGGATGGGCTGTAGGAGCATCTGGCTCCCCCTGTGGTGGAAAAAGGGGTGACGTTACGAAACGCGGTGGCCAGGCAAATGGCCTGGAACTGTATAAAATGTATACACGGACAAATAACAATGCATTTACTGTAGGCATTTAGATTTTTAAGCCAAAATATAATTTAGGATTTAAAAAACGAAACAAACCGAAAAAAGTGTTAATTTATGAGGAGCATAATGTATCATCGTAAATAAAATTAATGTTTATCGGGGTACACCTATAAAGGGAACTTTAACGACAGTGGTTGTACCTATCCCAAGTTAAGTCTGTTACATGATTCAAATCGTATTCACCACGTAAATGTAGTGTTATTAAACTCCGCTGTTCTGTGACCACGGTGCCTCCACAGGACTTTGAAGAGTTCCCTGAGCACCGAACTAACTTCTTCCTGCTGCTGCAGGCAGTGAACTCGAACTGCTTCCCAGCTTTCCTTAACATCCCACCTGCTCAGTTTAAGTTAGTGCTTGACTCCATCATCTGGGCTTTCAAGCATACAATGAGGAATGTTGCAGACACTGGCAAGTATTATTTAAAACGATATTGTGTTTTTTTTTCTTCCAATTGCCAAAGCAAACTGTATAAAATATTCACTTTAGCCCTGTAATGAACAAAAGCTGGGCTAGCAGGTCATCATGGTGAAGTTTAATTTATTTTTAAAGCAATGCATTTTTCTCTGATTTTGTATTTTCTTAAATGTATGTTTTATGATTTGTTTTGTTGTATACTGTCTGGGATAATTAACTAATTGTTGTGTGTCTGTGGGTGGGTGTGTGCTTATGCAGGGCTTTCTATCCTGTATGCATTGCTACAGAATGTTGGACAGGAAGCAGTAGCTGCGCAAAGCTTCTACCAGACTTACTTCTGTGACATCCTGCAGCACATTTTCTCAGTGGTGACAGACACCTCGCACACTGCGGGTACAGGGCTACATTCACAACTTAAACAACTCGCACCTGTTAGAATAAAAAAACAATCCATCTGATGTATGGTACAGTGAAAAAAGTTGTATGTCACCTTAACAGTGATACAAACAGTACAGATATATGATTAACTGTATGCACAATTTATCCTTTCCCCAATATAACTTATAAACATTAGACCAGAAGAAGCTCATTCAGAGGTGGTATGGTGGTTCAGAGGTAAGATCTGGCACCAGATTAAAATGGAAGGAACCTAGTGAGTAAACTTGGTTTCAAGTGTAGGAAGTTGATAATCCCAGCCCAATCACCAGTGAGTTTACAAAAAAATGTTGACAAAATCTGGGCTAGCTGTGCATATAAGAGAATTACAAATATTGGTTTGACTGTCATGCGCAACATTTCTCCCTATAGCGGGGCAGGTGAATCGCAGGTTACATGAGATTTAAAAAAACAGTTCTGGGATATCATCTTGCACAGACCATTCTCTAGCATTGGGTGATGCACTGCTCCGCGAGAGTTATAAATTGATTATTGGTCTCGTGATACGATGACGATAGTGGTTAGGATAAAACTGGGGTCGAAAATACTGGCTCCGTAAAATTATCATAATGCAGCTGCATAGTTGCTGACTTAAATTTTAATATTGATGGTGTGAACTCCCTAAAATTGTTTACCCATCTAGACATGATGATTAAAAGAAAAGCTTTGGTTAACTTTTTTCTCAACATTTTGAACATGTACAGTGGTCCATACTCTTTGGTTCTTTCGGTAAAGTCACGTAGGTAGAAAAAAATCACGACGTTTCGATCGCAACAACAAGCGACCGACTTCAGGTGAGAGAATCCGACTGCTGTGGACGAGGCATTATATTGACCCGAGAGGGGGGGGGGAAGAGTAGATTCCTGCAGTCACGAAAGCTTCAAATCAAGAATGTACAGTGGTGCTGAAGAGCAAAAGAAAAGTATATAAGTCAGCTCCTTGTACCCTATAATTGATCTAAATCGTTTAATACAGCAACTTTAATTTACCGAGTGTAAATGTGTAGCTTTAAAATTACAATATTTCCACTCGTCTTCGAAAATCTCGGTGCTCAAAGGAAATGTCACCACCAGACTCGAAGCACTTGTGGATGTTACCCACATATTTTCCCATGATGTCGTTAATCTTTAACATTGTACAATTATTGCATAACCAGACATCTTTTTGTTTTTTTGTGCTATAATGCATGCAAATATGGGATGCTTTTTTAAACTGTGGTTATACAGGCCTGACAATGCATGCCACCATCCTGGCCAACATGTTCAGTCTGGTGGAGGAGAATCGGATAACGGCACCACTTAACCCTACGAGCCCTGCGATCTCAAATCAGCCGTTTATCCAGGAGTATGTCGCCAACCTCCTGAAGTCTGCCTTCCCACACTTGCAGGAGTGAGTATTGTGGATTTACTCTCCCTATGTATTTTTATTAACCTTTGCCAAATGATTACATGCTTGGTTAAAAAAGAGCATCACCTTATTCTGAGACAATAAACGGGATTTGGCGTTTTTATATGCATGTAAGATTATCAAATGGTTTGTGGAGCGTTTATGTGAATGTATATTAAATTCATAGTTAGGTCAATAATCTAAATGTATAATGTAATCGTCATGAGCCATTAATTGTCCACTGTTGGATGCAGGCTTCCCCTTAGTGTCACCATCCCTCATCATTCTTTGCTTTTATGAACTGATCTCATTGCTGCTTTTCCACAGTGGTTGACCTCTCAGGCTTGTTCTCTCCTTTGGCTGCCACTCAGTTTCCAGTCTCATCCACCAGCTATGGTGCTTTCTTTTGGTTATGTCCACCGCAAGCTCACTTTTATTTAGTCAATAAGATGTATCTGGTGTGCATTTGGTCTCTGATACTTCTGTTCCTCTATCCCTCAGTGCACAAGTAAAGGTCTTCGTAACCGGGCTCTTTAGCCTAAATCAAGACATCCCAGCATTTAAAGAGCATCTGAGAGACTTTTTGGTACAGATAAAGGTATGCTTATGTTTTTAATCACTTGTTGATTATTTATTTTAATATGCATCCGTTGTATAATCGCATATCCCGTGCATTTGCATAACATGAGTGCGCACGAACTTGACTCAACGTTGTGGGATACGAGTGATATCATCACTGCACACAGACGCGCTTGGCCACATGCCAGCCAACAAAACTTTTTCAAATAGAGTATATAACATGACCTTTTTTTAGGTGGCATCATTTCAAAGTGAACAATTAAAACGTTTAGAAATGGTCATGCTTATAATTGGCTGAGGAATTAGTTGGGTGGCAAGATCTGTAAAGAGTAGTAAACAAGACTTTTTGTAATATCTCATATGTTGCTGCTCTATCTTATTCGTTGACAGGAATTTGCAGGGGAGGACACGTCAGACCTTTACCTGGAAGAGCGTGAGCAGTCCCTGCGTCAGGCCAATGATGAAAAGAGGAAGATCCAACTGTCAGTTCCTGGGATCCTCAACCCCCATGAGATGCCTGAGGAGATGTGTGACTGACCCTGTCCACCTCATTGGGCCAATTGAGTCAAATCACACCCAAAATCTCAAACAGCAGCAGGTGTTAGACTCCAGTGCCGACCAACCCAGCCGGGCGCGTTTCCTCCAAGTGCCTGCCTTCAGAACAAATGGGAGATGCCAGTGCTGATGCTGGAAATAGTTTTTTTATACCTTTTTTAATTTTGTGTTTGAAAAAGTTAACTGTTGGTTCCCAATTCTCACCATCTCCCATAGCCCCCACATGCCAATATAAAATGTGCATATGTTCCATTTAATCGGTTTTATTTTACTGGAGGTAATACATTAGAAGGCAGAAGAATAACATTGGAATATTTGGAAATAAAATTCCCCAAGACCAATGAATTATGTAATATATAGAATGTTTCTGAAACTTCGTAAATAAAATTATCTCAATGATACTTCAGCAGACCTTGTGGGTATCACAACAGCCTTTCCTTAATATCTGATTAACAATCCCACTTGTACACGTGCACATTAGCACTAGTTTTGGTATTGAACTCGTTATGATGTATAGACAGTGTGAAATCAATGTTTCAGATAATTGCACTGAGATTTAAAACCTGGTTTTGACAGCTAGATGTGAAGAAAACTGCTATACTGCTTATGCTCAGCTAAATTTTTGAGCATTTGAATAGTAGATCGTGAAATGCATAAGTTTGAATTATAGCTCCTACAAAACTGTTTCATTCTTCATTGCAGATTCATGTCCACTGCAATATCTTTTTGTCCAGATCATGAATGGGTATTTTTCCATTTGGTGTTATCTTTGGCCATCTGTATAAATCTCCATTCCCTTGATGGTGTCAAGGCAGTTTTACCGAGGTTCCCTTTGTTACCATTTGTTTCTTATTTAATAACTGTTATTTTTTCCTTTATCTAGGCTGTTTTCTTTCATACAACTTGCTTACTGTAAATGATAAGGGCTGCATTTACTGTACTACAGCAAAACTGCGTGGTTTGTCACCACCATACACAGCTGTGTAACACTACTTCAGGGGGTCTCCAAAGATGGTGAGATGAGCATGGTGTTGTCGCATGCAGGGACAGAAAATGCCATATTCAATTGAGCCATTTATAGACATCCCTTCACCTGAGTAAAGCATTGTATTCAATGTTGTGTCCCTCGTTTCCAACCTAACTACTGTGTGACTAAAATAAAAGTACTGAATTGTATTAAGTTTTCAAAATAACAATTTCAACCATCGGCCAACTACCTTTTTGGTATTCACAGTTGGTATTCACCAAATTATCCTTTGGTTAACTGGAAGTAAAACTGAACACTTGTTTGGTTTGTACCTACCCTTGGCACTAGCTTTAACACAGGTGAATGTTGGTCTTTTTCCAATTGTTTCCATACTAGCAGTGCAAACCATTTGCAGTGCATAAAATGCCTTCCTCGCTAGCCTGGCTTTACAATACTTGCCCCCTTCAATTTGGATAGCAGTTGAGATGTGAACCCCTGCACTGCTTGACATGCCATGCAGAGGATGACCATTGCTCTTACTCATTAAAAGTAAATTTATTGTGATTTGCCGTGGTACTCATGACATATATGCTCTATATCACGTAAGTAGATATTATTTATTTGGCCCCTTTTTTACATCTGGAGATATGTATGGAATGTAGTTTTGAATGTAATGTGTAATGTAGTACTGTAAGTTTATTTCTCAGCTAGGCCACGCATTTTCAGTATTTGAATGAGTCAGGCGTGGGAGGGCTGTGTGTAGCGCGAACACATGAATGCAGTTGTGCTTTTTTAATCAATGGTTGCAACCTCAGTATGTTGGCTTGCATTTTCTGTTGTATACGGATAATTGTTTTGACATTTTAAAAATGTGTTGCAACTTGGTTTGAACGTGGTTGGGCAGCATTCTTTAATTGGAGTGCTGATATGTAAAATCTGGTATATATCCCATTTATGGGATTAATAAAAGTAGAAACTTGTCAGATTGTGTCTAACGTGTCCCTCTTACAGGCTGAAGCATATCACAAAACATAAGCTCTTTAAATTAGTTTTACATACAAATTATTTTAAATGTAAAAAATACAACTGGTTATTGTTACATACTGTCAGTAAGAAAACTGTCTGATTTCTCAACATCACCTGAACTGTTTGGATTTATTGTTAATATACAACTTTTGACAAACATTGCATCAACATTGTACAGTCATGTTTTATAAGGTTTTTAAAGACTTAGAACTGACATTAGAAATCAGTTTCCATCAATTACATATGCTACATTTGATTAAAATGCTTCATTTCATTGCTGTGTTGATTGAATTTTTAAATCAATCGTTTTTGACGGGGATGGAGTAATAGTTTATCCGTTTCATATAAAGCATTCCCATTTTCATCTGAACCATTGAGCTGTTGTAAAATAAATGCTATAATCAACAAATTGTATTCTCATGTGCAATTGGTAAAAACTCAATGGACTCTAAAATACATTGTATCAAACTTTTATTTGTTACTAATTTAGGAAATTATTTCAGTATACTGCCAACTTAAATGATGAGTCAAGCCTTTAGCAACCATTAATAATGACTCCACTGGCACAAAATAGAATTGCTCACAGATGAATTATAAAATTGGCCAGGCACTCAATTTGAAAGCTTTTCCAAGTATTTTCAAGTTTGCTCAGGTAATGTCTCCTCGTTCAAACTCGGTGCATCTTCCATGATGACTGTGGTGTTGGGCAGCATATCATCCACCAGTATCTTGACGAGGCCCTTATGGGACACCAGTGGCAGGTGTGACAACTCCAGGTACTTCAGGTTCCTGTGGAATGACCATAAAATTGTCAACAGGTGCCTAACTCTCGATATTTAAAATATATCTAAACTCATGAAAAAGTGGCTCCTTGCGTGTGGTAGGACTCTCACGTGAGGTTGTGGAGTGAGGCGAGCCCACGGTCTGTTATCAGTGGGCAGCCTGTGAGGTGCAGCTCCTCAAGGCTCTCACGGAACATATGCAACCGGTTGAGACACCAGTCATCCACGTTTGGGCAGTTCCGCAAATACAATGCCTTCAACTGCTCCATCTGCTCTGTATTTTTTTGAAGAAAAAAAGTGTCAAATGTGCGGGGTGCAGTTTACCCTCGAAAGGTTTGAATTGTATGCTTTTTGTATGCTAGCATACCACCTGTGCTCTGAAGAACATCCTAATATTAAATATTGTATCATAAGTAGAACATTGCAAGCGATTACCAAAATATTTTTTATATATAAACATGTTACAGAATACATGTTTACAAAAATTGTGTGCAAGCACAAAAATGTTGCATAAGTGGATAAAATAAAGATCATACCCAAGTTATCAAATCCATCGTAGTTGATTGGAAGTCCACTGGCATCGACCTCTTCCAAATTCACATCAACATGCTTCAAAAAGTCCCAGCTGAACTTTCCCTTCTTAGCCCTGTACCACGTCTCTTGCCCTGCAAATCTGCAGTGAGATTTACTCCAGTCAATCACAATGCACACTGGAAAAATTGGTATTACTGCTACTTAAACCAATTTCTACATAATATTACTGTACAATATAGTATTTTAGTTTGTATTTTAATTGTTTCATCCATTGCATCTGATAACAGCAAAAATGTACAGCGATTGAAAGTATGTGGTTTTAATTATGCTCATGTCGTGGCACATTACCTTACACCTCCTCCTCTGGAGAGGATGAAATGTGCAGCTGCCACATTCTTTCCGTGCCTTTTCTTCGTTAATTCAAAATTTCTATTGCAAATAAAGTGAAATATAAAAACTTGCACATTAGGCACCCAGAATATATTTTTTAAATTACCCTTTTAGCAGCATGTTACTGAGTGGGTGACATTACCAAATACACTTGAACCAGAAGCCAAATACTGGAGGAATATAGCCAACAGCCTTGGCTGCAGTGTTCATTTGGTCAGAATTCTTGATTTGTCTTCAATATACTCTTTGGTTCTTTCAGTAGTCACGTAGTTAGAAAAAAACAAATCACGACGTTTCGATCGCAACACAAGCGGTCGTCATCAGGGTGACATGAACTACGTGACTACCGAAAGAACCAAAGAGTATGGATTTCTGCAGTCACGAAAGCTTCAAATCAAGATTGTCTTGAATATATTTCACAACCTGTGGTATTCTAGTAAAGTAAGTCTGTGGATCTATCTTCCGTCGTTCTCTTAATCTCGACTAAAACATTAACAAGTTTTGTCCACTCTTGATTTGTTACATGTTGGTGTAAAGTGTGCACAATTTTTTTTATCCCCTCCCAAATATTAGGTCAATCGGTGAACTCAGTATATCGTTTTGCAGTCAATTACCATGTTTGTTCTTCAGTGCAATCATCTCTAATAACATTACTGTCCTTACTTACTTGAGACTGCACCTACGTTTAAACTGCTTTGGTCTTTGGTAGGTAGTCAGTTATCTCCATGGTTCATGATTTTCATCCACTCAGTCATGTTGCTAACATTATTAAAAGCACTGCTGAAAATATTTTTGGTACCAATTTCATTTACAAGATAAACACTGCTCACAGCGCCATGCACGTAGCATTTTGTTTCATGTTGGACCGATGTAATTGTTTTTAAACAACAATTGAGTCTTAAAAACAATAATTGTTTTTTTTATGTTTACACAGAGTAAGCGTGCTACTTGAAATTACTCAAAAATATTTAACGAAAATATGTCGTGTGCAGTGATGAGCTCGCACTTGTTTTGTGACTGGAGACGCCAACGACGGAAGAAATAAACGGAGTTGACCAGAAATTCCACATCAGAGAAGCGATTGTAGTAGTGCTGTATCTTCGTTTTCCATTGCTCCTTGGGGTTGCTGTTGTGTGCCCACCTGACACCTGGCCCTGAGCACACCAGCCTCCATCCATGCACCTAATCCATAAAGACAGGCAATTACTTTTGATCGCTCGGTAAAGTAACGAGATTATTTGACCTCTTCTCTTGTCCTCGACTCGGTGATATCGAAACGCTTTGCAAGCCCACAAAATATACGTTCTGTTGACTTGTAATTGTGGTCATATGCACCTCGCATGCATTGATCGTGGTCATATGCACCTCACATGCAATTCAACTGTTGATTAGAATGAGGAAAATTTAACCTTGGAGGATTTGCTTATTGTGTTTAACCCGAGACCAGGCGTGACCTCGCAGTTGCGAGAACTTATCTCCCTCGCCTAGTACGTGGCCATGCATTTAGTACGTATGCAAAAATATGTAAAAACTAGACCTTTCCCCCCCCTCCCTGTACGCACGCGTACTTTTTACACCCCCTCCACCTGCTGACGTACGCTTGACGCACCCCCCCCCCCCCGAATTTACTATACCAGTGTGTAACGCGCTTGACGTCACTCCACGTCGACCAGCCCTCCTCATTAATAATCATGAGGTGACTACCTCAACATCAAACAGCCCCCTTCATTAATAATCATGAACAGGTGACGTCCTCCAAATGGACACAGCCCCCCTTCATTAATAATAACGGTGACGTCACTCCACATGGAGGGGCGAGGCGCCTCCTCCCCCCTCCTCGGCGTCAACTGACAACCCTCACTACAAAGGCAGAACCCTCACAGTCACGCGATCTCCGTCACGCTATTGAGACATCAAAGTAAAAAGGACGTCATGATGAACAAGGGATTATAACCTTAAAATGAAATGTGTCACCGCGCCCTTACAAATTGCACACGAATGGATGCAATGAATATCACGTGGCGGTCTGCTTTTCGCTTCCAAGTTTCAGATTTAGTGCATTACATCCGTCCTTGGACGGACAAAAGGCGAATCCGGCCGATATTTAATACACGCAGAAACGATCAAGGATGAATAATATTAACGTGTTTAAGCAAACAGATAGTTCACCGCCAGACTACATTGTCAGTAGACCCCCCACATGCACTAAATGGATAGTCCCTATGCATGAGGTTGTGGGTTCAATCCTGACCCTAGCGCCTGTATATTTGGAGTTTGCATGTTCTGCCCGTGGTCGCGTGAATTTTTCTCCGGGTCCTCCGATTTTTCCCTCAACATTTAGAAACATGAATTTAGATAAATTGGCTGCTATAAATTACCACATGATAAACCAATTCGTTGAGCTATCATTTGTGGCCGGGTCGCTTCTGAAAAAGAGCTATATAGCATACTGGGTCTTACCTGGTAAAATAAAAAAATAGTTTAGTTTATTTGCAAATTACCCGCGTTGAGAATGGTGGTGCAAAGCCGGTAATTTTGAAATCACTGCTATTGCTGGAACCATAACCAGATGTTACCATTCTTGCATCTCAAAACTGTCATTGTTGGTCAATATAAAAAAATATAATGTACCAATAAACACTAACATTTAAATGCATGTGATAGCTGTTGTGCTGTGCAAAGTTTACACATGGTAAAATATTGTAACCCATCCATTGGATCAATCCAATTAATAAAGTTACACTGTGAATGAGTGAAGCACTCATAACTACACATTAACAGGTTTTTTTTTAAATTACTGCTTGCCGTAAAATATTTCCAATGTTAATCCACAGCACGCTTTAAATCATCTGTGAGAAATGCAAGAAAGTACTCTATCGCTAACCAAATCACAACATGAGGGGTCCCAAACAGTAACAATCTTAAGACTATAAATGGCACGCATGTGATCTTGCGAGCAGCAAGACAGGTGGGGGGTCACTGTAAATGTGCAAAACCTGAAATAGATTACTTGCTCAGGCAACTTATGGCGAAACGGCCTCCGTTGGAGGATGCTCCAAAGATGCAACTCTTGAGAGCATTTGCCAATGCCATCCACGCTAGCCAAACGCATTGGAAGGTGTGGTGGAAGAACCCACGCTTTATCTCACCAAACGCAACCTGTCGAATGACTTGTGACGAGCACGTCGACTGCTAGGTGGACACAGGAGAATTACCAACAACAAAAAAACTTGCCCACTAACCGTAGTAGTGATAATACGACACAAAACCAGACCGTTGAAGCGCTAACATGCACAATCGAAACAATGCGCTGTGCTCATCTCCGTTCGCAGCGCGGAGCAAGCGTCGGGAATGACACATTAGCACGCGGGGGCCAATGGTAACTTAAAACCCACAAAGTGGGCACTAACCGTACTTTGCTTTATCGACCTCGACAGTAAATCACCACGATCTCGCGACTCCGACGGTCACTGGCAACACCGAGGCGAATTGAAGGCTGCACAAACGCCGCGCGGCGTCAGCGAGGGAGCGGCACTGGGCAAGCCAAGTGGACGGCTCGAGATGCACTCAGCCTCCTCTGCGCTGCGCTGCGGGAAAGGAGCACGAGGCCCACCTCCCTTTCCAAGCCGGCGGTGTCAACGCAAAACATGAAGCGACAATCGAGCAGCCAACAGCTCGCACTCGAGATAAATAACGACGACGAACGACCGAACGAGAAGACGCGAAGAGCCGCGCACTCACACGCATCACCACGCGCGCCTCCATCGTCCCAGCCGCCGTCGCTATCGTGACCCCTGAGTGACCCCGCGCTCCCACTCCCCACAATGCGGCGCGGCGACGACTGACCCCCCACCACCTCCTGCCGCCCCCCCCCACCTCTTCCGGAAATTGCCGAGCGCCGCCCGAGCGCAGCTTCCGAAGACCGCCGGACGCCACCGCCGCCGAAGATTGCCGAGCGACTCCGAGCGCGGCCGAAGACGGACGTCCCTACTTTCACAATGGCGGGGATGATGAAGCGACTCGGCCGGAGCGGCTAATTAACATTTTTTATTATAATTAGCATCGAGCAAAACTAATAACACTACAACTACAGTATTAACAAACAAACCTCATGGATATTGATCGTTACATTCATATTAATTATTAATATGCGCGTTGGGGGGGGGGTCTGCCATGAATAATTAATATTGAATAAATCAGTCGGCCGCGCCGTGGCCCAGTTGCTGCGCCGCCCGCATTACAGTACTTGACACATTTAATTTTAATTGTATAACCGCGTTATGTAGTTGTATTTATTGCTTATTACCGTTGCGACTATCGCCGCCGTTATCTTATCGCGGCGTTGGTGATATTTTACCGCTGCTAACTGCCGCCACGGACCGCGAACGACCACGAGCCCCACTGGAGTCGCCGCCGCCGCCGTCGCCGCAGCCGCCGCCGCGATGTGTGACAACTGCGGCGAGCTGGTGTCCGTGCTCGGCGCAAGTGAGTGAGGACGAGGGAAACGGGCGGCAGCCTCCTTTAAATAGTCGCGGGAGAGTACTCGGGAGATTGCTGAGCGAGACAGAGGACGCGCGGAGGGATGGCAGAGGAGACATCCGGCCCGGTCTAGGCCTCAAAAGCCTACGCCGCTTGCCTGAGCTGCCCGCCGGCCGACCCCGCCCGGGAGCCCGCGGGACCGGCTCCGGGCGGTCTTGTCCCACATACCTGCTACCCCATTGCTCTCCCACAACAACTACCACCACCACCACCGGCTGGGACATATATATTTATTTTAACGCTTAAACATTCACTCGTTGCTTGTTACTCGTCGGCTAGTAGCCGGCTTTAATTACGACTAAGATGCCGTATTGTGATGGTGGCGGGATGAGCTGTGTGTGTGTGTGAGCGAGTCGCGGGGAAAGAGAGAGAGAGAGATCATAAACATATGGGATGACGGAGTCTCGCTCACATGTTGACGAGGCGCGGAGAGGTTTTACTCCATTGTTGGTGATGGGGAGATGTCGGGGCGTTTTCGCCGACAATTGCACGGGAAAGGAAACCCCTTTGGACAGTTCCACACAGCCTTGGTGGAGGGCGTCTGGTGTGTGTGTGTCTTTGTGTAAGACTGTATTTGTGTATTAATGTGTGTCTCATGGTTATTGTGTTGTACAGTAACGTGCGTTCGAAAGGGAGGGGATCGATGGAGGAAGGCGGGCTTGTGCTGCTGTTGAGCTTATGGTAGATTTGTATTCCTCTTATATTCTGAAACCAGTTGAGCCTTTTTTTCCAATTTAATGTATGGAGTCGCGATTCACGAAGGGTTGACTGGAGGAGCGTTGCGGTGTTTCATTCTTAAAAAAACCAAGAGTGGCAATGATTCCTAATAAGCACACATCTTAAAAAAACATCTCCACGTTCATATAATCTCCACGTTCGTCATGAACAACTGCCCTTGCAATGGCAGCTGATTGCATATGTTTCTGTTATAAGGCAGTGCTCATGATTTTGTTTCTATTTTTATTTGCGTTTAATTGTAGTGTGGAGAGCGGGTTTTTTTAGAGGCGAAGAGACTGTGTTCCTTGGCTGTGTGGGGAATGTTTTGACATTGTCATGTCTGCCACGTCTCCCTTCTGCCTTTGCACAACCGCGCACTCCTCCAGCCCCACCGATGCGCATTCGATTCGGCCTTCCTTTCACCTTTAGTTTAAATTCGACAGCCCCCTTTTGAGGCTTTCGTCGTCGTTAGGCTCCCTTGCTCTCGGTAACATCAGAATCGTCAAAGGGGCCCGATCATAGCCGGGCCCGCATTCCGGTCGTGGAAGGTAGCGAAAATCGTGTCTCCGTGGATATGTCCTACGTTTAGTTTGGTTGTGGTTGTGGCTGTTTTCGGTAATCTGGGCACCATTGTGTTGGATGAGATGACGGCACCAGGAACTGCCATTGACTGAAGAAGGATCTTTGCCCGTACTGTGGACGCGTGGACTGTACTTGCTTAGCGCTTGACTAACAGCTTAACATTGTTTAGGTTTTCACCCTAATTCGTTACTCTTATTGCACGGCATAATGACTAAATCATTTAATGTAGTCGACTCTCATTGCATTTTGTTGATTGGCATATCAGTTGTTGCATAGTCACACGAGTTGATATGAGATCACAGTTCATAATCATAATGTATTCATAAGGTGTGTCTTGTCAATGTGTTCTAGTGCCGGTGCATTGGTTGAAACCCGACCATGCATAATTTATACAGTATTGCTAAGTGTAGACATTGCTGTTATAAATACGGAGAGTTATTTCAGTTGCTTGTGTCTTGTTTACTAACCTGTCCCCTGTTACAAATGAATGTCATTGGTGGAGTGGCAAATTTTGTATCAAATGTGTTTGTGATTTATTGTTTTTGGCAAAGTCCTAGAGACGTGGGGGAATGTAATTGAAGGATGCATGCATGGCTTTGGCGCGAGCAGAAATTCCTTAACTAAATTAAACCCAGAGTCCAGGTTTTTATATCAGACGGTATACGACTCCTCAAAAGGTTGTTGTGCCGAGTGTATGAGATTAACATTGCAGTGTCATTTAATAATGGTAGATTTTATCTAATGCAGTAAAAGCACTGTTATTAGTCTTACAAAAATATAAATTACCTTTCCTGCAATCAAGTTTATGGTTGGAAATAGTTTACCGTGATGAATAAAAAAATGTTTAATTTGAATTTGTGTAGTGTGTATGAACACTCTTTTGTGTATCATGATATTTTCGTTCACATTCGGTTGTTGGTTCAAGGTATGTATGTAGCATATGACAAATCATTACTTTAATGCTGTATTCGACTTGTCTAATTGCCCTTTCAACCTCATGTTTTCCAGGGGAATCGGAGAAATGATGAGGTATCGCCACTCAAGAAGGAGCATGTTCTCAAGTTATTTAATTATATCAGCTCGTGGCCACAGAGGTAAGATTAGGGCCTCTTAAAGCATGCCCTGGTTTATTTGAACCTTGAAACAGCTGTCCAAGCTGCTCCTGGGTTTGTGGATGGTATGTGGTGCTGACTGTATTGACTGAAAGGTAATGCAGGGGCAACTGTCTGACCAGGCTAAGGATGTATCTGTAGGGAATTTCAATTCAATTTAAAGCATTTATGTGCTCATTTGTATTTTATAATTATTTAACAGGCATTCTAATGTAGGTGGTAAGGTGATAGTCATTAAACTATTTCCAAGAAAACATACTAAATTGGGTTAGAATATTTAAGCAAATGTCTCAAAGAGAGAAACATATATACTGTCATCATCATTAATAATCATCTGAATGTTGTAGTCTGCATTTATATAATTGTCAAACCCTGAAATGATGATTCTTTAGATTTGACAGTGGATTATTGTGCTGGCTGTTTCTTTTACTGCTTGTGCATATTTTCACGTGTATGACAATTACATACAAATATAATTAATGGCAGAAAGATTATTCTAATTATTGCACATTTTGCATGTTGAGAACTCACCTGTCTAGTAGTATTAAATGATTCCAAGAATGGGTCGTTATACCCCACTACCCATTATCTGTATCTGTAAAGTGTACATATCGGAATGACCATTTCTGAAGCAAATTGTTTCTGGAGACGAGACTTTCCTGAAAAATGTAAGTGAAATGTGTCAGATCTATCTACCAGCAGTTTAAATAGTAGATATGAGTGGTGCGGAAAATAAACGTTTCATAGCTTATAGATGTGGAGAAATGTATCTTCAGGAGCATGACATTGTTAAATCTGTCAGAATATTGCCAAGCTTTTGTTGCATATGATAATAATGAGATTGATTCACGATTGCATCTGATCAAACTGCCCGTGACATTTCAAGTAATCTAATTATTGAGTTATGTTTTTATTGAAAGGGACACAGATGGGTTTAATTTGTTCAGGTGAAGGTCGGATATTTAGACAGAACCAGGCAACTGTCTTAAATACTTTTTAAATGCATTGTTTTCATTCGATGAAAATCGGTGAGGGTAGAATGCAAGCTTTACGTATTGTCTGCCAAATGTCATGGTCATTCACCATGCTTTAATGTTGATCTAAGTATAGTGTATAATTACACAAGTCCAAAGTTCATGCCTGTACTGTGCTTTTGTTTATTTTAATTGCATTGAATAAACCTAGCTGTTTTGATCACATTCAGAACAATCCAAGCAGCCACTGCTAGCTGCCAAAAGTTGGTGTGGTGGTTGGTGGAGTTGCACTGGAGAACTGATGTTCTCATTGCTTATGTTTACCAGGGCTAGGCATACTATATTGACTTATCTAAATGCAGATTGCCCTACATATCTTAAATCACTGGATTCGACTGAAATGTGTCAATCAAGAAACAAACGTGTTATTTTGATTGAGGCTACAGGGTAATTATATGGCTGTTAAGTCCACTTATTGCTCTTATCCATGCTTGCCTTACATCATGGGACTTCCTTTGCCAGTACCAAAAATGAGAATAGGATGATTGCTTGTGTTGCGATTGAAACGTTGTGATTTTTTATTATTTTTCTATCTACGTGACTTTACCGAAAGACCCGAAGAGTATGAATTCCTGCAGTCACGAAAGCTTTAAGTCAATATATGCATTGTCTTGGAAACTGATTGGTCCACACCAGAGACAGATTTCTTTTGAGCCTAGTCTCAAAACGGTGTTAGACCAGAGGATGCCTTTTGGTCTAACACCGTTTTGAGACGAGGCTCAAAAGAAAGCTGTCTCTGGTGTGGACCAATCAGTTTCAAAGACAATGCATCATATTATCAGTGTTTTTTGTTTGCATTCTGACCACAAGTATTGTGGTCAATGCAGACATGAATCCTTGAAAAAGGTTTTAAGTTTGGCATTTTAACATCTTAACACCTATATTCTTGGTTCTTTCGGTAAAGTCACATAGAAGGGAAACAATAAAATAATACAAATATAAAACAATAACATTCTCACGACGTTTCTACTGCAACACAAGCAATCATCATCAGGTGTGAAAACCACAACAAGAAAATTTGAAAAAAGAAACGTCGTGAGAATTGATTGTTTTATATTTTATTATTTTATTGTTTCCCTTCTACGTGTCTCTCGAAAGAACCAAGCATATGAATCCCTGCAGTCACGAAAGCTTTAAAGCAACATCTTAACACCTGTTTTGTTGACAGAAAAAAGGGGAAAACCTATTCTCATGCTTGCCTTCTTGGCATTGCAGGGAACCTGACCATAAATCAGTTTTTAAAGAATCAATGTTGTTCCTGGTAAAAGTCACTTTCCATCCCTTGCCCTCCACCCCTTTGCATGAAAACAAATTCATGCTGAAAGGTTTGTTTCTAATGTGTGGTGATTTATGAAGGCATGTGGGTAAAAATGTTGGAGCATTACATTAAAAGAGGTTCTTTCAGGCCTAGCAATATCTGGTTCTCACTGCCTGTCTACATAGCCAAATAGATTTAACATTTTTTAAAATCTCATATGACCAATGAAAGTATTACATACAGTACTCTAATTCATATATCTCATGAATTACATTAGTGATAACCTATCTTGGATCGTCAAAAACATATGCTGGAGGACAGGTTTATTGGACCAGATTTTTGTAGCCCATGTATTTTTTTAATTGATTATCCCTCGCTAGATATAACAGCAGTCACCTGTCTCATATAAATTTATATCTGTGTATTGTGTGGGTGGTAAAATAATTGTACAAGTCAAGATGTGTTCATTTAAGTGTTTCAGTTTTAAAGAAAATCACAGTTCATTGCTTTATTACATGGTTTCCTAGTCAATGGATTTATAAACAAGGCTACTCCATTTAGGTACATGTGTTCATGAGAAGGCAATGAACTGTAGTTTTAAGCGAATTATTTAATTCCATAAGTGAGCATTGGTAATTGTGCTGTGACACTGCTGCACAAGAGAGCTGGGACATGTGGTGGCCATGTTGGTTGTTTGCTGCAGTAGTGTGAACTGGTCTGGCCTTGTTTTCACTGTCAGAGGTCATTCATAATCCTAGATGATGGCCTACTTTTGACTAGGAGCACTGTTGGATTGGTGGGGTGTACAGACGGCAGTAGCCGTTTTAATGTCCACTTTGTACGATAGCCAGTGTTGTGAATCTGCATCCACATTGCAGCACTGAGGGTGACATTCCGTGGGGGGTTTTTTGACGTTGAACCTTTGGACTTGTGCACCAGCACTGCATTTCTGTGAACTTTAGCATCCCTTTTTCATCCTCAACATAATACATTTAAACATTGTGTGTGAATGTTTGCTTAAGTATGTGTAGTTTATATATTTTAGTTTTAGATTCACCAGGAATACATGGTACAATTATATATGATTGATTTTATAGAAATTTGTTTTCCATTGGTCATAGTTACATGAAACAGCTGTTGGAATGCACCAGGGTGGCACAGTGGGTAACACTCATGCCTCACAGCAAGAAGGGTGTCTGGGTTCAAATCCTGACTCAGGTGACTTTCTTCGTGAAGTTGGTATATTCTACACCCGGATCTGAATGGTTTCCTTAGCAAAAAAAACTTACAATATAACTGGTATGGGCCAAACTTCCCAAGCAGAAACATTTCCTGCAAATTACTGAATTGGTATTATACATAGCAGCATCGCCCCCTGCTGTGAAAACTTGGCAGGACCCTCCTGAAAAAATCTTGAGACTCATTGAAGTTTTCCCAGGTAAACAAATGGAAATAGATAAAAACCACGTCAGTAAAGCTATGTACAGGCATTACGAACGCCCTTACGAACCAGCTTGTGATTGAAAACTGAACCGCAGAACTATTTTGTTCAGAGGAGCGATCTAATCAGTCGGCCTCGCGCTCGATGTGTGTTTGGGTGTGTATGCATGCGGACACGTGTGTGTGTGTGTGAAAGTGTGGGGGTAGCGGTAGTGTAACCGGTTAGCGCGCTGCGCAATTAAAGCAGCGACCCGACTTAGATTCTTGCCCGTGGCCAACACCAGTTCCTAGTGTGCTGTGTAAACATCGCCACTGGGAAGACAAAGGCAGCCGAGCGTGGTGTTGGCCACCCCCACCCCCTTGTGCGCCGTGCCGGCCTTCATAGTCGCTGGTCGCTAAGAGCACCTTCCCCCCCCCTCCAAAGTCTTAAGGCTATACAGGGGGATCGTTGTCATTGGGGTGTGTGTCTGTGTCTTTGTGTGTGCGTGTCTTTGCGCGTACGTGTATTTGTGTGTCCAAGCGTGCCCCGTGTGTGTGTGTGTGCAATTGTGGTGACTGATTGCCCCCCTTCCGACTACAAGCTAGCATCAGGACTGTTTACTTTATTTTATGTTTTAGTTTTGCAGTATTTTTTACAGTGTGAGATGCAAATGTAGAATATGTATTCTTAATGATGAGTTTAACAATGCTTCCCTTTTTATTGAACCATAACACATTTCATAACGCTGACCGTACCGACTTACGAACTGTTCGACTTAAGGAGCCGTTCGACTTACGACGGGTTCTCAGGAACGAATTAGGTTCGTAAGCCGAGGACTGCCAGGAACCATAATTTACAATGACTAGCAACAGTGCTTCTTACATACACATCACAGTGGCACTTTGATGAGGAACATACTCTTACTTTATCCTGCATATATACATGTACAAATTGCCATGTACATGAGTATAGACATTTCTTTATACATTATTCTAACTTTGCCTAGTGGCCCGCCATTGCAATCCCAGGGGGAAAATCAATGGGCCAAACTGGCACATGAAAGTGTGTTGCGCAAAAATTGTAATGTTCTTACACATAAACAGATACTCTTTGGTTCTATACTGTAAGCAGTGTGCACTACCTACAGTATGTAAGCAAATTTGTGAACTACCTGAGGACTAAAGTTCGGGTTTTGCACAACCACAATAGTTTCATTTTAACCTTCACTTCATTTCCTCCACACCCACCTCAATGCCTCTAAGGCAAACGAGTTGACCATTTTACAGACCACAGATGAGATTTCTCTTTCACTCGTAAGTTCGAACACCAGGAGTAGCAGCCTTTGGTATAGTGACTCCAAACCATCACATGTATTGTCCGCCTTTAGGAACAGTATGGTTTTGCAGACTACCAAGGTCATGTGTGCCTGCCATTATTAACTGAATATTAAAACTTGCGAGAGCAACAAGCGTCAACCTTAGTCTCATTTGACCTTGGCGCTTTCCAAAATACACTTCATCGCCAGTATGTAGATTGCCAGTTTTTACACGATAATCGAATGCAAATAATGAGGGACTATGTTTAAAACGGACATTCTTGAATTTTTTGTTAACGATTATCGTATCTTGAATTTATATAGCGCTTTTATCCAATCACAGTTATGTTACACTTTGTACAGTGTCACATACTTAATGTGTGCAAATGTTAACAGTAGCGTATTTAAAATACCTTTGCTTGGCAGCCTTGGCTCATGTATAATGTACAATGCCTAAAACTGAATTTGATGGTGAAATGGCTGACTGTCAGCAGTTTTAAGTTGTGCTGCTGAAAAGTTAGGTTTGAAAATTATGTGCAAACTTAAATTCATAATGGATAATTTAGTTAACTAAATATGCTCCCAGCAGTGTTAAAATGCAATGTGAAATGATTTGTTTGGGAAGGTTTCATAACCAAGAAATGTGACATTAGTTGACTTTAACACAACAACTAATCTTTGTGCTGCTTTTGGCTTGCCAAGAGATGTCTGCCTTAATGCTCAACAAGGGAAAATAAATCATCCATGTGAACATGCTCAACACAGCTGTAGTTGGCTTTGAGATCACCAGCAAGGGCTTGAATTTACTCTGAATTGTTGTGGGCCATGGCATTCTTTCAGCTCATAGGTCTGCTGGTGAGATGTAGAGTGTTCTTTGGTTCTTTTGGTAAAGTCACGTAGAATGAGAATAAAATAATAAAATGAGACAATAAAATTCTCACGACGTTTCGGTCACAACACAATTTGATGTAGAGTGGTCATCGTTAAAGGATGCGTTGCACATTTCCTTGAGAAAAATGTGTCGTTTATTTGTTGTCTTATTGACTGATAACGTCCACTTGTTATTGGCATGATTTTTGTCATTTTGCTTGGAGGGACTGTCTTAAGTGTGTGGTTGTTGAATCACATTCAACGAATTGGTGATTGCATTTTGTTTCTGAGTTAATCATGTAGTAATGCACGAATGGCATGATTCGATGTTATAAGTTGCTTGAATTTTATATTGCCATGAATCATGTACTAGAAAGATAAACGATTATCATAATATATCCAAATTTTCAAAGGAAAAGATCAATAAGTATATTAAATACATACTTTAATAAAATGTAACAGACGAGTAAAACGCAAAGTAAAAAAAAACATGATTAAATTGAATGGAAAATTCTATTGGTGCAGTCTAAATGTTCATAAATGACGTTAAACGTAAAAGTATTTTTACAGCTGTCAAACGATTTCATTTAGCCAATTAATACATGCAGTACCATGGTCCCGGTGATTTATAGAGGCCTCACAACCCCATGCGGCCACACCAGCAGACAGCAAACTGAAAACCCCAGGTCAACCTGTTGGGTAGATTGCAGCCAGAAATGGCAAGTGCAGGAGCGTTGCCCTTCTCAATTTTGCGTAGAAGAAGCCACGTGATCTCTTTTTTTGGGCATAGGATATATTAGAGGGTGCCATTTTATGAACCAGAGATAATAACTTAGTCTTTACAGCTTTTAAAGGTTAGTCGCCAAAAAGTATTGCAAGCAGTGTAGCCATCTGGCCTCAGGTTATCTGAATAATAATTATAAAAGGCTGAGAATTGATCAATTGGCAAGATTGAACCTGCGGGACTTTATATGCATAATAAAAAATGGGAATTGAAAGTCTTAACGTTTACAGTTTTAGAATTACTAGAGTATCTAAAACACTTGTTTATTATCTACGGGTAGCAGCAGCTGTGTCTGTCGACTATTGCGCAGATTAATGCATGTTCTGCATTTTGTTATGGTCGTGCTTATCAAAGCAATACGCTCTTTGGATTCACTTATATATGGCCTCCAAACATGGTCACCTTATTACTCCTGGATCCCCATTCCAGGGAAAATTGTGTTTGCTTTTGTAACTCTTTGGAGCAAGTGTTTCCTTTTTGTCATGCTGTACATCGTCTTCTATTTTGTGTACATGTAGTGTTTTTGTTGGCAGCTACACTGCCTTCAAAGTTTAATTGTCTTAAATGATCATACTTCATGGTATTTCACTGCAAGCCATGATTGTTTTATTCTGTAACAGGCACAATTTTCATTGACGCAATGACATGCAACATCAGTATATTTCGAGCATTTTAATATTACCCAAATCACCTGGATTATGCCTAACCTTGCCAAATCTTGGATGTTTAACTTCCATGTGGTATAGAGTTTTATATTCTTCATGGTGATGCAGTGGGCAGCAGTGAGGAGTTCAGCAAAATCCTTTGTTAGTTATAAGAATGACAATGCCTTCGTTGGAACCAACACAGATGCCAAATATTTCACGTTGTTTCCACTTCACCTAGACAGTAGACATTTATAGTTTTAATGGAGTTTTTATATATATAAAGTAAAAAATTTAGATACGCCAGCCAGCAACCCTAATTACTTTTAACAGTATGTAGTTGTACAATGTATTTATGGGAATAGTTTTAACATCAATGGCTGTGTGTAATGACAATAGGTGGACACTTGAACGGCTGTCAGCAAGATGTGGTCTACATATGCAAGCTCTTTTTAACAAACATAAAATTATCCATTTGGGGAATCTATGGTTGTTATGGGCCACCTGTTAGTGTTAACAGGGATTAGCTTGAATTCCACACCGATTCCAAGACGCACATTTCAGTTTGTGTTTTCCAAGAATGCACAAGGCATTTGCCACCAATTCCGAGAACAAATAGATCAGTGGACGTTTTCATTTCATTTTGACTAAATATTTGACATCACGTGACATTAAAGCTTCAACAATTCTGTCAGTTATCTGAGCGAGCCAGTGCATTTCACAGTTGACCCATGGTTTGGGCGTGTTTTTGATTCCTCGACATGCTGCATCTCTACCTCCCCAACCTCAGGCAGTGCCTCTGCTGCTTCAAGGAATATAGGAATCTGGAGGGCTTCAGCCAGGTGCTGTTGGAGCTGATCCGACTCGCCGTGAGCCTTGTATGTTGCCTTCGGAACAGCCTACAGCCCAGCAGCCTGAAGCCACAACCACAGGCAAGACCAAGTGCAGACCCTGCACTGCTATCAGCTGAGGATGGAAGCACATCCATTTAAATACGAAATGGAAATGGGCTAAGATATGTATTTAAAAATTGTGAAACATATCTGTTAATATATTTGTTTGTAAATATATGTACTTGGTATACAATCATTGGTGGATTAAGAATAAGGTTGCTATGTTCTTTGGTTCTTTCGGTAAAGTCACGTAGATAGGTTGAAAGAAAATAACAAAACTAGGACGTTTCGATCGCAACACAAGCGATCGTCATCGTGACGATCGTAGTTTTTTGTTGTTATTTTCTTTCATCCTATCTATGTGACTTTACCGTAAGACCCAAAGAATATGAATTCCTGCAGTCACGAAAGCTTTAAGTAAATAAGGTTGCTTCTAACTAAAATCTTATCAGTCTGCCAGCTTACAGCTATATTCAAAGCTGTCAAAATATTTGTGTGCTGTGTTTTACCAAAATTGTTTTAGCTGCCGGGTTAGATGGCATATACACAGTACTTGTGGTGTTGTTAGTCTGCATTATGCATTACATTCATGTCTGATGAAATTGACATCCTTTCAGTGTGCCAGGTGATACTAAAATCGATATAACTGAAAAATGAAAACGAGCACATTGATTTTTGTAGACACCTCGCATACATATCCTGCACAAGCTCCTGGCTCGCTGCAAAAAAATCTCATTGCTGGCAAATGGCGTCGCACGCTCAACAGGTTTTGTCCTTGTCACTGTTGAGCGACTGGCATTTTGCATCTTTTCCGTACCCAGCTCTCGGATCGTGTTGCGTAATTGCCGTGCTGTGCGTCCTGTGCTGTGCGTAGCTGGACGCCGACATGCAGATGGACTTTGAAGTGAAGGATGCGCCCCGACTGCTGGACCCCACAGCCGGGGGTGCAGCTGCCCGGGTCTTGGACGGAAAGGATCGGCGGGAAGGAGATGTTAGCGGTGGCGGCGACGGTGGAGGGGCCTGCTCGGGGGATGGTGCCGAGGAATCGGAGGTGTCAGCCGGGTCGCCTGGTGCGGCGGAGGAGGACTGGAGCAGCTGGAGCATTGAGGAGCAAGAGAAGCTGCTGCTGAGCATTGCCAAGATCTTCCAGATCCAGTTCCCTCTCTACACGGCCTACAAGCACAACACGCATACCACCATAGAGGCAAGGCGCGCTCGCGATGCTTGGCCATTTTTTAACATTTCCGAGGTATTGCATAACGTGCTCAGAGGTTATTGAAGGGGTGGAATTCAGAATCTGAATCTTTATTAAACCTGGAGAAATACAATTCGCTATGAAGCTTTTTTTCACATGTCAAGGAATGGGTGTTTCTTGGTAAGCCCATCATTTTTATAAGTGGCCACATCTCTCATTTCTCTCTTCCTGGCAGATAATTCATATTTAAGTTCACAAGTTTTACTATATAACATGATAAACTTGCCCACAGAGTGAAAAGTATTGAAATAATTCATTCTTGTCCAAATATATATTGTTGCCCTTTATTACAAATAACTTGGAAATGTTGAAGTCTGGTTGCCTTTGGAAACGGGTTGTAAAATCACAGTAACATTTTGTGATGACCTTGGTATATTCGTTAAAAGTATTGCTCGCTCATTCTGGATGCTTAAATGATTATGGCTAATTTTCTGATCGTTGGAAATAATAGAATAAATGTGAAACTGCATAGGACAAATGAAAAATAAATTGCTTTTTCGTAACTCATTCGAATTCATTATGAGCACTACATCCTCATTTGCTTTTGCTTAGAAGTGTTTTGTTAATGTTATTGGTTTGATAATATAATGCATTTCAATGTCGGCGATTCACGTGTGCACTTTTACAGACAGGATTAGAGGGGTGGTGAGTAATGCATCAGAAGTTTCAGAACATGGTGCTCTCATTTCATAAAACGTTTAGCTCAATCAAAATGCTATTTTATACAGTGAGCTTTAGACAGCCTGGCAGAGAGGGTAAAGGACTTATTATTGTCTCAATCTCTGGCTGTTTGAGGAGACTGAAAGATGATGATGATACGGGACCTGTTGAGTGATTGTTTTGTGTTTGAAAAGGTAAATATGTTTGAAATGGGATATTGAAACAAAGCCACGTGTAAAATGTCGTTTTAAAAGCTTTCGTGACTGCAGGGATTCATCTTCTTGGTTCTTTTGGTAAAGTCACCACGTAGAATGGAAATATAATAATAATAGAACCAAGAAGATGAAAGCCACGTGTTTTAGTTGCTTCTCAACCCAGGACCAAGACTTTCTCCTGGTCTGACTGCTGGGGTTTAGAGTGCTTGTCATTGGTAAATGGTTTTAACAGCAACTGTAAATCTCCAAGTTAGTTAAATTCTATAGGATTACGTGGGTATGATGAAATTAAACCATGGCATCTCTTATTCTTAACGGAATTAGAGCCAGAATTGTAAATATACACATTGTCAGGTGTGTGTTTTTTATAGTAAGGTCCAAAATCCCGTGCAACCAAGAAGGCTCGTAAATTAGTGATCCAGTGCTAATAGGTCATTCTAATTTTCAATATTCTGCTGGAGTTTGCGCTTTAAAACTTGAAATTTCTAAAATTCAGTCTCCAGTAAGTCTCTAAACCGAAGTCTAACTGCATAAATCATTGTGTGCAAGGGAATTTAAATTAAAATTATCTGTACATTGTGTTTTTTTTAATGTTTTGTTTGAAATTTCTCTTTAGGACATTTCGACAGCAGAAAGCAATTTGTTGGGAGCTTTTTGTGACATGAATGTAAGTTGAATGCAGACGTATTTTTACGACCCTTTGTTCCTCTGTATGCCGCTTGCTTTGCCTTGAAGTTCATTGCTTCAAAATTATATTAAAGGCACCGTATTGACTAAATTGGATGGAATGTAAGAAATATACGGATTACTAATTCACCTTGTCTGGTTAGAAAGGTTGATGGCAACATATAAAAAAATAAAAATAATTATTTAAAAGGGCCCACCACTCAGATGTCATAATTATCATGATCATCATTAATTGTCTATCCACTGCTGGATGAAGGCCTATCTATGCTGTCTCCATCCATCACGGTGCTGTGATGCCACAAGCCACTCTTCTGGACGTGAACCGATTTAATTGCCTGATCTATGGTGGCTTTCCTCTTAGTAAAACCCTCTCCGTTGGCTGCCATTCCATCACAAGACTCGTCCATTGGCCATCATCCCTTCTCGTGATGTGTCCTGCCCATGCTTATGAAGAACATTTTATTTTCAAGTTAACGATTCTGTGATTTCCGTACCTTCCCTGATCCCCCTCCTTCTCTGTCTGTCTCATTGTTATTTTAAGCATGCATCTCCAAGGTTCTTTGCTTACATTTCAATGGGGAGTGGCATTTTCTGCTTTCTTTGTCAGTGTCTGTTTATGGTTCCTGTGTCATAGTGGGTAAGATGCACTTGTTCCTCTGCAGGCTTATTTGCACATTACAAATCACTGCATGCAGCTCTTTTATGCTCTTTCATTCATCATTTTGATCCTAACAGTAGGCGATTGGTTTGTAAGTCTACATATTGTATAATGGAGTTTCCTGGCTGGCTGCTGGCTCCACTGCCCTTTACCCCATTAGTGGCTGCCACCAAAACGGGAGAAAAAGTTCAGAAAACGTGAAATATTTAGATTCACTAAAGACATGGGAGTACCGATTACGTAAGACTAACACGGTTAATTTAAAATTGCTATAACTTTTCAATGTGTGCTCCAATTGTAATTATCACGCCAGAACATCCTTAAATCTTAGAAAATAGAAAAAAACCTCACTAATGTAGAAAAACAGATGACTTGTTTTGCTCCGAGTACAGGATTGTGAAATGAGTGAAAATTCCAGCTGCCTCTGGTTTTCCATTGCAGAGCAATGGGTTCTCCACGGGTTGAAGTAAAAAATAAGTTAATTCTTCTGCTCATGCACTTTTGACTTTAAGCGACTTAAGCAACCCCCCCCCCCCCCACCACCTTGAGTGAAATTCAGAATCGGAATGAGAATCTTTATTTAGACTGGAGGAATCTGATGAGCTATGAAGCCCTTTTTCACAGATATCCAGTAGGGGTGAGTCAGCAAATTACAGCAACAAACATTACAACAAAAAACAATTGTTGTGGCTATCCACTGTGGAGCATTAGTTTCATTTCCTCACCTATGATGACTAAAACATGTAAAGACCACACACTGTGGACTGCATTTGTCGTGCTGTAAACTGCCATCGCCGCCTAGAAATCACCGAAACTTCCGGGTGTCCGTCTTGGCCATGTGAGCAAGTCTTCTGTCACGGTAGCATTGCCTATGACGCAGCCACTGCTTCTGTTGCGTGTGTAGGACGTGGAGGTGCCCCTGCACCTACTGCGTTATGTCTGCCTCTTCTGCGGGAAGAACGGACTTGCACTAATGCGGGAGTGCTTCGAGTTCGGCACACCCGAAACCCTGCCGTTCCCCATCGCGCATGCACTCATCACCCTCGTGTCAAACGTGAGTGCTGGCTGAGTTTTCTTATTGGAAGAAATTAATCTCATAACCGTGTAAAATGTTTCTCTGTCCGTGCCGCCATCCACTGGTATATATTCGTAACCGATTGTGATTCCCGTGCAGAAAAAAAGTTTTTTTTAAGGTGGACGCTGTGTGACCACCTCCCCTACCACTTCACTTCACCTAGCCTGCTGCCCACAATGCTCACAATTTTTTCTGCATCCGGAGCAGGTGTAGGCAAAGAGACATCAATCCTCACTATAAAGTTTGGAAAAGTTGTAAAAAAAAAACATGTAGACCCAAGGGAAGGTGTAAAACTGTATTTACACCCTTTATTTGTCCTTTATCTATCCTGTACTGTGACAGCAAGGGAAATTCACCCCATTAGTTGATTGCGCTTTGGAGCATTTGCTTGTCTTGTAGCACTTGTGCACGAATACTTTTATGACAACACAATGTGTTTACATTGTGTGCTCCAATTGTGTTGTCGTAAAAGTATTCATGCACAAGTGCTACAACACATTGTGCATGAAGAACAGCACATGCCTACTATGGGATTGCAGGGATCAAGAGGGCTTTGTTTTTTTTAAGATGAGTATTATTAAAATATGAGTGAAAGGGAAGAGAGGGATTTTTTACTTAACTTTCGTGACTGCAAGAATTCATATTCTTTGGTTCTTTCGGTAAAGTCAAGTAGGTAGAAAAATAATAATATGAAGTGAATAAAAATAATAAAAACTAAGCAACATGTCTCGGACCGTGTTCGTGGGCATAAGGCAGATTTGAAACACGGTAGGACCACTACTTCTGCCGTGGCTGATCATTGTTTTAATGTAGCTGGCTCACTTGAAATGGAGTTCTCTAAGACGATGGTACTTTTAAAGCCTACTGGCTATCAACAAAAATTCGTTCATGAAGCCGTCCATATATACAGACACCGACACAATTTCAACCGAGAGGATGGTTATAAGCTCAGCAATCATTGGAAAGATGTCATCAACCACTTTGGATCATGACTTGATTTGTATTTTCTTGTCAACCTCCACCATCAGCAGTGCGTGTGTGTGTGGAGCGAGGTGCAATGCTTTGATTGGTGTAGACCTCCTGCCGGTGTCGGAGTTTTCTCCAACAATAACATTACCTGCCCCACCCATCTCTAAACCTTTATATACAGTTTGCCTTTAGAGGCTAAACCCCCTTTTCCTGATGACGACCACTTGTGTGATCGAAACGTCGCAGTTTTTGTTTTTTATTTTTAGTATTACTTTTATTTTAATTATTGAAAGAACCAGAATAAGTCTACATTATAGACTGCCAGTGCACTCACTCAGGTTAAGAACCAGGCTACAGTCTGCATTATAGACTGCCAATACGCTCACCAGCTTAAAACCAGGCTACAGTCTGCATTATAGACTGCCAGTACACTCACCAAGGTTAAGAACCAGGATACAATCTACATTATCGACTGCCAGTACACTCACCAAACTTAATAACCAGGCTACAGTCCACATAGATTGCCAGTACACTCCGATTAAGAACCAAGCTACAGTCTACATTAGTGTGTTTTTCAGTTTTTATTTTTAATTAAATTATTTAAATTATTTTATTCACTTTATTTTTTATTGTTATGTTTCTATCTACGTGACTTTACCGAAGGAACCAAAGAATAGGGAAGAGAGGACTTTTGTACTGAATAATACATTCGGATACATAGAAACGGTCAGTTCAAGATAGATCAGAAGAGGAAGGCCTTATCTTGAACTTGAAAAGGGAAATTTAATCGCCCATTTAGACTGCCAGAGAGATTGAAACAGTCAAGTAGGCTGTAACAACCTATTAAAATTAACTTCACTAACACTGGGGTAATTTTATATTCACTTGTTGTTTTCCATGTATAGAAGTTACTGATGAAATTTCTGATGCATATGAATGGTTGTTTTTTTTCCAGATTAAGATTTGGCTGCATCTGCCTGCAGTCATGCAACATATTATTCCATTTCGGACTTTCGTAATAAGGTACGCGCGAGGATGCAAGCTATTTAAATATATTACCGTTTAATTCTAAATGATAGTTGTGGATTCAAAGGGAACTCTCAGTCAGTTAAAAGATTTGAAATAAATATGCACGAACAGTGTTTCATCTAAGAAGTTAAAATAAGTATTGCGAGAAAGAGAGAAAAGAATGTGAAAGATAATTGTTTCCGTTCATGTCCCGCTCGCAGGTACCTGTGCAGGCTGTCGGACCAGGAGCTGAGGCAGAGCGCCGCACGGAACATGGCAGACCTCATGTGGAGTGCGGTGAAGGAGCCACTGGACTCGGCACTGGGGTTTGACCGCGAGAGTCTCGACTTGGCCTTCAAGTACTTCACCTCGCCCACACTCACCATGCGGCTCGCTGGCCTCAGCCAAATCACGGTGAGCAAAATAAAAAAATTAAAAAGGCAAATTCACCCCGGTGCACCGTATAAGGTCTGTCAGTCAGAGAAAATGTTCTTCATTAGCATTTAGTGAGCAACTAAAGCATTAAGGGCAGCTTGGCACACAGCGGGTGGTGTGGGCAGCACCATATATGCTTGGCTGCCAGTTTCTCAAGTGTACCCACATCATTCCAGGTTTCCATTTGTATGCTTGGTCGACCTGCTATTGTTGTACATCACAGCCAGTAATCGATTCTGGGTCACTGGAGTTAGGGCACATTACATTATCACAGCACCATCAACTGTATGATGTGCTCGTTGGCCTTGTTCGATATTCCTGGACCAGCCTTTGACCTCATTCTCTGTAAGTGATCTTAGGGCTAATTAATATGGTGAGATGGGTGGCTGTGCCACAGAGAGCGATGAAATGTAACTGCAGCAATCCTAGGGCTGTAATTTTCTTGCCCCTTGGTTACATGTGCTGCCCTTGGCACAACCGTGAAACTTTAAATACTGTAACAAACCGTATGGACAGATTAATGTTCTTACATACAGACGTGTGATGCTCATGCCTATTTTCCCCTCCACAGAACCAATTGCACACATTCAATGAAGTTTGTAACAACGAGTCCCTCGTCTCCGATGCAGAAACGTAAGTCTATCTGTGTCCTTGTGTGAGTGTCTCTATGGCCTTAAGGGGAGCAGTAGTGCAGCGGTAGTTCAGCGGTTAGCGCACTGTGCTATGAACCCAGGGACCCGAGTTTGATTCCCGCTGTCAACACCAGTGACTATTATCTCATACAGTCATGGGCCTCTTCGAGGTCGACTCTGCCTCAAATGAGTACCTGGTGCGGTGTGTAAACATCGCCACGATGGAGACAATGGCGGTCGGGCGTGGTGCTGGCCACCTTCCCCCTCATGTGCCGTGCTGGCCTTCATAGGTGCTTGCTATCAGCACTTGCCCCAACAATCTGTTCATGCTATACGACGGGTATTTGGCTTTGTGTGAGTGCATTATGCCTGACTGGGCCATACCTATATATTTAGTGTCTGCGTTATTCATATTTGTTTGAAAACCCATTATTTTTAAACCTACAATTGTGTATGCAGTGGATGGGTTATGGATATGTGATCCCTGTAACTCGTGCAAGGAATTGCTGAGATTTTTTTTGTTTAAACCTTATTTAAAATAACTTAAACGTTTAAGTTATATTTCCAAGTAACATTGTAATTAAAACTTTATTTTGCTGAATGTAATGCCACGTAAAAAATGCCTTTGTAATTTTTTTTATCATCTTATCATTTATCCTTGGTATGTGGTGAAAGTACTGAAATATGATTGGCAAAGTACCCTGAACCTATAAAAAAGTTTTGCTTTAACATGTGCTTAAAATGAAAGCCTGCAATAATTGTCATGTCCTACAGAACCATTGCAAAGGAACTGGCTGACTGGTTAACTAACCACAACATTGTTGAGCACATCTTTGGACCAAATTTGCACATTGAGGTGAGAATACAATTATTGATAATTCAACACATAATCATTTTCATTCGGAGATAATTAACTTTTCTTTATTTCTGATGGTAGATATTCGGAAATTAAAATAAGGACCATGTAAGATGTATGAGATATACATTTAGATATTCCGACATGTAATTTATTGGGTGATTTTACACAATAAAAAAAAATGTTGCAGTATTATTTTAGCCTCTTTATTGGTTTTTGTTCATTGTAGAGTTTCTATTCTTAAACATGCTGTGAAAATGAACTTGAAAATATTTTATTTAAAAAATATCTGCTTTATCTCTTTGCAGTAACAGATCTCTTCGTATAAGCTCGTCAACAGTGCCACTCAATTGTAATTATAAAACTATAACCTTTCAATGGCTACAAACTTGCCCCTGCACCTGGTCCAGTTACCGTTCGCGAAGTGCAGTGGCAGCATGTCTTCCGTGAAACAAAAGAATCGCCAAGATAAAGCTTATTTCTTTTGGCACGTTTGATTTTCTGTCTGAAACGGGCAAGGAGAGTTAACAATGCTGGCAGATTTTGAATTCAGAGTTAATGAAGGCGGCAGATGGCTCCGCTGGAGAGCTCAAGTGTGCCGCTTGGCCGCCCTTTAAACGCTGCGATCAGGAACCCTGACGCGCCGTTCGGCTGGGAACACCCAGTGGCTGAGAGCCAAGTCCGGCCGTCTGCAAACACAACGCCTTGTCTCTCCCCAGATCCTGAAACAGTGCCAGGTCATCCTCAATTTCCTGGCGGCCGAGGGCAGGCTGAACACACCGCACATAGACTGTATATGGATGGCCGCTCAGGTAATTTCATACCGGTCGGCGTTTAATGGTAATGTGTGTGTGTGTGGTATAATTAAAGTTCACAAGGACCTGCTTCACTTCTTGTTAGTCATTTGTCTGAAGGCTATTGGCTTAAACATTGCATAAAGTAGCTGATGAAAAAGTGGACAGTTGAAGATTAGTTTTTATCCTAGACACATCTTTTAAACTTGTCTTCATCATAATCACCAGTCCTTTACTTCAAATCGGATGAACTAATTGAGACTAAAGTATCTTTTTCGGAAAACCTGCCTCAAAAAGCCATACATTTGATTAAAGGGTCAAAAAACGTCATACATGTGTAGAGGAGTAATGGTTGACATGACGTAAACTGGCATAAGCCCCTACATGAAGTTCTGTCTTTGCGTGCATCTTCACTACACAACACATGGTTGGAATACCAAGCAATACAGATACAACTTACATGAATATGAAACATTAAGTCGTAGTTGCAATTCAGAAAACAATAAATAAAGCACTTATATTATCCATTAAATTACTCCAATGAGTGTTTTATTCTCTGCCATTAATCATAATCAGAATCTTTATTAGTGGATTGGCACTGGAAACTGTTTTAAGATTATTAATGTTCCGAGTACATGCAAGCATGTGAGTGTTTGCGTGTTTGTCTACGTGGGGTTTTCTCCCGCATGCAGCTCAAGCACTGCAGTCGCTACATCCACGACTTGTTCCCGTCGCTCATCAAGCACCTGGACCCTGTGCCCCTCCGTCACCTGCTCGGGCTCGTGTCGGCCCTGCACCCCAGTGCGCACACTGAGCAGGTGGGCCCGTGATTGGAGACCTCTTCCAATCATCCTCACCAGTCGCTCGCCATGATGTATCCACGGCTGGATGAAGCCTTCCCCAAATCCGCCACCACGCATTATTAGCAGATGTTCGCGGTTGGAATCCACCTGCCACCCTTTTTATTACTGGGGGTGTATCAAACGTATATGTACACATCGTCTACTTCGAAGTAGACGTTAAAGGTCCAGTGATATTCGCATTGTGTGCCGGCATCATGGTTCCAAATTTGAAAAATGTGAAACATTTTCTGCAAATTACCTAGTTGGAATATACATGGCAATCATCGCCCTCTCCTGCAAATGTGCACGACCCTTCTGAAAAGGTTACGAGATTTTCCTGGGTATGCAAGCATGATAGTAATCATTAGTGTGCCACAGTTGCGAGATTAACTCTCTTGTCTGGTATACTAGAGTGTGTGGGTTCGATCCCAACTCTTGACACCTGTATATTTGGATTTTGCATGTTCTCCCTGTGGTCGCTTGGATTTTTCTCCAGGTCCTCCGGTTTTTCCCTCTACATTTAGAAATATGCGTTTAGAGTATTTGGCTGCTATACATTTTCACCTGATAAGCCACGTTGTTAAGCTATCATTTGTGGCCGGGTCGCTTGTTAAAAAGAGCTATATAGCCCAGTTGGTCTTTCCTGATAAAATAAAAAAAAGTTTAGTTTAACCATTACATACCTAGTAATCACAGATGTTTGGAGCTGGTGCCTTTGGGATCTCCAACTTCATGAGGCCCCAGACACAGAGGGCATGGTTTTCTGGTGGTAACATACATGTGTATTTTGACATGTACTTGGGGTGGATGTTTACATGATAGAATGACTGCTTCATTCGAGTGGTAACTGTTACTTTTTGACTTGTAAGGACAGTTGTCTAAACCTTCCTGTCCCATTGTGATGTTGGTTGCAGAACTCAATCTGCACAAATGCACTGCAGATGTGCTGATGTGCCAGCTTATATCAGCCAGCTCTAATTTAATTATCTGTTTTGTCCACATTTTTGCTCTTTTTAGTTTCTTAAAAGCAGATTCCCTTTTTTATTCCTTTTCTCAGCTGTCTTTTCTCACTGAGCACAAAATATTTTGTCTTAATGGTTCTCTCCACGACAATCATCCTTGCAATGACAGGTTAGCCTGATAATTCAAGAGGCTATAACTGCCTTTTTGCATATTTAATGGATATTAATATTTAATAAACAGTGCGAAAACTTGTGTTTCTCTCCCTCCCTCTCCAGACGCTGTATTTGGCCTCAATGCTGATAAAAGCCCTCTGGAACAATGCTCTTGCAGCCAAATCTCAGCTCTCCAAGCAGAGTTCCTTTGCATCGCTACTGAACACTAGCCTACCCCTCGGTGCTAAGAAAGGTAAACAAATGCTTCACAAATGAAAATTACCACCTTGCCTTGAACGCTTTGTGGACACGGTGACAAAAATATGAATCGCTACCCTTATACAATGAATTGGACAAACATCAGAAAAGCTGCATCCTCTAATGTATATGTTTTCATTCAGCTTCATACATTTGCATCTATCAAAAAAGGAGCGTTTTAATTTTGTGTGGCGCTGACAAATTCTACCTTAATTTGGAGCACTGACAGCCATCGACTGCGGTTGCATATCAGGTGAGTGTCGACAGTAACAACCTGTGCGTGTGCGTTCGTGCGTCACAATGAGCAGCGGGAGTGGGCAGTCCAGAGAGCAGCGACAACAGCGACACACAGCCAAGTGGCGGCAGTGACGTGGAGATGGAGGAGGAGCCCTCTGTGCACCGGCCCAAGCGGCAGCCACAGCCACAGCAGCAGCCGCAGCTGTCGGACTCTGAGGTGCTCATTGCGCTCCCACTGCCTCTATATTACAGTGCTTGAATTAACCTCTTTCCTGAGTTTCTGCAGTAAGGCCCATCGTGGACTATTCAGTAGCGACTCTTTAATTTCTCATTGCCTGTGTGGTTTTCACAGCAGTTTTTCTGCAGATTAGTAGTCTACGAGCATTGACTAAACAGAGAGCTACACCTCTGTTTCATCATACCGCATATGTGTCTTTTGGGTAACATTTGAGATGGCTTGAAATACTGGGCAATGTTCATGTCCTCAGTGTATTCGTTTTCAGATTTGCGTTTTTGTAGATAAGTGCAGTTGCTGCATTTTTAATAAATATAGTACTTAAATTGATTAAACTTCATTGAAGGTTCACCCTTGGGCCTATTACTTTAACAGTAGTGCTGTGCCAAAAAATTAATTGCATGCTGAATACCAACATGTGCTACAGGAGTCCGTGCAGGGCAGTTCAGACGAGACGGCGAACAGCCGCGAGGACGGGGGCAGCAGCAGTGGCCGGAGCGAGGACTCGAGCCCAGGCGACGCCGACGCCAACAGCAGCAGCAGCAGTAGTGGTAGCGAAGGCCCCAGCAGCTGCTCGCTGGGCAGTCGCACGCCCATGGACGACAACACGGAGGATGGGGAGGAAGCTGGAAGGAGGGCGGCGGTGGCAGCAGCAGCTGCAGCTCGCCAAGCCAAAGGAGGAGACGCTGCTGGCTCCGTGCTCCTACAGGGCCGCGGCAATAAGACTGAGACAGCGTCGGCACTTCACGATCTTCGCGAGCGGCTGGGACAGTGCTCAGCAGACCGCCTCGGCCAGCCTTGCCAAGTGGACAGGATGCCTCACTGCCACTCAGAGGCTCTCTCCTCGCAGGGGCCAATGGAACGACAGAGCCAGTCGGATGTTGAGAAGCTGGGGCAGTGCCCCTCAGAACTGGGCATGAAGACCGTGAACGTTGGTGCCGGGTTTGGCCCAGAGCCTGCGGAAAGGAGGCCGAGATCGCTGACGGACGATCGTGAGACAACGGTTCCCACTGTTGCGGCGGTGGCCGCGGCAGTGGTAGCGGCAGCGGCAGCAGCGGGGGGCACCGGGGTTGTGCAGGCAGTGGCGGGTGCGGAAGTTGGGTGTGAACCGCAAGTATCGTGCGGAGGCGCCCACGCGGGGACGGCAGCCGGGCTGCTGGGAGAGGGGATGAACACAGAGATCTTCGACTGCCGGGGATTTATCGCACAGCAGAGGCACCATCACCACCACCACCATCACCACCACCACCATGACGATGGGTAAGTGGCACATTATTATCAATCTTTGAGCCAAAGATAACCAACATTTTGCATTTGCACCATTGTTGAGTTTATTCAAATGTTTTCATTTAAACTTTTTTTAGCAGCTCATGATATTTTCAATGTATAGGTTTTCACAGCCAATATGATTTATGATAGCTTTTTGGTCATGCCATATAATGAATGATCTGGCCAAAATTGTGTCGTTAAGGTCCTCCACCCGACATAGCCAAACAAATTACATTGTCCCGTGTACAAGTGTTTAACGTGCAAAATATTATTGTTTTAACTTATTGGTTAGTAAATAATTCACACAACCAAATTCAGCAAAATTTTATTCGACTTTTCATTTGAAACTACATCAAGCATCATAATGACAAGATCCAGGAAATCCGAATAAAAAAAAAAGTCAGACGAAGCGTGTCACTTAACCGGTTCATTGTAATTGTTCTTTAGTATACTTGCTTGTAGTTAATAATCGTACTATTATGTCGGTAAACACTAATGCTATCCCGACCTCATCAGCTCTGCAGGGTTGTTAAATGCTTGGATGGGTAACTTATCATGCACGAGCAGGTTGTCCATAGGGCTGGGAGGCTCCATGGTAGGCAGTAGATAGCAATTAATAAAATGTTGTTATTCTGTACTCGAATGCTTCAATGACTTTGCTTCCCTATGACCCGCATTGCGTGGGGAGGACCACATCCAGCAGTGGATAGAGTAAGGGGCTCTACACATACCCATTTGCTGGAAGGTGCTGCCGCACACCTTGGACCGCATTGGGATGGTTGCTACTGGGGTTTACTCATCCAGTTTTCCGCAGGGCTTTAAAATGGATGAGATGCGATGTCAAGCTCTTTGAGATGCAGTCACTTAAGTACCATATAAATGCAAATATTTTCATCCTTTTTAAACACATGTGAGATTGGGTGAGACAAGTAGGACGAGTCAAGTGGGTTAAACACAAGGAGATTGTGAATCTCTCTGCCTGTGCTGCAGACCACTGGACGAGGACATGCTCAGCGCGGACGACGTGAGCTGCAGTAGCTCGCAGGTGAGCGCCAAGTCGGAGAAGAACATGGCCGACTTCGATGGGGAGGAGTCTGGCTCGGGATGCGAGGAGGAAGAGGAAGAAGAGGAGGAGGAAGAGGAGGAGGAAGAACTGGCTCGCATCAACTCGCACGTCGAGCTCACATCACACTTGCAGCCCCCGCGCCTACCCAACCTCGCGTCGCTCTACCGGGGTCACATGCCACAGGGTGAGAGCATCTTGCGGAGCTCACGCCCTCCTCTGCTCGTTGGTCATGTGACAGTGCATCGAGTCGTCTGTGAAAATCACTCCTCTGGCTCGTGATGCATGCATTGAATTGCGTACATGTGCGAATGAGTCATCAAGTTACTGTTATGCCGTCATTAAGAAGAAAGTCATATCTGGGTACTTTGGCCAATTGACCTTCATTTGAAAATAATATGCAATTTTACTTGAAAAAACGAAGAAACAATACAAACGAGATTGTAAAAATTAGACAAGAAATTCATAGATATTTTTTTATTTATTGTACAATGACCCTGAATCCTGGCAATCGCTGGGAAAGAGGAATGTTGGGGGAGGAGATGGGGGATGGTTTGATGAGGCTGCCTATTACTGTATGCAGCCAGTTGATCACCAGCACTGCCACCAGCATGTACACATGGCCTCAGAAGTCTTCCTGCTACCCATGCATCTGGGGGAATAATGTCTTGACACTCAACTTGTTGGTAGGCATAAGACAACCTCTGTATTGCTTTAATGCTATGCTAACATTTTACCCTTTATAAATGTAATATTGTGTTTATTTATGGTGGTGTGGCATCGAAATCCCTCTGACACTTTCCCAAAGGATTGTGTTTTCTTAATTTTTACATGACCTATGAGCAAGTCACCTAAAGTATGTGCCAAATCTCAGAAGCTAAGCATGTTTGAGCCCGAATAGTGCGTGAATGAGTGACCACCATGAACAAACAGGATGTCTTAGGCCTGTGGGGCTAAGTGACGTGCAGTAGAAGAAAGTGCAGCAAAATCCATTGTTGCTCTGTACTTTTTTGCTTCCCCCGTCTATGCCTCCCGGCTCAAAATCCCCCCACGAGCCACTCTGCATGGGGGAGCCGTAACCCAGCAGTAAATTGTCAAAACGGCTGTACAGGTACAAATATGCAGGCTTTTGTAAAATAGGGCTGAATTGTGTCGCGGTCCGGTCCGTGTTGTGTCGGTGCCGTACAGCCGGGGCCATGCACAAACACCAGGGTGGCGGTGGCACGGTGGCCGACATCAACCTCGACAACGTGTGCCGTACGGGCAGCACCCTGCTGTGGGACCTGGTGCAGGACGAAAACGCTGTAAGCTCATATCACGAACTTTGGTCCCGCCCCTTTTGAAAATGTGCTTTTTTTCACTTTTACAAACAATACTCCAGTTGTACCATGAGTCACGTCATGAGGTGAAGAAATATCAATTCTGAGCACTCTGTATGAGCAGTGCAATGTCACCACATGTTATGGATGTCGTAGGACACTTGCTGTGATCCGATCAAATGTGTGTATCTATGTTGAACTTCTTCCGCACCGGATGTAGCCAACCATGCTAATTCGATGTGTGGGACTTATCAGCCACACAAAGGTTTAACTTTCCCATGTGTCCTGATATAGAGATAGTTGTCGTATGGCAGTCAAGACTTAAAAAATTGGAAATGCCAAAATATGACCACATTAGGTCACAATTTAATACACAAGTAAACGTTTGACGATGGGTTTTTTTTATGCAGTCATTGGTAACCCTGTGTGAGAACCATCAGCTTGGTACACTTGAGAATCCAACTTGTTCACGGGTGGCTGCATGAATTCGAACCCTGGAACTCCCAGTGGAACCAGATTCTGTGCTCGGATCCATTATACACCTTGCTACCTCGCTGTTGCCCTTGTATCTCATAATGTATGCTTCCTCCCCGAAGTCTTCACTTCTTATTTAACTTCATTATTTGCCCATTGAATTTTTCATTTTTTTCTTGATTTCCTTTTCATCATATAATGATCTCCACAAATCTATTTGTTTCCATTCTAATTACTTAGGGATACAGTTTTCCTATAGTTCATTCAATACATGCTTTTACACATTTTTATGTCAAGCATGCCCAATGTATCTTCATTAAATTCCATAAATCTGTTATTGATTTAATCTTCTCTCATCCCCTGTGTTATTCTCAAAATACCTCTTAATGACCTTTGTGTAAAGTGACTGCTTCTTCATTACAGGTTCATCTGGCAGAAGGGCTCATCGCAGAGGCAGAGAAGCTCTTGTGCTCGCTTGTGTGCTGGTTCACTGACCGGCAGATTCGCATGAAGTTCATCGAGGGCTGCCTGGAGAACCTTGCCAACAACAGGTGACCAATGCCGGAATTCTCACCTTCCAAGCATTAAATTGTTAGGTTGTAAAGGTGTAGCCCTGCAATTGCTGTCTTATGCCACTGCTGGCAGAAGAGCTTCCACTGGAGGGGATATGAATGCCCCTCTGGCAGGGTATTAGGCCTAAGATTCCATGCTGGGCAAAAATTTTTGAATAGGTGGAACTACCCACACTTTAACCCACCACTTACAAACTGCCGATTGACTAACTGTGGTATACCCATTGATCCTGCTGGGTGGACAGATGCAGCGGGGTTTAAGAAACCTGCATAGTTTTTTCAACTGCGGCATTATTAGATCGAATTGAAATGGCTGCCTTTGTATTGCAGGTCCAATCTGCTCCCCAATGATTGCCAGAAGAGCCTAAATCCACGGCCTTGGCCAGAAAACCCTTAACTTTATGCACGCTAACTGCGGTGGGATTCCATCTTATGTATTCTGAGGAAATGTAATCTGATCATGCGCGCAGTCACGCTGTGGTGATTTATTTGTTTTCAGTTAGGTGGCACAGCCCTTTGTTGTTCCAGCTTCGTGATGAAATGTATCCACGTGGAACTTGGTGTCCCCTGACTGTAACTCGTCTGACGATCTCTCCGAGCGCACGGGCAACGGTCGACACTGCCGCGCTCGCTCATCGTGAGTGCGTGGGTCCGTCCTCTGCAGGTCTGTGGTCGTGTCACTGCGTCTCCTGCCCAAGCTGTTTGGAACGTTCCAGCAGTACGGTAGCAGCTACGACACCCATTGGATCACAATGTACGTTCACTTTAATTTGTCTTCGATCTTCTTTATCTGTTTTTAAGGGGCTGTTGTGTTTTACGTGTGCGCTAACTTGCTGACCCGCCCTGACTGGACATCTGTGATAAAGAGCTTCATATCTCATTGGATTATTCTTGTTTAAATAAAGATTCTGATTCTGATAATCCGTTATGTATGATGGTATGTATGTATGTTGAACTTCTTTCGCACATATGTAGCCAACCGTGATAATCGGAGGTGCGGTAAAAATGTGTATACAATGTGTATATAATTAATAGTCATGGTAGTGCAGCTTATAAGATACATGGAGACGATTGCATGCAGTCTGTTTATTCACAGGAGCCTTGCCACTCTGGCAGAGTTTATTTCACTAAAAGGTATAAACTATCCCCAGACAATTTCTGTGTTGAACTTATAATTAATTTAATACAGTTTCTTCCTTGTGGGCCATTAAAAGAATACAAAAGAGAATTTGAATTTATAGAGGTGAGCCAGCTGGAACAAATCCTTATTCTCATTCCAATTTTTTTTTTACTCTTGAAGTTGTGCCCATGTGTTCTCAAGAATACTAATGTGTTTTCCTTTGGCCTTCTGCCTGACTTAGCTGTTGCTCATTGTCTACTTGGAGCCACATTTGCTCATTGCTGGTTGCTGGCTTGATTGCTCAATTGGTTCTCAAATCTGAAGGGCAAAGTTTGATTTAGAATAAAGTGACACTCATGACCAACTGAAGTTCCATTAACTTGTCCAGCCAGGTTGAACCTGGTGTAGGATCATTGCATTTGTACGTATTTAATCATAAACTGCTCTGGCACTTATTGCTGTGGTTTGTTTGCCCGTCAGGTGGGCCGAGAAGGAGCTACACATGATGAAGCTCTTTTTTGACAACGTGATGGAGTACATTCAAGCCGTGCAGGAGGACAGGCACCACCACACTCTGTACGACCTCAAAAACTCTTTATCGTTTGTGTGGCAATATGCATTTTCTCTGATTATTTATGGATGAAAATCATGTTGTTCAGTTCATTGCTGTGGACTTAAGAATAATGAGTTATGTCTCTTTGGCAGAAAGAACTTAAGCCACTTTTTACAGCCCTTTATCAGTCCACTGCTGGATGAAGACCTCCCCACACCCTGTTGATCTCATGGGAGCTATTTGACTTTTGTTAAAGTGCGGGATCCAGGACTGATTCAGATGTCACTTGCCACCAATGTCAGCAGCTGTCGCCAGGAATCGGGTTCGCCGGGTTCATAGCACAGCATGCTAACCATTGTGCCACCACTCCATCCAAGAATATTTTCTACCTATAAGATCTTACCTGTGTCAACAATAGGATTTTGTCACTAATGCGCATTAACCATCTGTCCACTGCAGATATAGCCACGGCACTGAGGTTCAAGTTCGGTTGCAGTTTCTCACTTGTGTCTTCTCCACACTTGGATCTCCAGACAACTTCAGTAAGTTATTCTCGAGATATCTTCAGTCTTATCTTCGTAAATGAAACCCGACCTTTCAAAGAGATGTGCAGCCGATTGCTAGCAATGTAACATTGGAGATAAAACGAAGAGGCATGTCATATTTGGACTCTTTGATGCAAACAATATTTAAGCTTGAAAATTTACCTTGAATAGAATAAATCTTCTGTTTGACAGCACCACAGTCTTTACACTCATTCTTAATGTATCCATCAACCATCTGTACGGAATTAGCGTGTGCATATGTGAAGCGTAGCAAGTGGCTCTTGCGCAAGCACATCTATTAGTGCGTGCATGTGTGTGCAGGGCTGAGTCTGGAGCAAGTGGACATCCTGTGGAACTGCCTGGTTACTGACCTCGAGTGCTCAGATGACGCCCTCCACTGGTTCCTGAACCAGGTGCGCAGCAAGGATCAGCACGCCATGGGCATCGAGACCTACAAGCACATTTTCCTGGAGAAGGTGGGTGGCCCTGTGTGAACTGGGCTCCGCTGGCCTGCGTGTGCCCTCGGTTGGGATTTTGTATTGGTCTCTATATGCATTGACATGCGTGGAGAAAAAAGGTGGCAGAGATGTTTTTGCTTGAGATTTTTATCAACAGCTGCTTAAAGGTGCCATTGTGGTAATTTCAAGGTATCGAAATAATTAATTACTCGATAAATGTTTTCATTGGTTTTAAGTAAATATGCCAAATAAAAAAAATTTGGTTTGATTTTAATTTGTTTCAACACCTGACAAAGTTAAAAGGTGTCACCACATAATCTGGATAATGGGCCGTCAAAAATAAGTATTTCTGTGATGCCATTTTCCAGTGGCCATTCTGTAACGTGCACTACTCTCCGAGTTCCAAATGCACATATCACATTGAAAGATGCTTCTCGCACAATTGACATGTAGATAACATTACGATAAGTGACATTACAAGTGGTAGGGCAGTGCAGTGGTTAGCACGCTGTTTTATGAACCTGGCTACCTGAATTCGATTACCTACCATAATTAAAATAAATTATGAGTTATCTGAACCAGTCATGGATTCCCCCCCCCTGTCTTAACCAACCCGCACAGACCAGCGTGGTAAATTATGGTTAAATAACTAAACCCTTTTGTGACGAGCGTGGGGAAGGCTTCATCCAGCAATGAATTGAAAAAGGCTGTGCATTTTTATTGTTTTCATTACGACTACGCTACATTGCCCATAATAAACATTAAAGTTGTATTGGGTTAGATCGCGTACATATAATTGTGTCGTTTAACCCGCCACCGCCCCACTCAGCCAATTAGTAAGGTTTGTCATGTTAACCAAATGTGACAATTTTACATGTAGGCTTTCACGACCAATATCATTATAAATACAATATCATATTAATTGGCACATGGAAAATGTGCCAAATAGTGACTGCTTAAACAAACCGGTGTGTTGAAGAGTAAACCCACAACGTTTAAAATTCGAGTATGACGTTTCACTGGTGATTACAACCAGCTTCATCAGGTGATAGCCAGAATTGTGAAGACATCCTCCTGTTTATGTTTTAAATAGGGGAATAAAGGTGATGTCATCACTGTGGGCCTATCAGGTGCAAAGACCAGAGGGGGCTGATTATAGTCATATAAGTTATAATGGATTATGTTAATCTGAGAAAATGCATTACCTATTATTGGTTAGGTTATTCACGGTTAATCAACATACAGTGAGGGAAAAAAGTATTTGATCCCCTGCTGATATTGTACGTTTGCCCACTGACAAAGAAATGATCAGTCTATAATTTTAATGGTAGATTTATTTGAACAGTGAGAGACAGAATAACAACAAAAAAATCCGGAAAAACGCATGTCAAAAATGTTATAAATTGATTTGCATTTTAATGAGGGAAATAAGTATTTGACCCCCTCTCAATCAGAAAGATTTCTGGCTCCGCGGTGTCTTTTATACAGGTAACGAGCTGAGATTAGGAGCACACTCTTAAAGGGAGTGCTTCTAATCTCAGCTTGTTACCTGTATAATAGACACCTGTCCACAGAAGCAATAAATCAATCAGATTCCAAACTCTCCACCATGGCCAAGACCCAAGAGCTCTCCAAGGATGTCAGGGACAAGATTGTAGACCTACAAGGCTGGAATGGGCTACAAGACCATTGCCAAGCAGCTTGGTGAGAAGGTGACAACAGTTGGTGCGATTATTCGCAAATGGAAGAAACACAAAAGAACTGTCAATCTCCCTCGGCCTGGGGCTCCATGCAAGATCTCACCTCGTAGAGTTGCAATGATCATAAGAACGGTGAGGAATCAGCCCAGAACTACATGGGAGGATCTTGTCAATGATCTCAAGGCAGCTGGGACCATAGTCACCAAGAAAACAATTGGTAACACACTACGCCGTGAAGGACTGAAATCCTGCAGCGCCCGCAAGGTCCCCCTGCTCAAGAAAGCACATACATGCCCGTCTGAAGTTTGCCAATGAACATCTGAATGATTCAGAGGACAACTGGGTGAAAGTGTTGTGGTCAGATGAGACCGAAATGGAGCTCTTTGGCATCAACTCAACTCGCCGTGTTTGGAGGAGGAGGAATGCTGCCTATGACCCCAAGAACACCATCCCCACTGTAAAACATGGAGGTGGAAACATGTTTTGGGGGTGTTTTTCTACTAAGGGGGACAGGACAACTTCACCGCATCAAAGGGACGATGGACGGGGCCATGTACTGTCAAATCTTGGGTGAGAACCTCCTTCCCTCAGCCAGGGCATTGAAAATGGGTCGTGGATGGGTATTCCAGTATGACAATGACCCAAAACACATGGCCAAGGCAACAAAGGAGTGGCTCAAGAAGAAGCACATTAAGGTCCTGAAGCGGCCCTGGCCAGTCCCCAGACCTTAATCCCATAGAAAATCTGTGGAGGGAGCTGAAGGTTCGAGTTGCCAAACGTCAGCCTCGAAACATTAATGACTTAGAGAAGATCTGCAAAGAGGAATTTGGACCAAATCCCTCCTGAGATGTGTGCAAACCTGGTGGCCAACTACAGGAAACGTCTGACCTCTGTGATTGCCAACAAGGGTTTTGCCACCAAGTACTAAGTCATGTTTTGCAGAGGGGTCAAATACTTATTTCTCTCATTAAAATGCAAATCAATTTAGAACATTTTTGACGTACGTTTTTCTGGATTTTTGTTGTTGTTATTCTCTCTCTCACTGTGCAAATACACCTACCATTAAAATTTTAGACTGATCATTTCTTTGTCAGTGGGCAAACATACACAATCAGCAGGGGATCAAATACTTTTTCCCTCACTGTACATACATGATTTTAATATGAGTATACAGAGAATATACAGTCGCTATTATTGACTGCTTAAAATTAATTGCCACGTTTTGTTTAGGTCACAAACTTTACTAATTGGTTGTCGAGTAGTGGCGGGTTTAACGACACATTTATATTTACACAATGTAACCCATATACACCTTTCATGGATAATTTGGTCGCGAAAGCCTATGTGTTTAGCTACATTGCATTTGTGAACAACGTGAAGCAAGGTGCACGTTAAGTGATGGGTCTCCGCGATCTGTATATGTCATCACAGCACTGACTGAAAATCTTTAATGTGTGCTGCTCCCTATCCCAGATGCCACAGCTGAAGCCGGAGACGATCAGCATGACGGGGCTCAACCTCTTCCAGCAACTTTGCAACCTGGCGCGTCTCGCGAGCAGCGCCTACGACGGCTCCTCCTCCACCGAGGTGCCTCCCTTGATTTGTTTACAGTGGGGATGGTGTTAATTGATTGATCAAAGAACAACTCGTAATTATGAGCATACTTCTGCTGAAACTGTTCAAGCTATGGGACCAAAAACACTACGGTAATGCCATATTGCCAGGTGGCATCGGCCTGTAGCTGTGAGGGGAGGCCAGGAGATGGTAATGCTGAGTGACCCCCTTGTATGTGGGCTTGTTTGCTTTTAATACCCCAGTTTCCTCCCATATCCAAAACATGTTACTGTAATTGGCCAAACATTTAAATATAGGCTCGTTCTAAAAAATATATATTATAGACGTGTTGAACATTTCCTGGTAAAGAATTGCCATTTTATTATTGATGTATGTGGGGTAGTAGGGTAGGAGAAATATAACCAGTCTTGTTTCCTGTGCTGTGTTGGGACAAGAGTTACTCATGCTGCTTTTACAAGGGTACATGTGCTTATGGTTATGGTATCCACTAGCTTGTTACAGAGCACAAATAGCATGTCCTTGGAAATAAGTATTTACAATGTCTCTTGAGTTTTTTTTTAAACCAGCATTTCCCATGCTGTGTCCATGTAGTATTGAAATGTAATAGTTTCTCGTGTGCATGTTAAGTCAAAGTAGTCATGTACTAATGTTGAAATGAAAGTGAATGCATAAATAATAGAAATAATTGGTGTTGTTTACCGTTGCTGGGCCTGCATAAACGCTTACGTGGGATATTCAATTTTAACACCATTCTGCCGTTTGCCACAGCCGTGTGGGATGGACCAACTTTGGGGGATCGCACTGCGAGCACAGAAGGTGGATGTGAGCCGTGCAGCCGTGCAGTATATCAACTCCTACTACATCAATGGTAAAGCAGCAGCCCCTGCCACTTCAGTGTCCCCCACGTGATTTTTAATCACACTGAGAACTCGTTTGTTTTTGTCATTGATTTGTTTCGGCTGAGCTGGTGAGAGGTTGCATTAAGAATATTGGCCAGCAGACGTCGAGAGCTATAGTGTATCGATACTGCACACTGGCCCTATTGGACATGAAATCGTTATTGCAGTACTGCAACTCGTTAAAAAAAACTCATGAAAACGCCCAGAAATAGCAACTTGTATTTATTCTGATAGCTCATTAGTCACAGCTAAATATTTGGTGTGGCACCCATGGCTCCTCTTCTGTTTCCATGGCCAGGTTGTAACGTGCTGTTGTTGGTGCTTGTGCGACACTTTTATGTTTCTTTAGGAAAGAGTGGTCTGGAACGGGAGCAAGAGTTCATCAACCGCTGCATGGAGAGCCTCACGGAGGCCTCCAACAGCCTGGCCCTGGACCCCCGTTCCAGCCTCATGGTCATCGAGCGAGGCCTCTTGCTACTCAAGACCCACCTGGAAGCCTTCAAGCGGAGGTAAGCTCTGCCTGCTGTGTGAGGCATAGTAGTAGGCACACTAAGTAAATGCAGAATGGCTTGAAATACTGCCACCCACTGCAATTACATTAAATGGGATTGTTTCGTTTGTTGAACAGATGCAGATATGTTTTTGTTCTACAAGTACACATTCAAATGTATATTAATCCATTACAGGCATAACATACTCAGCTGAACAATAGAGCACGTACATTTGGAATTATAAATAAAGTGTGTGCTCCTCTCAGTCTTGTTGACTAAACTGACGAGCACTCATTTGAATAATACAGACAGTAATTCAGAAAACAATAAGCAGCAGCCTGCAAAGGCTGAATTAACACAGTTGGATTTGAGCCATGGTTAATTATGTGTCTACAGCTGGTGTCAGATGCAGGCCTTAGCTTTGGCAGAGCATGCGTGTAGTCGTTAAGTACCATCCTGTGCTCGTACTGGGCGAGAGGACGCCTCGGTGGTTGCTGTGCCAGGTGATTGTACACATGTCCGTGTCGTCTCCTCCTCACCCGCTGAACCCACACACACGACAGGTTTGCGTACCACTTGCGGCAGTGGCAAATAGAGGGACACGGCATCAGCAGCCATCAGAAAGCACTGAGCGACAAGCAGTCCATGCCCATCCGCATTGTGTGTCAGCCAGCCGGCCTGCCCGACAAGGTGAGAATAATTTGCAGCGGGTTCTGAATAGTTTGGGAGTTTTTTTTTCTCTCCCGCCCCCCCACCCCAAGATATTGCTATACTTTTATAATATTCATCATCATTATTGGTCATCCTTTGCACTGGTAAAGGAAGACCTCCTCAACTCGTTGCCATACCTCACGGTTCCGTGATTTTGCAAGCAATCAATTGCCAGCACATGAGGTGATGTCGTTGCTCCATCTTCACAGTGGTCACTCTCTTCGGTCTCAACTGGACAAAGCCCACTTATTTTCCTTAAGAGTCATTATGATATCTCTTAATAATTTAATGTATCATCTGTATGTTCCTTTCTTTGACTATCAGAGTTGTTCCAAGCTATTTGTGCACTTTTCAGCTTAAGTTATATTGTTATATCGATGTCCATGTTTATAATGGTATATTGCTTTTCATGATAGGGTTTTGTTTTCCTCAAACACTCCATCATATTCTCAATTACCTCTGTATTTTATATATATTTTTTCCTAGTTCACCTTCCAAGTTTTGCCCTAGGTATACATTCTATGATATATTTCCACTTGTATCCTCAAACAAATATCTTAATTTGCTTGAGCAAACTTCTACCTGACGTTTTTATCGTTTATCTCGAGCCTAACATTGCAACTTTGTTTATGACATAAATTGTTCACATTAATCTTAAAAAACTGAATGGACAGGTTGGAGGCCGACAAACTGCTTGAACATGCCGGATTTAAGAAAGGATTGTATGCCGTTGTCTAGCAGTAACTCGTCTGCCGCTTGTTGCAGAGATTAGTAGTGTGAATCCATGCCCCACGCTGATTATTACTGCAGCTGTAATAACCTTAATATGCGTGGTATGCTTCAGGTAGAACATTAAAGATCCCCTGAAGTCATTTCCAGAAGTAGGCCCCATTGTGTGCTGGCATCAGGGTCCAAATATGCATATTACTCTCTTGTAGCGGTTCCCAACCTGTGTTTTGTGGAACCCTGATGGTCCACGAGGCTACTACTGGGAGTCCAATGGAAAAGATAAATAATAATATCCTGACCAAGGGAATGTATAATTTCAAACAACTAGGAACAGCAAGAAAATTTCAAATTTTCTTGCTGTGGTTTTCACACCTGATGACGATTGCTTGTGTTGCAGTCGAAACGTCGTGAGAATTTTATTGTTTTATATATTTTTATTTTATTTTATTGTTTCCCTTCTACGTGACTTTACGACAGAATTTTTCGATTTAAAGCTTTCGTGACTGCAATGATCATCTTCTTTAGGTTCTTTCGGTAAAAGTCACGTAGAATGGAAATAAAATAATAAAAAGAAAACATTTTTATCTCACTGACACATTGGATCATGTTTGTGTATGTGTGGTCGATGGCAAACGGCATCTGTGCAAAACAACTTTGAAGCAATAGAGCTTTCGGTACAAATCATGTGAATCAAAGGAAATGCAATTTTTATTTTACTCTTTTACGCTATTCTAGCCGAGTGTCTTAGTACACGAAACAATAAAGTTCTGGCAACTAATCCGCCTTGTGCAGCTGACTTCCTTCAGAGGGGGCCTATCATTGTGCTTCTACTGGCAGTGTTCTATCTGCAATTAAATCCGTTAATCCGTTCTGTGAGACCTAACTCTAGCTTTGTCTGCTGGCTCCACTTTCGCCAGTGAAGCAAGAGTGGTTTACTCGTTTTTCCCTTGGCGATTACCGCATTCACTGAGCCACCTGGCCAACTCGCCCTCTTCACAGATGACCATCGAGATGTTTCCGACGGACCAAGTGGCGGACCTGCGTGCCGAGGTCACGCATTGGTACGAGAGCCTGCTCAAGGAGCAGATGAGCCAGCAGGCGCAGGTGCAGGAGTTTGGCTCTTCGGGACGCCACGGCGACTACCACGGTGAGGCTCAGCTCGGCAAGTCACGCACACCACCTCCAGAAAGTGCTTGGGCAATTGAAAACTCTTGCACACAAGCCACATGTTGGTTGGCATCACTGGGAAAGATGTGTTGTGTTATTGTGTTCTGTGTGTGGAACATTAGCATATGCCTGCTCGGAGCATTTAAGAAAATATAATACGTATTAGAGACATGTACAATGCGATACACGTTTGACTGTTATTTAAACCACTTTCTCTAACTTGGTGTACAGGTGGCCTGATGGGGCCTGTGCGAATGATTTCGTCTGGACACGAGCTCACGACAGACTATGATGAAAAAACACTCCACGTCCTTGGCTTCAAGGACATGCAGGTGCAGTGACGAACAGGAAGATCGTCAGTTTAACACAGGCTATTGCGACCAATATCATCCATCATAAAGGGATTTATTTTGGGTTAGATTGTGTAAATATAAATGTGTAATTAAACCACCACTATCCGACAGTAAAATAGTACGGTTTGTCACATAAACAAAACGTGCCAATTAATTACTTCTTCAGCGCACCTGTGTTTTAAAGAGTAAACCCACAACATTTACAATTTTGAGAGCAATGTTTCACTGGTGATTATAACCCGCTTCATCAGGCGATTTACCAGAAAAGGAAGATTGTGTGGAGAATGTTTAAGGCGCTCGGTAAACCCACTCATCTATTTCCTTAATAGATTGAGTCAATATGTACATTACTTGCTAATGCGGCTTCATATGCATTATCTACCTCATTTAAGATGTTTATAGCTAATTGTCTCTTGAAATATAGATCGGTATTTTTAATTTTTTTAAGGACTGTATATATATCCTGGCTGAAGGTTACTCAAACCGATGTGGTTACATGTGTCCCATATGTTGTCTCGGGGCATGTGGTTGGTTGCGAATCTTTTCCGAGTTACCATGCGATCACCTTCTTGCCTTGTCCAAGGCCTCTTAGCCTCGTGTCTGTTCACCACAGATGGTGTTTGTGTCCCTGGGAGCACCTCGGCGGGAGAGGAAGGGCGACGGCTTGCAGCTGCCCGCCTCGTGCCTGCCGCCTCCTCAGAAGGAGAACATTCCTATGATCCTCCTGCTGCAGGAACAGCCGCTCACCGCCCTCTTTGATCTGCTGGAGATGCTGGCGTCTCTGCGACCCTCCGCGGCAGATCAGGAAGTCTGCGTTGGTGGTGGCAGCAGTGGCGATTCGTCATCGTGTTCAACGGCATCAGTCGTCGCCTCTGTGGAGGCTCTGTTGCGACAGTCAAACGGAGAGGCATGCGCCAACAAGCTCGCCATGTCCTTCCACTCAACCAGCGGCGAGCAGAGTGCTCAGCAAGCCCAAGTGTGTACCGCTCATGTGCTTTGTGAATATACTGTTCATTTATGTTGTTGTGCAATTTATTAATATACATACTGTTTACACATTTATTACTTGTACCGCTCTTAAGATTGTACTCTGTACTCTTTGCTTCTTTCGGCAAAGTCACGTAGGTAGAAAAATAATAATAGATCACGATGTTTCGATTGCCACACAAGCAACCGTCTCCCACCTGAAGACGGTTGCTTGTGTGGCAATCGAAACGTCGTGATCTATTATTATTTTTCTACCTACATGACTTTACCGATAGAACCAAAGAGTGTGGATTCCTGCAGTCACGAAAGCTTCAAATCAAGATTGATTGTACTCTGGTTTCACATGATTCTGCAGGTCTCCTTGTTCTTCTTATATTGTTAATGCTGATTGGGTATTTCACGATACATTGAAATTGATTCGTATGCTCCAGACAAAAGCATCGAATCGTACATGTGATAATGATTGATTTTTATGCAAATCATTCTTTTACATTTCAGCTAATGGAGTAAACAGAACAGCCAAGTGGGTCTAAACAAATTAGACAGTATAAAACAAGATGAAAAATAATGTATTCTAGAATCAAATCGAAATCTTGAATAATTGAGAATCCATTGAATCGCTGTGGGGTGAATATTTTACATGTCTAATGTTCATTTACTTGGTAAATCCCTTGCTATTTCTCAAACATAAATGCGACGGTCACAACACGGGCCTTATTTGTACAGGGACCTGAAGCTGCACGCGGAGCACCTGTCACGCCGAGTGTGGGAGCTGCTCATGCTGCTGCCTACCTGTCCCAGCATGTTTGCAGGCGTTCCAGAATATTTCCAACGAGGAGGTACTCACACCCGCGCAGAATGATTCAGCATTCTTGAGCTTGCGCGAAACGGACTGCGAGCTCTTGTTTAAACAGTGGCGCTACCCCCAATGTGCACAGTGGCATTGTGCTGTCATTCCGTCCGTCGCCTGTGTGTGCAGGCCAGCGCGGATGTGCGGTGGAAGGACCAGCTGCGATTGAGGAGCCCCCACAAGCTGCTCTATGCCCTGGAGATCATCGAGGCCCTTAGCAAGCCGAGCCGTCGAATACGAACAGTTTCTTCGGTCAGCCTATAGCCCACAGTGCAATACTGTACTTATACGATTGTCTTTGTATTCCTGATGAATGTTAAATCACGCGCAACTATTTGGCAGTGTACACTATAGTGTGATTGACGATAATGTACTGGATTTTAGGGTTTGGTAGGCAACATGTTGTTGAACCTCTGTGTACCTGCGTTGTGTATTCTAGGGCAGTTACAGTGACCTGTACCCTGACTCTGACGACTCCACCGACAGCCACATGGAGAACAGCAAGAGCAGCTGGACCAGCAAGGTGCCTCTCATTGCCACTTCTCATATATTGTAAACAAAATACCCGTAGTAGAATTCTAGATGTTGAATCTGTATCTGGTGTATACTGCATGCTTTTGGGTTCCGATGAAAGTGAGTTACTTTATTTCTGTCCGAACAGTTCATAGCATCGGGTGGGCTTGAACTCCTGTTGGAAATGTTGCTCTCTGGGACACTGGAGCCCAAGGAAGCCGAGCCGTGGAGTGTGGTGAGCACCGTCCCGTCCCCTCGCTCCTTTCTTGCAAAGCCATTCACTGATTGTCATCTCTACCATGCTAGTGGCACTCCCGACCATACATATTTCTCAGTTACTCGCAAGTGTGCAACAGCGTGGTCACCATGCAATTCCTATCACTGCATTATGGGAAATTTGGCAATTAAAGTACAATGGAGGATATCTCTGACCAGGTGTTATTACTGCTTTCAAACTAAGGTTGAAAGCATTAGCTCTGGCCATCCATCCAGCCATTACAGATGGATGGATAACTCTCGTAAAGATGATCCAATATGAATTACATTTTTGCATAACTATTATATTGCTCTTAGGGACTTGGCATAATGAAACCAGCCAAATCGATCAAATAGTTGCCCAAAACTTGTAGAGACCAAATCACAGCACATGGACTATTTGCAAATACACAGGCAGCACATTTTGCCTTGACACTACGCATTGAGGGCTTCCACCCTGCTCGTTGAATACTTGCCAAACAAACGCATATTGGATAGCAGTCACATAATCCATCCACGTGCTTTATTTTTTCCTAACTTGAACTGTGCTTGGCCGGCCGGCCCTTGGTGGGGTGAATGCAGTGGCAACTGGACTGCCTGGCGTGCCTGCTGAAGCTGGTTTGCCAGTTCGCCGTGGAGCCGGTGGACTTTGACGTGGCATACGTGGATGTGTTCGCCTGGTCACCCGCCTCAGAGGCACCACGCAAGCGTGCCTGGGCCGGGAAACCCGCAAGAGCTCGGGCGAGCATGGCAAGGGCACCCACGTTATCCCGCGGCTCACCGAGGTGTGCCAGCTTCCTTCCTCCAGTGCACGAGCTTCATAGTTTTTTCATGTCGGAGGGGTTGAGGGCCGTGGCCGTGTAGCATGTGATCACAATTGTGGAGTGGTGAAATCGAAGGTGTATGTGGCTGTCATGCAATATTAATGTACAGCTCTTTGTTTATTAATTGCTGGTGAGTGCAGGTTGGTGGAGAATGTAGTATTATTATTGGATTTAAAATATGAATGGTTTGCTATTATTGATAGCTCACTTTATATTTAGGCAAAATGTACGTGTTGCTGGATTAACGCTGTGTTTCTTTGGCCGTAATGCATTATGTAGATGTTGCTGTCGATAACGAATACATTTTTTTCAAATATTTGGAAACTTTTATTTCACTTGTATGGCCTAAAGAAATGCAGCACGTGTCAACAAATGACGATGCTTAACAAACGCTGGGTTATGTCTCTGCATTTGTGTTAGACCTTCCTAAACCTCGTGAATGGAACCGACCTCCTGAAGCACCTCATGACTGTGGCGTATACATATGACAATCTGCCTCAAAGGTAACTGGTTATTATATAGTTTGGCTGTGCCTGCACTCATCGCAGGCACACACTATAAGCATTGTTCATTTAATCATGTAACGTGTACATACCGCACATTGTACATCAGATATAAATATATTAATGTTGAAGATGACTTATCGGCTCTGAGATATTTGTATGATTTCCTTCCAGGATGCTGAAGGCACAGTCTGATTACAAGTCCAGGCATGAAGGTGATTTTTTAAAATTCAAGATTAAAGTGGAAACTTGTCTCGTTGCCTGCCAAGTGATTTAAACTGTCGTTAGATAATTATTATACTCTTAACTGTCGGTGCTTTGTAAATATTAATACACATGTAGTTGTCATTTCAAATTATAATGAAATACCCCAAAATTTCGCACATGTTCTGCATGTGCCACATCTGTTGATAGATGGTGTTGAAAGGCTTGTTGCACACATTGCTGTTATTGAGCAAATATTTAGAGGCCAAGAGCGCTCTTGAATTGGTTGCAGAGCTTGCAGCAGCTGCCTGTCCGTCTGCGCAGTCAACTTGCGTTAATATTGCCCTCGTACGAAAATGGAGATACATTTTAATCCGGTCGTGTAAGCTCGAGAATAGAGGATGTACATTTGTTAGCAAAGTCATTCAGCAGAAACGAAACATAAATTTTGATTTAAAGCTTTCGTGACTGCAGTAATTCATATTCTTAGTTCTTTCGGTAAAGTCACGTTGAAGGGAAACAACAAAATAATGAAATATATATAAAACAATAAAAAATTCTCACGACGTTTTGACCATAACACAAACGGTCGTCTTCAGGTGATATATATTGATATATATATTGTTGTTTCCCTTCAACGTGACTTTACCGAAAGAACTAAGAATATAAACAAAACATAGTTCACAGTGAAGAAGAGGGGTGGGGGGTAATTCGGCCAGTGAAACGCACGCATCGGTTGTTCATCCACGATGTTTATACAGTGGCTGCGATGGAAGCGTGGTGATGTCGTGCTTGTGCCGTCTGCAGTGACTCACTACGCCATGTGGCTGCTGGTCAGCTGGTCGAGCGGCTGTCCCGCCGTCAAGGAGAGCCTGGCGGAGAACGGCACTCTGCAGGACTGGCTCTGCAAGCTCACGCTGCTAGCGCCAGAGGTTCGCTTCGTTAACGACAGCGACAGTTGTGACGGCTATTTTTACATTATTTTTTTACACACCCCCCCTCTCTTATATTATGATTAAGTACATGTGCGATTTGTCATTGGTCACCTTATCTGCCCATCAGCACGTGAGACATGCCAGACTCGCTTGCTGCAAAGGATTGCAGGAGATATTGTTACATTTACTTGACATTTTCTAGCGTCTTGTGTGAGGACTAATCTATAAATTAAGAATGCATTCATTTGCAGTACTTTTAAATGGAAGATATTCGTTTTTGGCATTCCATTTTTCTTTTTAACAAGTGAGAGCACGTTAAAACTATAAGTCTCTTTTTGTAAGGGTGAGCTGAGTCAGTGACAAACAAACTTTACATGGAGAGGAGAGCAGTCTAACTTCCAAGAACTATAAACAAGCACTGGTTAGTTAAGGGGATGTTGTGGAAGAGACCCCTCTGTGCTGACTTCCAACCACACCGACCTTGCTGACAAAGTGCCGTCTCTGCGCACTGACTTATAATGTCACAATAAAAAACAAGGTGATTTTGAAAGCGAGCATTTGTGTTGGCATTATACGTTGCCAAAGTATTGTAAACAGAACAAATCTAATGTGCGCCTCTATACATTGTGCAGTGAAATTGTATCCACCAACAATGACGGCATGAAACACTCGACTTTAACAGTGCCGGACTGGCTGTTGAAAAGCGTCGACGTCTACATGGAGACACATTCTCCCTAGCCTCCCGTCTCTGCCAAGCAAGACGTGTGTCGCCATTAGCTGACAGCTGCTGGGGCCCACACATTTGCACGTCCACGCCATGTGTTTTTTAAGTCCACCAATTCAGAGGCTGCCACTAAATATTTCTTCTGGTGTACATTTAACAATTAAGCATCTGGGGGGTTTGGTTGCGCTGTGGGCATACTCGGCTAACCTCTTGCACCTTTCCCTTCAATTTACAATGCTGTTCCACGGTAAAAGGTTAAACAATACAGCAATAATGTTTATGTTATTTTCTGTAGGTATGGTACACTCTTGTTCAGCCCTCCAGCTAGCAGTGCCCTTTTTTGTAGGCTGGATTAGAGGATTTCCCCCCCCCCTCGAAAATAAGTAATGCACTTCAATTTCTGTGTGCGTCTGATTTGGAAACTGAAGTGCTCATTAAGCATACAGAATCCTAAGTAGCGTGTTGCCCATTGACGAGCGTCGCGACGCGGTAAACAAGCTCCATTCATCAGCACGTGTACAGCAGGCGAACCGCACAGCAGCTGGGAGTAACAGATGGCAGGGCTGATACGGCAGGTTGTAATTGTAGCACAGATGATAGACGTTTGCGGTGCTAAGCACGGTTTTAATCATTCTTCCCCAGTGGCTGCCGTCCAAAAGACAAAGTTGGGGATGGCTGTGCTTACAGGGGTGTGTGCGATTGTCTGCGCTTGTTAATTGGCTTTTGAATGCGTAACGAATAGGATGTCTAGCAAAGGGAAATGGAATTATGCGTGGAGTTGGGGGCTCAAAGGTAAATAACCCTTGTAAAACATGGATTAGTGCTCTGCAAGTTACCACCGTAGCGTTAATGTATGCGTTGTTGCATATTTATTGAGAATATCGTTTAGTGCATGTGACATTGGTTTGTTTCTTTGAGGTAGATTTATTTTCTTCTGTGCCTTAGTCCAGAACACCCTTTGCCAATGACCAATTTACCAGTTAAAATCCCCAGGCCGTCGGTTTGAAATTATTTTTTCAATCTGCATTTGTGTGTACATTTGTGGCCTGAAATTGAAGCATTGGGAGGTATTGTTTGTATCCATCATAAGTGCGTCGCTTGTACAATCGTTTTTTAGTTATCTCATACATCGAGCCCATTCTTTGAATATGTATTCGCTGGAATGCCCACTGGTGTGTAGTACACTGTTAGTGTCTTAATAACGTGATCATTAAGAGCGTTTCACAAGCCGGTTTGCTTGCTGAGCCTTCCCAGCTGAGTTTGCCTAATGAGGCAGATAATGCCTTGGGTCCAGTTTGGTACATTTAGATTTTTGCAACTGCGCGCTTACACTGCTTATTCACATCTTGAAAGGACCGCCAATGAACAAACATGCATTTACTTGTTTTGTTGTCGCTTAAAGCAATTCGCTTAATATTCGTTTCACTCCGACTGGTCATGGATGTGTGACCAAGTGTGGCACAAATTTAAGTAAACACTGCATAAGAAAAGGAAAGCACTGAGATGCTACTTGAGTTATGTATTTTTGGCATATCACTTTGAACAGCAAACGCGGCTTATCACTTTAATGGCATATATTCCGCACTGTTAAAAACTGGTTGCCAACCACATAGTCGGACAAATTCAAAGCCAAGCGTACACAGGCAGGGCATTCAATAGGCTCCGTTAGAACTCTGGGAAACCGAGAGTCACCGGCTGTGACGGACGAGGACTCTCACTCGCAGAGTGGTGTGCTGCCCCCTGCGCAGGTGGCGGTACGCTCCGAGGCGGCCAGCAGCCTCTACCGGCTGTGTGTCACGCGCCTCGAGGGCGGAGACTCGGCCGACCGCTCCTTCCTGCTCCTCGCCGTCTCCACGCTGCTCAAGTTTCTGCCGGACGCTCAGGCCATGCGCCCAGTTAAGGTATGGGCATTTGTGCCAGCAAGCCAGAGTGTGTCTGCTTGAAAATTGGCTAAGATTGATTTGCAATAATGAAGTTTTACAAAGTGGTAATGTATCAATGTAAAGACAACATTTTTATGCATGCAGTTCCTATTAAGATTTAGTTCTTAAAACTTAAGGCCTGTGTAGTTCACCCAAGGCAGCCTAATTTTTCCCCTTATGAATTGTAAATCGAACAAAGATGTATTATCTTAGAGACTACCTGCCACATTTCTCTATCTCCGACATAGACTTGGTACATCCTCGGCAGAAGCGATGATTCCAGATAGAAAACTACGTCAGGCTGTGCATTTATCGGTGTGCTAGTGGGTATGGAGCTTTTCATCCATGGCTAATTTCTGCTCGTGTATGGCTCACAGAACTTGGATGAAGATGAAGAGGACTTGGGAATCCGGCCAGGCTGCAAGGATTACTTCTGGCTGCTCGGGAAGCTCATCAACAACATCCACGTGAAGGACACCAACCAGGTGCTGCTTTTATGACCTTGTTCCCAGCCAAAATGTCTCCCTGTAACCCTGTCGAAATGCTGGAGTGTGGTCGCTCTGATTATTTAGTTGTTTCCTTGGATGGTCCTGACATTGCATCCATCATGGCTCGTACATTAGTGACACAATTGGTGGCTATTTTCACGTGTGCTGCTTTGCAGGTAACGCTGGTGGACCTAGATGCCATGGCTAGACATCTGGCGGACTGCATACAGAGGTGAGTTATAATCATTCTAGTTAAACCTACATATGACTTTTATGTATATCTGAATAACAGGACTGTATTCCATCTCTGGTCACCCCAAACGTGAATATTTTTTTTCTCTTCCTTTTGCCAAAGTCTTCCACAGCCTAAAATGGGGGGACTGCTCGGTTCACATTGTTTTGCAGCCGGGAGATCGTGGAGCAGAGGGACAGCAGCATGGAGGACGAGGGCCTTCTTGGTTTGCTCAAGCTGTGCACGGCCGTCATGAAGCACAAACCGGCGTTCAAGTTCACACGCGACGGCCAGGTCAGTCGGCTCAAGGGAGCCGGCGCGAGTGCCTAAACTGACTTACCTGGTAGACGTGTTGAAATTAACTTTCCCCTTCTATGATTCGATGATATGGCTCGGTTCAGGGTCATGATTAGATTCAACAAATGATAATATTTTGGCTTCTTTTTACTGTTTCATTTGTATTGGCTTCTGAATTTTTTATTCCATTAGTCTAAATGCAAGTACTTTGAAGTTGCACAAGTCATACATTCCTAAGTACATAATTCTGCATTCTTTAGATACATTTTGAGCATCAAAGTAAATTTTATTTTATGAAGCCATTAATCATGACATGTACTTAGCTGGCAGACAAACATCCAGGCACAAGGCTCCTGTTGCACCCACGTCCTCGCGAACAACGATCCCAAAAGTCTATAAGGCTAAGTGGAGAATATTATTGGTGCGGGGTGCAGGAATTCCTCAGGGAGGTGTTCAACCTGCTCTTCCTGCTGCCCAGCATGGCGGACCGCCAGCAGCCCAAGTGCAAGTCGCAGGGTTCGCGGGGCGCTGCCTACGACCTCCTGGTGGAGCTCGTAAAGGGCTGCCCCGAGAGTTACCGCCTGCTGCACTGCTGGGTCATGGCTCAACACGTGCAGAGTGAGTGTGCACTCACCCCTTTGCGCACACAACTACAAACACCTGCACGTTTTGCGGGAGATATCATATGTTGTCCCGGCATAAGGGTTCGCCAGGTTTCGTGAGTTCCTGGTTGAAATAATCGGGTGGCTTAGAAACGGAAGGCGTCCATGTGTGTAAACGAGCACTGGGATGTGCCCATCTTGATTTTCTCGTGGAATTCCTAAGTACAACTCCATGAAATAGTCTTTTATCAAGTGAGCAGTCACTTTTTACTGCTGTGCACCTGATAGTGCGCATACGATTGATCCCAGAGAGGTAATGCGCCATATCAACCCTGACCATGATTTAAGCTGTGGATTTCACAAACTGAGGCCCTGCTGCTTCAGCAACAGAGCTGTCTCCTGGCAATACTACCACCTTAAAAATAACATCGAGGGTTCCACTGCTTTATACACATATTACAGGGTTCCGAAATTGTACCTTGCACAACTGGCACTGTAGTGAAGAATATTGCCCCCTCTGACAACAGTTTCAGCTGATGATTCGTCTTTGCCCTGCCCCTAACACCCAACCTTGCCCCATGGTCTTTTCCTACACATGTTCATGATACTTGCATTAAGACACCCATGAGGGCAGGGCAGTGTGTGCTGTGGCTAGGACACAGCTCTCTAAACCTAATGATCGAAGTTTGATGCCCCTTCCATAGCTAAGATATGTAGTGAGTAATATCTGAACCAGTCCTGGGCTTCCGACTCACCAACCCGCACTGACCAGTGTGGTGAAGTATGATATAAAAAAAAAACCCCATGACCGACATGGGATGCCTTCATCCAGCTGTAGACTGTAAAGGACTGTCAAATAAAAAAAAAACACACTAAAATAACATCCATTGTCCTGGCACGGCGGATGGTGGCCATTACTACAGCTTCATCCGACACATCATCCCAGTAGTCCTCGCGACCTGGCTCGTTCCTCTCCCCACAACGATGGCAGCAGTATTTTCCGAGCGACAGAATTTTTTTTTTTTTTTTTGGCTACCTCACTATCGTTGCCGATAGCTGGGTTGTGCGGCAAGTTCTCTGGTGGCCGCGTCATCCAGGGCGGTGTGGGACGTTCTCCACAGCCTCGCACGCACCGTACAAGTGGGACTACTGGCCCCATGATGACGTGCGCGCCGACTGCCGCCTCGTGGGCCTTACCAACCTGGGCGCTACCTGCTACATGGCCTCCACCATCCAACAGCTCTACATGATTCCGCAGGCTCGCCAGGCGGTCTTCACCGCCAAGGTGGGTGCCGCACGGCCCATTGCGCAGCGTGCCTGTTTTATGGTTCCGTGATGTTTTCATGTATGTACAGGGCACGTACATAAATGCCGCTGTGGCGAGATTTTTAACTCCCTAGCCTGGTATGCAGGAGGTCGTGCGTTCCATCCCAACCCTGACGCATGTGTATTTGGCGTTTGCATGTTCTCTCTCTGTAGTCGCTTGGATTTTTTTCCCTCCACATTTAGAATCAACATATCCACATACGTTTAGAGTATTTGGCTTCTATATCTTTCCACATGATAAGCCACTTCGTGGAGCTATCATATGTGACCAGGCCACTTCTGAAAAAGAGTTATCTAGCTCGGTGGGCCTTACCTGATAAAATAAAAAGTGTAATCGCTTTATATAACAGTCTGACATTCTAAAGTGTAACCCTTGTTCTAAAAGCCATTTGTGTTTGTAATCATCATAATCCTCCTAATTGTAGTCATTGTTATGTTTGTCATCACCATTAGTAGCTAGTCATTCGCAGTCCATTCGTGAATAAATAATCACCCAATGCATATAGCTTGTCTTTGTAGTTTATGATTGACTGTAGCTTACTTTGTTTTACAGTATACTGATGACATGAAGCACAAAACCACCTTGTTTGAGCTACAGAAGATGTTCACATACTTGATGGTAAGTATTGGAGTTCTTGTACAAATATTTAATTTCTGCGGTGCTGTTTCTTGTGCACTGTTTTTTCACTCAGACATTAGTTCAGTTTGTTTAAAAACAAGGGCTTTCTTTTGTTTGAGCTTCACCGTAACTCATATGTTATGATGAAGCTCAAATATGTTTTATGCTTAGTACAACACAATTTGAGCATCACAAATCTAAAAGTGGACAAGGCAGCTGTTGGCTTTAAGGACCAATGTCATGAATCATTATTTATTTTTGGATCGGATCACTTAAGTAAAATGCCAATGTGTCGTTCACTCTCCTCAACCCAACAGTAAAATAAATATGGTTGTCACCTGAACAAGTGTGCCAATCTATATTGCTTCAGCACACCGGCATGCTGGACTACAACAATATTGAATGATTGGGTATTGATGTGGGATCGTGTTGATGACATCACGCCACCTAATTAAGGCCCAAGACTGGAGGAGATTCACATTTCTAGCAATCACCTGATGATGCTGGTTGCTACTACCAGCGAAATGTTAAACCCAGTCGTTAACTGTTGTGAATTGTGATCCAGCATGCCGGTGTGCTAAAGCAATCAACATTGACACTTTTTCACGTGACAATTTCATGTATTTGACTGCGTCGGGTGGAGGAGGGTTCATGACACACATTGGCATTTTACATGCGATCTGACCAAAAAAATCTATATCATTGTAGTAGGTATGCTTTCCAAAGGGACAGTTTGTCTGCCATTATACGAATGACATACAATGCCAGGGTCACCGGTATATCCTAGGGAGGGCCACACAGGCACAAGCTGCCCCGAACGTGGAGGTAAGTCTCACTCCTCAATCACCCGTCTTCCCTCGTGTACCCCCCCTCTCTTGCTACCCGATGGCGTGCTGCGTAATCCGTCACCAGGAGAGCGAGCGCAAGGCCTACAACCCTCGATCATTCTGCAAGAACTACATGATGGATAAGCTGCCGCTCAACACGGGAGAGCAAAAGGACATGACGGAGTTCTTCACTGACCTCATCACCAAAATTGAGGAGATGAGCCCAGAACTGGTGAGGGCATAACAGCCGCAGCACTTCCCAAATTTTAGCAGTGACATTAAAACTTTAATTTTAACAATTGAGTTGTACCAGCATGTTCCAATCACTCCATTGTATTTATGTTGAATTTATTTTGCACTGTATGTAGCCAATCATGCTAATCGGAGGTGTGGGGGATGGACAACAAACGTAACACAAAAAGCAGTTCTAAAGAAATTATTTTCCATTGATAAGTGGAATACGTACAGATATTATTGTGAGGATGTTTTTTTTTTAATTACACCCCACAGAAAAACACCGTCAAGACTTTATTCGGCGGAGTCATTACAAACAACGTCGTATCGCTGGTGAGTGCTGCCAGTTGACTGCAATGCACACGGGAACCCAAATGCTCGTGGTGCTTATGAACACATCTCTGCCCTTTGGGCAATGAGCTGTATGCTGAGAGGGTTGGGTTTCATGGGGCGCTGCGGTGGCGAGATGTTAACTCGCTTGCCTGATATATAGGAGGTTGTGGGTTCGATCCAGACCTTGATGCCTGCTGTATATTGGGAGTTTGGGTGTTCTCTTTCCCCGTGGTCGCGTGGATTTTTCTCCGGGTCCTCCATTTTTTTCCCTTCGCATTTGCAAATGTGCATTCGATTATTTGGCTGCTATACATTTCCACATGATAAGCCGCTATTGTGCTATAATTCGCGGCCAGGTCGCTTATGAAAGAGAGTGGGCCTTACCTAGTAAAATAAAAAAAATTGTGTATTGTAAATCGTGAGGAGAGACAGCTCATACGTAGGTTGTTGAACATTTCACGCCATACATAGCCAATCCTGCTTATTGGAGGTGCGGCTGTCTGTGCCCTTCTGTAGGACTGTGACCACGTCAGTCAAACTGTGGAAGAATTCTACACGGTGCGGTGCCAAGTGGCAGATATGAAGAACATCTACGTAAGCAACCCTTACAGATTTCCTTGTGTGAATTGTGCAAACGGGGACCTACTTTTACACCGTATAGTGATGTCTGGTTATGCCTTTGCATGAATCTTATTGGTATTTCCTTTCCAGGAGTCGCTGGACGAGGTGACTGTAAAGGACACTCTGGAAGGGGACAACATGTACACCTGCTCGCAGTGTGGAAAGAAAGTGCGCGCCGAGAAACGGTGCGATGGCAGCCCCAGATGAAGTTTGCGAACAATGATGGCTTTATTTTCCAAATGACCCCATCACTCAAAGCTTCAAGCTTACTTTTATGTTTTGTTATACACTGTACAATTGATGAGACCTCTGGCACCCGCCTAGAGATAAATACCAGCAGCGCTTCTCTCGTGTACTGTTAGTGTTAAAGGCGTCACCATTTTTAACTATTAAGATCACCAGTTGAACATAGGATGAGTGGTGTTAAAGAATGTGTAAATTTTGATTTAAAGCTTTCGTGACTGCATGGATCCATCTTCTTGGTTCTTTTGGTAAAGTCACGTAGAAGGGAAATAATAAAAATAATACAAATTAAACAATAAAATGTTAATAGCTCAACTTATTGGAGAATATATTGAGTACATTGATTATATTGATGTAGTTTATATTTAGTTCTTTCACATCGGTTTATTGTATGATAGGTGGATAGTTGCAGTTCTTTAGCCTTAATATACTAAATGCCTCTGTTGATATGTTCTCTGACTTTAACATAGCTACTTCCGTGACCAGTTACATGCTAAATCCTCACATTAACATCATGCTAATCTCCCAGTTACATGCAAATTTCTGACTTTAACACCCTGCTAATTCAACACATTAACACAGCTACTTCAGTGCTAAATTCTTCTGTTGATATGTAAACTCCTTTGTCATGGCGCTCTGCTCCTCCCACCCAGCTTAAAAGACGCTGCCAAGCTTAGCAGTGTTCATTGGAACACTGTCTTCCCAACAGTTCTGTTTCTTCACCTGAAGACGGCTGCTTGTGTTGTGGCCGAAACGTCGTGATAATTTTATTTTATAATGTTTTATTTTTATTATTTTATTATTTCCCTTCTACGTGACTTTACCGAAAGAACCAAGAAGATTAAAATGTGTACATTGTGAACAAAGCCGCTCGCGTTTTCACAACTTGCTGCTGCTGATGCTGCGGACAGGGCCTGCTTCAAGAAGCTGCCGCAGATCCTGAGCTTCAACACCATGCGCTATACGTTCAACATGGTGACAATGATGAAGGAGAAGGTGAACACTCACTTCTCGTTCCCGCTGAGGCTCGACATGACGCCCTACACCGAGCGATGGCTCATGGGGCGGAGCGACCGCGCCGAAGGTACGCGTGCCGCTCTAAACCGCTGCCACTTCTGGCGCCAGTTGCTGATGTTATACAGGCAGTCCCCCGACTTAAGAACACCTGACTTGCGAACATCCGGACTTACGAACGAGCTTCCATGAGATATTTTTGTTTTTAACCATCCGACTTGCGAACGCGAACTCGCACTTGCAAGCAGAACCGCGGAACTATTTACAGTGATGCATATTTACAGTGATGCATGCAAGTTTACAATATTTCTTCTTATTTATGAGTTTAAAAATGCTTCCCGTTTTGGTTGAACCGTAGAACATTTTCTCACACTGACTGTGCATTTAAATACAGTACTCTGTTGTGTTCTGACTTACAAACTGGTTGGCTTATGAACGGGCCTCAGCAACTGGACCCGTTCGTAAGTCGGACACTGCCCTGCGTAGAGTTTTCCCCGGTGTAGACTTTTCTCCGGTCTTTACTTGTCTGCTATGTTCACTTTTAAGTGCTCTGCAGTAAGAAAATATAAAAAGGGGTTCAAGAGAGATGGCACTTGTGCAGATAATGCAAGATAGAAATCAAGAAGGTTGTCGACATGATTTGTGAATTGATAGAGAAAGGATACAACAAACAGCGATCCATACTCAGCTACAAGGAACCGGAGAGAGAGGATGAGCTGGATTGATGTAATAAAGAATGTTGTTGAACAGAAGAGGTGAGTGACTAAAGGAACATAGCTGGTGAAGGACAGGCAAGGATGGAAAGCATTAATTCAAGTCGATTGTCGCAATTCGGCTGACAGGAGGGGAAAATACGCACGGTGCATTCTTAAAATACTTTTTTTGTAATCACCACACTTTTCAGAGCTCTGAGACACCTTTACCAAATGTAGAGAAAACATCTGCAAGTTGATGCTGCCACTTGTTTGAGGCATCATAGAAGTCTGGTCTCATCCATTAACACTTGCAATATTATTGTTAATTTGTATCCAGGGCACTTGGACCATTAAACATTATCTCGAGGACAAAGATTCACCTTGGAGAAAACAATTTTGCGATGCTCACTTAATTCCTGTGTTCAAAAATATGGGGGCGGGTGAGATGAAGTAATTGTTATCGTTGGTCGTTTAATTAAATTTTGTTTCTATTGCTCCTATGTCCAATTTCAAACGCTTAAGCCACAGCCTGTGCAGTATGAATGCCGCATGTGTTGTGTGCAACTCTTGTGTCTTGTGCCGCACAGGCTTGAAGGTGGAGGAGGGGGCGGGCGGCGTGGCCAAGGCGGAGGAGAGTTACGAGTACGACCTCATCGGCGTGACGGTCCACACAGGCACCGCGGATGGCGGCCATTACTACAGCTTCATCCGAGACATCATCAACCCAGCAGCCTACCGCAACAACAAGTGGTGAGCACACCAGCCACAGCCCACAGTGCACTTGAGGTTCTCTGGACGTTTTTATTAATTCGTCGTTATTGTTATTCCATTAGAGTCATGCCGCTCATGTTATGACTCTTGTGTTGCAATCGAAACGTCGTATTCTATTATTATTTTATTTTATTTGTCACTTTACCGAAAGAACCAAAGAATAAAAATAACTCTTAGAGGAGTTAGAATCGGAATCAGAATATTTATTTATACTGGAGGAATCCGATGAGCTATAAAGTTCGTTCATAGATGTCCAATAAGTGTGTGTCAGAACATTACAACAACAAACAATACTAATACACGGAAGGAGTGCAAAGTGTAGGAAATGTAAGCAAATCCACAAAAATACAATACTAGGTAAACCCCACTGAGCTATTAGGATCTTATTTAGAAGCGACCTGGCCACGAATGAAAGCTCAACGAAGTAGCTTATCAGTTGTGGAACTATGCGGTTTGAACAAAAAGAAATTGCGCCTTCGCAGGCTGCAGTGTATACGTGTGACATCAAGGTGGCGGGAGGTGGCACTTCTCTTGCAGCCTGTGGTGCCCTTGTGGCCTTACCCAGTGTTGTCCCATGCCTCTCCCCAGAGCAGACTCCAGGGGAGATCTCTGGTCAGACGTCGCTAGAGTCCTCGCGACCTGGCTCGTTCCTCTCCCCACAAGCACTTGTTTATAATCCACCACGTGAAAGCAAAGTGTTCAAAATACAGCTCATACGATTAAGGCATTTACATTGCCTAGAATATTGTAAGAATATAGGCTTTGACGATTGGGTGTAATAAAATAATCCACATCGATGCATATTTTAACATTTGTAAGTCTCGCCAATGCTAAAGGCTTGGCAGCAAAGGCCAGCTACTGACCATCATTAGACTTTGCTTAAATAGTTAAGAATGTCATGCATGCTGAATAATATATTCTCCAAATGTTGATAGTGGAATGTCCATTTTTAAGAAGTAATATATGTTTTTTAGGGACTTAAGGATTCACCCAGCAGTAATTCGATTAATCATCCCAATATACATGGTCTCAGTTCTATTGAAGAATTTACTGATTTCTTGTCATGTTCTTACCATCTCGTTTGTATTGTTTTTAACTGGTTTGTCCACTTCATTCGTGTATTTCTAACATGCACATGTAGTTTGCATGAACGTAATTGATTTTCACTTGCACAGTTCTATGCATATATCATCAGCCTAAGAATCAGTTTGAATTGATGAATCAATGCCTCATTACTTGCCTAGTCCCAAAGAATAACACTGTAAATAATGTATTGGTTTTGACGACTATACCGCATGCAAACAACTGTATTACAACGTTGATATTTGTCCTTCCTCCTCAAGGTATCTGTTCAATGATGCAGAAGTGAAGCCCTTTGACTCAACACAGCTGGCTTCCGAGTGTTTCGGGGGAGAGATGACGGTATCTTTTTCAACAAATACCGAAGCCCTCTCTGATCGTTTAACAAACACAACTCGCTGCATTGTAACTGATGAGTTTTACCATTTCTTAAGTATTACTCTGCAAAATACCAATAAGCAGCATTCATTCAAGTAAAATATGAAATTCTAGAGTGTTAAACATGAGGATTTGCCATTGTTTATTTGTTTAAATCTCCACATTGCTTCTTGTGTTTCAGACTAAAACATACGACTCTGTTACCGACAAATTTATGGACTTCTCATTTGAAAAGGTTCGTGTTATGTCTACTTCAAAGCATTTGTTAAGCTTTGTGTGTGTGCCTGAGCTCAGTTTTGCACGTTATTCAACAATTGTAACATTTTACTAAAGTGTAAATTTGGAGTGAGATGTTGAAGCATCTCATCCCTCAAAGCAATGGGCACCGCCGTAAACAAGTAACGCGCGTGGCCGACACTTTTCCCTTGCAGACACACAGTGCCTACATGCTGTTCTACAAGCGGGTAGAATCGAGTGAGGATGTGGGCAAGGAGTCCACCTTTGATATTCCCCCTGAGCTTCTCGAGGTCCGAAGTATACCCCGCTGTTACGTCTGCTGCAAACGGCACGCACACTCGTTTATTCATCAAAAAGCTATTGCACATTGTAAATGTGTGTGAACCTGTAAGCATTTCATCATGTTAAAGGCAAGTCGGCTGAGTTGCATTTGTGTGTCGCTTACAGTGGATCTGGCACGACAACATGCAGTTCCTCCAAGATAAGAACATCTTTGAGCACACCTACTTCGGGTAGGAAAAAAAAATATTCTCATTAGCCCAGGGTTATCACTTTCACAATGATGAACCTCCGATTAGCATGGTTGGCTACATGCGGTGCGAAAGAAGTTCTACATTCTTACGATGAATTACATAAATATACTGCACAAAGGTGGATTGTCCTTAAAAAAGTTTGTTTTAATCCATGTAGAATCAGGATTTTTTTGAAAATGATAAATGCATTGTGCTCCTTGAATTGAATATTAAACATGAGCTTGTGTTGCTCTGTGTTGTATGGTCCGTGGGACAGATTCATGTGGCAGCTGTGCAGCTACATCCCAAGCACTCTGCCCGACCCCAAGGCTGTCACCCTCATGACTGCCAAGGTGCACCTGCAGTGTGTGTGCGTGTATGTGCAACACAGCGCTGTACGTGGCCTATCCCATGAATGGCAGATTCGGTTTGTGATTCATACATTTATAATTTTGGTCACGTTCTTTGGTAGCATGTGTATTATTTCATGTTTCTGAGTGTGTGTTTGTTTTGCAGCTGAGCACCTCCTTTGTGCTGGAAACATTCATTCACTCGAAGGAAAAGGTAAAGGTTTTCAAGATACAAACACTTCCTTAAAGACTTGTCAAAAATTACACCAACGCATCTTATTGGGTTGGCAGCATGTGAATGGGGGTTAGTGCAGTGTTTTAAGAGCTGCAGCTGCATGTAGATATAAATTGTGTGTATGTGTAGTGTAGCGGTTAGCACGTTGCACTACGAACCTGGCAACCAAAGTTCGATTCCCGCTCACGGCCAACACCAGTGACAATTATCTTTACTGGCCCTGGGCCTCCCCTAGGTCGACTCAGCCTCACATGAGTACCTGGTGCGGTGTGTAAACATCGCCACTAGGGAGAGACAAAGGCAGCCGGGCGTGGCGTTGGCCACCCACCCCCTTGTGTGCCGTGCCGGCCTTCCTAGGTGCTCGTGAACAGCACTTGCCCCAATCGTCTGTTAAGGCTATACGGGGGGGGGGGGGGGGATCTTTGGTTTGTATATACATCTAGATTGTATAACGTGGCCAAAATTAATTTGCTCCTGTTGAGTCTAACTTTGCAGGACTATAACATTTCGTCCGTGGCTCCTGCATTTGGATATCTACTCCACATGTAACGATTCACCCCCTTGCGTCATGTTTTTAAAATGAGTGTTTAGCTTTAATACTGGCGAATGTAGCACCTCTAATGGCTGCTTAAATCTGATTACTTACAATGTATACGACAGAAAATAATTGATTCGTACTCGCACAATTTGATGCATGTATCGTGAGCATAAGAATCCCTATCGATTCACGGATCGATGGTTTGTTGCATGCCACGTATCTCCTGCTCATTGGGGCCCTGAATTTACAGTGATCCATCTTAAAATTAGCCAAAGACAAACATTTTAAATCGCTGTTCTCTTGCATATGGAATTATGTTCAGGAGCTAAATGCCAATGATGGTCTGCTTGCCACAAGAGGGCTGCAGGAGAGAGTTGGTGTAGTTAAATTATTCCTCTGTTTGGATTCCATTGCCACAATCTGTGGCTTTTCCTCAATTTACCATTTGTGAAGGTTATGTGGAAATGGGACCTATTGATGTTTTGATGCGATTGATGGTTAATACTGTATCTTTGAGGAATGTCAAAGCCAGGAGGTGCGATGTTTGGGTCTCGAATGAGAGGTGTTTATTCTAAACGTCTGCATTGTTCCACTGTTTGCCAGCGTTCTTCCGTTCTTAACTGTTAATCATTAAATTTGAAAATCATTGAGAATCCAGGACACCGATGGTTAGCTTTTGATAGTTATAATGCTTTGTAAAAAATCCCGTTTGTTTTTTCTTCACAGCCCACCATGCTCCAGTGGATCGAACTCCTGACCAAGCAGTTCAATAACAGCCAGGCCGCGTGCGAGGTGGGCCTTGACCTCAGCTGTGCGTCCCATCATGTGGGGGGGCAGGAGGTAGTTGTTCAGTGCCTCTTGGTGCCTAACCATCGGCTTACCAATTATTGTTCATTGGTCAGGTGGGTGGGTGGTGCGTCTACCAGATTTCCCGGAATGTCTAATTTCTGATTCTGAAGTGGTGGCGAAACACTTGATAATAATATCAGAATCAGAAGAATCGGAGGTTTATTTCCCACTGAGTAAAGCACATTGAGCATAAGAAGGCCTTTTTCAAAGGCAACTCGGCCGACAGACGACAACAAAAGTATTCCACAATTACAAATTTAAAAAATAAACTTCATCATAGCAGTTATATTCTTAAATTACATTCACACCTAAACGTTCGTGATTTTAATAGTTTAAACGAGGACAGAGATGGCAGAATGGAGAATCTAAGAGACGAAACACGGTCCATGCCTACTTTGTATGCATTGTAGTTTCGTTCTCATGGACAGTGCGTTATTTTGGTCGTTGTTGTCTTCAGGAGTGCTCCTATTTTTTACCGGGCCGCATTTTTTACTGAACGTTGGAAAATGTACGTGAATAATCGAACAGCTAATCAAGGGTGTAATTGTAGTATTAATTAATTTCATTATAGTTCCAACAGTGGATTAATCCAGTGTGACGAGTAAGTAATTTCCATGGGGTCCCCTGCAATCCGTTTAGTGGCAACTGTTGGGTAATAGCAATAATGTTTTTTATCTAATGCAGCATTATTCTAGGAGGCTAGATTCAAGATTTGTTTCCATCCATACACAACCAGTTATCCTGTTCTTAATGGTAAAATCTCTATTTTACCTGGCTGTTTTGTCTGTCAGTGCAATTGAGTGTGTATACACATGTGCATCTAACACCTTGTGTTTCTCTCTATACTTTGTCTAGTGGTTTTTGGACCAAATGGCTGACGACGACTGGTGGCCGATGCAGATCCTGATTAAATGCCCCAATCAAATTGTAAGACAGGTAACAATGTTTCTTTTTCTACAGTGTAGCTCATTGCAATGCTTCTGTATGTCTCACGCCCCACCCCATGCTGTTCTTGGCATTAAAACGCCTAGCAAGGTTTACCCCATTGGGCAAGCGAGGGTACCTCTTTTCATTATGCTTGTTATTGTTGTCCTGTTTGGCTAACTGAGAGAATGTAGGTCATGCAACAGTAGGCTAACCTTTCTGTCGCGTGTTTAAATCATTAATTTAAAAATACCGTACGTAATGGAAATCCTATGACGCAAGCACTCTGAAAAGACCCTTATGTCTTGTTTTGTCATGTGACCCTCACTAGGTACATTAAGGGAGAATATTTTCTCTAAGAAATTCAAGTTACAGTTCTGTATTTGTAACAAAACATTGACAAGAAAGTTATTTGAATTCTAAATCATTCATTGGTTATTTTTGTTCTTACGAAAACTTTTTCACGCATTCATTTAAAGCCACCACCACGTTTGCGTTGTTCTTGTGCTGCTGCATCTGAATGAGATTTTTTGTGTTAAAATCACACGACACGTTTTGTAAACTTGCACTGCGAGCTGTGTTTTTCCGCTGGAGAGATGTTTGCTGAGAGAGGGCGCCCACCCCTCTTGGCCCTCGTTATTTTCGTCTCGTGTTCGGGTGCCAATGACGGATGGCGTGGGGCCCCCTCGTCCGCGCAGATGTTCCAGCGCCTCTGCATCCACGTCATCCAGCAGCTGCGGCCCACGCATGCCCACCTCTACCTGCAGCCCGTGTCGGACAATGGGTGCGCACCCAACTCTCTCGCTGTCCCTTTACTGAGTTTCCCGGAAAAAAATAGTTGGACATAAGTGCAATTTATTCAATCTAAATTCTTAGAAAAAATGTGCATGTCCTTCAAATAATCTTACTCTACTCACAAACAGGATACAAATGTCCACGTTTTTTGTCAAATACACCCGAGTCGAAATACGCTACACATGACAGATTAAATAAATTTTTAGGGTATAATTGGTTTTCTGTTGTAGTAGAGACAGGACACATATCGGAGTACACGATGCCATTAGTGCCTGTTAAGGAGAAACAGTTCTGTATTATATACAATGAGTTACTCAACTAAATTTTGATTTTAATAATTCGATTATAATTATCCTATGTAATAATATGATTTTCCCCTTTTTTCTGGCAACAAAACTGAAACTTTTTTACAAGGATTCATGTCTGCATTAACCACAATACCTGCAGTCAAAATGCAAACAAAAAACATACTTTTGATTTAAAGCTTTCGTGACTGCAGTAATTCATATTCTTAGTTCTTTTGGTAAAGTCACGTTGAAGGGAAACAACAAAATAATAAAATATATATAAAACAATAAAAAATTCTCACGACGTTTCGACCATAACACAAACGGTCGTCTTCAGGTGTTTGTGTTATGGTCGAAACGTCGTGAGAATTTTTATTGTTTTATATATATTTTATTATTTTGTTGTTTCCCTTCAACGTGACTTTACCGAAAGAACTAAGAATATAAAAAACATACTATAATAATATATGCATTGTCCTTGAAACAGATTGGTCCACACCACGGGACGGCTTTCTTTTGAGCCTCGACCCAATTGGTGCTCGACCAGATGACGTATGTTTTTTGTTTGCATGTTGACTGCAGGTATTGTGGTTAATGCAGACATGAATCCTAGTAAAAAGGTTTCAGTTTTGTTGCCAGAAAAAAGGGGAAAAACCCTATTACATTTTGGTACTGGCAAAGGAGGTCTAATGATGTAGATTATCCTACGTCTTCATGCGAATATCAGTAATTGTTAATTGACGTTCCCACATTCCCCACAACCCTCTTTCCCCACCCCGACTCCTTCCCACATTGCAACATGTGCTGTCCCCCTATTCCCGTGTCTTACACTGCCCCTTCAGCCCGGACGATGCCCTCATTCCGCTGGAGGAGTTGGGCCTGCGATCGTGCGTCACGCGCTTCGTGAAGACATTGCTGGCCGTCATGGAGCACGGCGTAAAGCCGCATAGCCGCCACCTCACCGAATACTTCGCCTTCTTCTGCGACTTCATTAAGATGGGCGAGGAGGAGGCAAGGCCTACAACCTGCCATGCAATCCCTCGTGTGGTTTCGGACCTGGAATCTATAAGTGTTCTCTTTCCTAGTTCTAGAAATTGTTGTGGTGTTGGAATATATGAATGTGCCGGTGCGTTCGTGTTGATGAGTAGTGATGAATCGTTCGTTTAGGAGAAAACTTGAACTTGCATTTCTTTGTATTGTCTTATTTCTTTTAGCGCCAGTTCCTGTTGTCCGTGCAAGCCATCTCCACAATGGTGCACTTCTACATGGGGACCAAGGTCCCTGAAAATGTAAGGTCACTGAAGTTGTGCTTTGCCCAAAGAGGTTGTGCAGTGTACGTCAAATACAGTAACAAAATAATAAACACGGATGTTTTAAACAATTTTCAAACAGAGTATTGCAAAATAAACTGATTTTAAAAATAGGCATTCCTTCAAGGCTGATTGATGCAGTATTTATTTTTCTAAGACAAATGGATGTGGGTTAGACATCTCAAATTTCTTGTGCTCCTTTTGCGCGTTCTCGGGTTGAGAGAATGGCAACATATGTCGCATGAATAAGATTTGTGCAGTGACTTTGTTTTGAGCAGACAGGTCTTGTATGAGAAGCACTTGATTTCCACTGCCCCCACACACAGACACACCCTTTCTTTTTCCCCCCCTCTTGTTTATTTCCTTTTTTTCCCTGCTTTTTTTGCTTTGCTTTTCCATTTCCGGTGGTTTCCTTCTTGCCACGGCCTCAACTTGGTGCTATGTTTTTTCCAGTGAACTTACGCGGGCGGTGGTTGCGACACTAAGAGTGTGAACCTTTTATTTAACGTGCTCTGTGGATAATTTGTTTATTGTGAATTTAGTTTTTGCGATTGTCTTGGACGAAAATTCATTTTTGCTAAGCGCACTGAAAGTCAAAAAATTAGGATAGTAAATTGGAGATCTTGGTCATGCTGCCGATTCTTCTGCTGCTTGTTCCTGTCTTCCCTGCATTGGGCAGCCCCAACCCCAGCCACAGGCGGCAGGGGAAGCCCTGTCGGAGGAGGAGGCCGAGGAGGAGGAGCCCGAAGAGGATATCCTGGCGCTCGCCGAAGAGAAGTACCGCCCTGCTGCCCTCGAAAAGATGATAACACTCATCGCTCACCTCGTCGAGCAGTCGCGATCCGAGAGGTGAGAATTTGCTTTCACCATGATCATTATTGTCATGGCATTGTCTAGCCACTGCTCAATTAAGGCCTATCCACGTTGTCGCTATTCTCCATCATCTGTGATGCTACAACCCATTTCGCTTCTGCCCATGAGCTGATCTCTCGTGACTACACCTCTGTGTGGTCCTATTGGCTGCAAATCCTCCCTTCAGCTGCCAATCTGTGTCACCAGTCATGTTCTTAAAGTTTTCTAATGATCACACCATCAAAGTGTACACCACATTGTTCACATTGGTAATTAAGTGATGTGCTATAACTTTACAGATCACAATAACACTTTCTTTGGTGTGGGTATGATCAAGTGAAATGCATCATTCTTTATTTGTCAATTGTTCACTGATGATTGCCATCGTTGATAGTTAAGCACACAGACCTCGGGAACTTAGGGTTACAGGCAATCTGTCGCAGGGATTGCAATCTCTCACAGTGTGACTTTTTGTACCACGTGGCCAACATTGTGGGAATGCAAAATGTTCTCTAATATTCCACATCCTGTATTTATTATTTTAGCCTTGATTTGAAATCAATTGGGAGTGTGTTCTAGCAGCATGTCAAGTGAAGAGACATGCCTTGTATTGTTTGTTGATTTTAAAATTGCATTGCACGGTGAGCTCTACTGCAATGGGTTTTGTGTGGGACTGTTTTTTAAACGACATTGCTGATTTTCTTTTTAGGCACTTGACCCTTTCCCAGAGTGACATGGCAGCTCTTACAGGAGGAAAAGTAAGTTCCCTTCAAAAAGGGAAAGTTAACAGTTGATTCCCACTACAAGTTAAGATTAAAACTGTACCAATCTTGCATCGACAATCTTCACACTACAAACATTCGTATTCTCTTACAATAATTTTCTTATTAACACTATCCTTTAAAAAATATACTTTCCAGGGTTTCCCATTCCTCTTCCAGCAAATCCGAGATGGCATCAACATCAAGCAGACTTGCAACCTCATCTTCAGCCTCTGCCGCTACAGCAACCGTCTGGCCGAGCACGTGAGTACCCCTTGCTGTGTTTATCTTTCATCCTTGTGCTCAGCGTTTTTCCTGGATTTTAAGTGATTCCTTTTTAGAGCGGCTGTATGCCATTAGGAATTAACTCCAGCTACTTCATGTTACACAATGCGTGCGTGCGTCTGTGTTTTTGTGTCCACGGGGAGCGGTGGTGCAATGGTTAGCGCGCTAAGCTATAAACCCAGCGAACCAAGTCCGATTCCTGTTCACGGCCCACACCAAATATGGTTATATGAACCAGTCCTGGGCCTCCCTTAGGTCGACTCAGTCTTAATAGAGTACCTGGTGCCATGTGTAAACATCGCCACTGACGACAAAGGCGATTGGGAGCGGTGCTGGCCACTCATCTCCTCATGTGCTGTGCCGGCCTTCATTGGTTCTCGCTAACAGCACTTTCTCCCAACACTCTGTAAGGGCTATAAGGGACATCTTTGTCGTGTATCCATGCTTCTGACTAAGGTGGTGCCATCTTATCGTGATGATAATGCCCAGAAGAAAAAAAACAGATTGCTAATATGTAGCACATTGCTGCGTTACAAAAACTGCCTTTATACATTTCTCCCACAGATCGTCGCGATGCTGTTTACATCTATTGCAAAGCTCAGTCCAGAGGTACAGTTAATTACCTTTGTTTACTCTTATTGTGCTGAAAAAAACAACTCGTGCTAATGGAATTGTTTGGACACACTTATTGTCAATTGGTGCGCATTGGATAGTTTTGTCGCCCTTCGTGTTTCGGTTGATGCCGGCAGTTGGCGAGCGTCTGTGAGTACCTGCCTTCGAGGCAGCTCGCGATCCAATATGAGACGTACTTATGAAGTTCCTGTTGTGAAAAACCGCCTTGTTCAGTTGTTGTGCTGACGGCGGGCCATGCGTTGAGCGTGCAGGCAGCCCAGCCATTCTTTAAGCTGCTCTCCATGCTCATGGAATTTGCGGCGGGTCCACCCGGCATGCCACCATTCACCACCTACATACTGCAGCGCATCTGGGAGGTGAGCACAACAACTTTATTGCTATCACTTTTGTAACGTGTTAATGCTTGCTCCAAGATGTGACTTTCTGTTGCGGATTTCAGGTCTCTATTGATTGTTGCTCTGTTCCTGTTCACTCGGCTTCGGTGTTGCCGTCGTATAAACATTTAATTCAGCTCTGCCGCCCTACCCTCTCCCCTCCCACTCCCTCTCTTCATCCTCGGCAACAGGTGATCGAGTATAACCCTGCCCAGTGCCTGGACTGGCTGGCTATGCAGACGCCACGCAACAAGCTCGCGCACACGTGGGTGCTGCAGAATATGGACAGCTGGGTTGAGCGCTTCCTGCTGGCGCATAACTACCCGCGCGTCCGCACCTGTGAGCTCGTGCACACAGACACACGCAGACACACACAGACACACACAGATACACACAGACACACACAGACACACACAGACACGCAGCGCTGACGCTCGGCCAGTGTCTTGGAGATCCTGCTGTGGTATTTGTGGAGTTCAGGTTATGGATGTTTTTTGTGCGATCAGAAACCTAACAGGTTAAATAATATTATTTGTGCTAGGCATGTTATACATTCGCTACGCTGTGCGACTTACGTACATTTCACAATTCGAGCTGCACTTTGATTCAAGAAAATGCCCATTTTTGTCATGTGGTAGTATCTCATTCAAGTCTTGTAGTTTAGTGTCCCTTCATTTAAAAATGTTCTGCCTCCCTCTTGGTATTAATAGCACTAGATGTGACATTTGCATATAGTTTGCATATATAGATAACTATCCATAATAGAGGTTTTTGGATTAGAGCGCGTAAATATATAAATGTGTCGTTAAAACCCGCCACCACCCGACACGGCCAACTAGTCAGGGTTGTCACGTAAACAGAACGTGGCCAATTGGTACAGCACACCGGTGTTGGAGAGCCAAGCCACAACGTTTACAATCTGAGTACGATGTTTAGCCAGTAATTACAACTAGCTTCATCAGGTGACAGCCAGATTTGTGGAGAAGTCTTACTGTTTCATCCCTTATATAGAGGCATAGATGTGTTGCCCACGCTTCTGCGCTCTTGCACAATGTGGCGGGGGGGGGGGGGATTACTGAGGTAACGTACATTATGCATGTGCATTAAGCGAGCCCTTTGAACTTGTCTTTCCTGTCTATTGTGTTGATTAAAATAGCCCTGCCAACTGTAATCCCTGTTGAAGTACGTTGCCCTTTGTAGGCATGCATTTAAATAACGTATTATTTGATTATTCGCTTTCACTATGTTTTCTTTTGGGTGTGTATCATGGGCGTGAGAATTCCAATCGTTGAATTTCTGAAAATCATATCATGCCTAACCTCTTGCACAAAATTTGCATACCACAAAATATACTCCGATTACCAAGTGGCTCCAGACTCGCTGCTACCACCACCACAACCGCTGCGAAATTGTGCACAAACCTTTCTCGTTTTGACTCTCCTTTCCCGTTTGCCCCCTGCCGCCCCCATGTTCTTCAGCGGCCGCCTACCTCCTGGTGTCGCTCATACCCAGCAACTCGTTCCGTCAGATGTTCCGCTCAACTCGCTCCCTCACCACGCCGGGCCGTGAGATGCCGTTGGGTCCCGAAGCAACGGGCGTGTTGCACCGCGTCTACCAGGCGCTGCTGGCTCTGCTTCCGTGCGCGCGCCCCTACGCCGATGCGCAGCTCCACGGCACCACAAAGCTCGTGCCCTACTTCGGCCTGCTGTCGCACTGCCTCGTGTCGCGCGCCGAGAAGCTCATGTTCTCGCCGTACTTCCAAGACCTGTGGGCGATCTACCAGCCGCGCCTCTCAGAGCCCGCCATCGCCACCAATCACAACAAGCAGGTGCTGCTCGCCTTCTGGCACGCGGCCTGCGTAGGCTGCCCCGAGAACGCGCGCCTCGTGGTGCAGAGCACATCGGTGGCGCGCAACATCGCCTTCAACTACATCCTGGCGGACCACGACGACCAGGACGTGGTGCTCTTTAACCGCGCCATGCTGCCCGCCTACTACGGCCTGCTGCGGCTCTGCTGCCAGCAGTCGTCTGCCTTCACGCGCCAGCTCGCGTCACACCAGAACATCCAGTGGGCCTTCAAGAACCTGACGCCGCACGCCAACCAGTACCCCTCGGTGAGACGCCGGCCTCGAATTTAGGCAGTCTGCCATTTGGTTTTGTCACTTTGTTGCAATGCAAAACTTAGTGTGCTTTGGCAGCCTTTCTGAATATGAAGGGAAAACTTTTCCAAACTGGCACTGCTTAAGATACTTTGTCCCAATCCAGACACACAGCGCCCATGGTTAATCCTTTTTTTTATTATAATGCATTGATGGGCTCAGTCTAATCACTCATGACTGCACAACAAACCATGTTTGCTAAATTCCAGGTATAGTTTGACTATCATTGAACAATCTCATAGCAGAGTATATAGGAAGGTGTACCTCTTCCTGTTAAAGGACAACAAAATTATCTGGAAGCATTTCATTAAATATATCTAGTGATAAATATCTTCCACAGGGCGATGGATGACACACAGGGAGCGCTGCTTCGCAAGATTTCTCTAATTTCTTCGTCTCATTCTGTTGTTTTGTGCACTCGCACGAAGTTACTATCTTGGCAGCATTCGCTCGCGTCCATCCTCCCACTCGCGCACATCGTACACCGACCCGTCATTCGTTCTGCGCGAGTGTGCTCATTCTGCATTGTGCCCCTGCATTTTTTTTGCGCCAGGCCGTGGAGGAGCTCTTCGCGCTGATGCAGCTGTTTGTGGCGAAGCGTACAAACATGACTGAGGAAGAACTGCAGGACGTGCAGCAGTTCAAGAAGACGACCATCACCAGCTACCTGCGCTGCCTGGACGGTCGCTCGTGCTGGCCCACACTCATCAGGTGAGCGTGCGGTGAATGTCGGAGGTAAACATACGTCATGCAGCCCAGGAGCATGTAATAAAGTCACAATTCAAGGAAAGCGTTACTAAATATTAGAAACAATGGGCACGTTTAAATCCCCCCCGTCGCTGTACACCCAGCATTATAAATGGGTGCACCACAGTTAGTCGATTGGCAGGCAGCATGTGGTGGGATAAAGTGTGGGTACTCTCACCTCTTCCAGGACCTCTGGCCAGTGTGGAAGAGAAGGTCAATACCCTCTAAAGGGCTTTTATAGAACTCCCTGGAATGGAAGCCCTGCCACCAGCAGTGGCATGAGCAAAAAATTGCAGGGCCCGTACCTGTGCGCTTACTTTTTATTCAGGAAGGCATCTCCGAGTATCAAAATTTTATTATTTCACTCGGGGCCTGCGTTGGGATGTTTGCCTAGTTCCTTTTTAAGTAGTGTTCTGCATATGATAGGAAAGTAGTGCCTCGATAAAAACCCATGCATAGGAGGAAATGGCACTGAAAGGTCACACGCACAAGTGCTTGATGAACGCAGTTGATGTACTACCATATTATGGCCACTTTTGCATCCCAGTAGCTTTTGGAGTTTCACAAATATATTTTTCACCAATCTTTGCTTGCAAAGTGCTGGATAACAGGTGTGCTCTGCCACTTGGGGCAGGCCTGCGTTTATGCACTATAAATCTTATTTTATTTATGCCGTGAATACAGCCATATCTCAAAACACCATATCGCTCTGAGATTGATTCACAAATGGTGGGGAGAGGATTGTTGTGATTACTATTAGGGACATGTTTAAGATTATAGAAGAGGCAGAGCACAGGAGATGAGCTTAGAGATAATTACGTGTGGGTAGATTTAAAAAGGAGAGAGCTGGGATGGACAAGTAGAAGGGATATATATGTATACTTGGAAGGGATATTGATTCATACAGGCCAGAGCAAAACAAAATAAAACAAAGCAGAACGATGATGGGATCCCACGTGAATTATGCCAAATGGGTCTGCAAAATAGGCCCATTGTCAGGCTCCGTTAATGGCTACATCTTTGTAAATGGCATTGCACAGCTATTGAGCCCCACTGGTGTATATCTTGTTGTATGAGTGGTGCTTCAGATTTTAAATGCTCTTCACACCTGTGTCTCAATGCTTACATTCGAACCGTGGAAAAATGCAGACAGGTTGAATACACTCTTGAATGATGTTTAAATTAAGCCTTGCATTTTAAAGGGTGTTGTAACTGAGTTCATTAGGAGTGAACCTTAAATATATATACATTGTAATTGGATCCCTTTCATTTTGATTTTTGAGTAATGAGATTTCAAATGGGCACTAATATTCAATGTGTTTATTCTTATTATGATTGTGCTGCAGCGCCTTCCGGATCCTACTTGAGACAGATGAGGACCGCCTGCTTGTCTTGCTAAACAGAGGACTCCTCCTCATGAACGAGGTGAGACGCATCTCTCGGGCATCACAGACTTCGCCGTGTGCTACGAGCCAGGGCATCGCTGTCGCACTCGCACTTTCAGCAGGAGGATCACTCGTAGGCACAGCCGTCTACAGTGCTCTGTGCTGGGCTGCTGTTTGTTCCTTTGAAACAGCTTTTGTTAAATCAATTTGAGAATAAAACGTAAAGATTAGGATGCCCGTTTGTCAGTTGTGTTAAAAGTTATTCTGCTTGTTTTGTTTACCTTTTGTAATGATGGTGTGAGCCTGTGTTACATACCCGTGTCCATGAACAACTGATGCATGATTGAATGTGCAGTCCTTCAACACGCTGCACATGATGTACCACGAAGCAACAGCATGCCACGTGACGGTGGACCTGGTGGAGCTGCTCTCCATCTTCCTGTCCGTGCTGAGGGCCACCCAGCCCTTCCTGCAGCGCAAGGGTGAGTGTCACCCCCACCCGCTGCTTGTGCCTCCTGTCCACCCTAGAACCCCATGTCTCCCTCAACCACCTCCTGCTCCTGACATCGCAGCGACAAAGTGATGTTTGCCTCTACAAGCCTCAGGTTGAGCCATCTGCTGGCCTCTGTCATTCCCTCGCCACCTCACCCTTTCATCATCCACTCGACATTGCACTCATTGCTGTATTCTAAATGTCCTGACCACCACAGAAGCATTTCCTCACGTGCTTAGTGCTCCATGGTGCCGCATACAAGACCCATGTTACATTAATTGCTTCCCGTCATCCATCGTCATGCATCACGACTTATTTGCCATGTGGAAACATCTGCATGCTTTCCATGTTTTCTGTCATTCGTCCCAGATGTTCAATTTGAAGTTACATCAGCTGTATTATGTCGTCTGTTTTTGTACATTCCTTCCCTGTCATTTTTGCAAAAAAGTAATTAAACTAAAAAACGCCCCCTATTGTTTAGTGAATGATTGTGTTCAAGCTTCCTGTGATTTAACTGTCCCCCCCTCCCACCTTTATGGTTGTGTACAGACGTGAAGCAGGCTCTCATCCAATGGCAGGAGAGAATGGACTTTGCCCACAAGCTGCTCACGCTGCTCAATTCCTACAGCCCCCCTGACCTGCGCAACACCTGCCTCGGTAGGGCACGTTTGTGATCGACCCCATTAAAGTAACGACGCAACTCCATGTGTGAGCATTATTTAAAGAAAAAAAGATATATACATTTATATTGCAGGCATTGTTAGCGAGTCTTCAATGACGAGTTGTCACTTTATATCGTGTTATACGTTTTATTGGAAAGATTTCTTACGAAGTGTTCCATTTATGTAGGTGGCAGGGCGTTCTTGTGGTCGTTGGGGAAAATTCCTATTCAACGCGATAACAGGTTTTAAATTAATGTGTCCTTCGTTAGAGAGCATTGCATTTCAATAATAAATGGGGCCATTCAAATCCATAGCTGGTTGGTTAACTGAGCCGACAGGGGAATTCTGCTTGCCTAAAACACTCCCGTTTGCTGTTCCTCGCGAGTGCAGATGTGCTGAAGGAGCTGGTTTTGTTGTGTCCCAACGACTGCCTTCACACCATGGTGCCCTTCCTCCAGCACAACCACTTTGCATATCATCGCAACAATATGCCCAGTGAGTGGCCTGCCCCCGCGTGCAGCCTTCGATGGGATCTCAGAAACACCTTGCCGTTGTGTTTGCGATTCACCCACCTCAACGATTTGAATGTCGCGATTCGACTCAAGAACCAAATGTCTCGTCTCATTTTTAGCATCTAGTTTGTATTGTGTTTTATTTCTTGTAGGATACAGTTTTGTTCGCTCCATTCAGCCAAAATGTAATATTGGTATATTATTTACTTATAATGTACATAAATTGTACATAATACATTCTCAGGCCCATGATTGCTAAATGATAAGTCATGTAAGTTGAGTTGGCTCAGGTTTGTGTGTGTGTGTATGTTGAGGCAGCTCATGCTCCGGAACGCTAACCTCATTGTGTCATGTAGCACGTGCCGCTAGACGACATGCCCAAACATGATTTGCGTATCTCCGTTCCCAGTGTCCATCGGCCCGTACTTCCCGTGCCACGAGAACATGAAGCTGATGAGCGGCAAGAACACAATCCGCCCTCCACGGCCAGAGCTCAACATGTGTCTGCTACCTAGCATGGTGGAGACATGCAAGGTGCAATTCCTCCACACGGCCACATAATCGCCCACACAGCTGGCCAGCCATCCACACATTCACCCACTCACTAACCCACCCAGCACTCGCACATACAGCCAACCACATACCACCCAGCCACCTACCCAGATACCCACACTTATACCGGTTTACCACACACCCATCCAGCCACCAAGCCATCCACCCTGCCCAGCCAAACAAGCAGGATAATTAATGAGCTTCTGAGCTATTGAACCTACAGTTCCTAAATTCCATCAGACAGTAGCGCACAAACTTAAAACCCAGCCCACTACATCATGTTTTCTCCATCATCATCTCGTGTTATCTATATTTTTCTGGGTACTCCGGCTTCCAACTGTATGACGCCCAATGGCTGTTAATGGAATTGCAGCATAAATTGTGCACAAATCAAATCCTTTTCACTTTCAAAACCACTCCATATGGACTGGTGATGTAAATGGGGATGCAGACAATAGAAGAGGTGTTAATGACCACGAAGAAATCTGTGTCCCCTTGGCAGCAAGACTGGGTGACGCAGAGGGCTTAACGGGTAATGGCCTGGGAGACGATGGGATGCGATCGGGCGATGACGCTGGCAGCCTGAGCCGTGCTTGCGCTAGTCAGGAACCTCAGCTGCTGCACGTTCTCTGCACCCTATTATAGATTCATTTATTGCCATTTCCAAGGTCTTGAAAAACAACGGCGCATTATGAGTTTTCCAGGAAAAACAGAGGTCATTGACCTGAGCTACCCTTCCTCGTGTTGTGAAATATCTTTCTATATATTGCTCCTTGTTGCTCATGTTGTCCTTGAAAACCTTATGTATTGGTTTGCTATTGGTAAAGTAGCAGCGTTGAGATCTTTAAAGGTTGAGAATTATTAAGTAAAAGTAATTTAAAGCTTACCCTAAATAGATCCTCCACTGTAATTGATTATTTGGCTAACCTTGTCCCAGGATGGTTTTGGCAGCAATGAGTGCTTGAGTATTTGCAAGACTGATAGAATAACCATTCGGCTATAAATGTGCTCAATCCAAAATGCTAACATTTGAAAAGTATTTCAGTTGTTTAAACGGGGAAATAAAGTGTGTTTACACATGGTAAAAGTGTTTTGACTTCATAGAATACTTGGATAAAAAAATTTTTAACTTGCAAACCCTGGCATGACAAACATGTGTGGCCTTTTAAAATTGTACGTACCTTATTCGTTACTAGAGCTTTAAAATATGTTATCTAATTGGCTTTACATCCAGTTGTACAATACTATTCTTTATCAATCAACTGTGAAGCCTTTTCCCTGCTGATTTATCTGGACATAGTCTTGTAAGTTGTTATTTATCCAGCCATACACAATAAGAATCAATCAAACTTTATTTCTAAAGCACTATTCGTGCAAAAAAAATCAATATATAGTGCTTTACAGGCATGAACAATAAAAGTGAAATTGTAGGCAAAATAAAATCGTGTTGTTACAAATTTCTAGCAAAGACATATACAAAATAACACATTAAGAAAATCCTAATAAAAAGCAAGTTTTAAAAACGAAGTTTTTTATATTCATTTTAAACGTGCTTAATGATTTTGAAGCCCTCAAAATGATTGTTTACGTTTTTACATCTCAAAGCAGAGTCTCTTTTGGATTCTAAGTCCTGTAAGGACATGGCCTGGGAAACTCTCAGCAGGCTTCTTAAAAACTTTGTTTCAAAACCATATCGGTGCCCTAGGCGGGAGATGTTATCTGCCTCGCTTAGGGGTTGTGGATTCGATCCTGACCCTGACGCCTGCATATTTGGAGTTTGTATGTTCTGCGCATGGTCGCATGTATTTTTTTCCAGGTCCTCTGGTTTTTCCCTGCACTTGTTATAAACATTAATTTAGAGTATTGCTGCAATTAATTTCCACAAGTCACTTTGTTGAGCTATCATTTGTGGCCAGGTTGCTTCTCAGTGGGCCTTACCTGGTAAAATAAAAATAGTTGAATAGTAAAAAAATAAGGTTTTATGGATTCTGAGCAGCTGACGATAACCGTGGTGCGCACACTCGCGTGTTGTGTAGGGCAGGGACGAGGCCTACGACCGCCTGCTCTTGGACTACTTCCTGCCATACCACCACTTCATGGACATCCTGTGCCGCGTGGCAGTTAACCAGGACAAGGTCACTGAGACACTCATCAAGCTCAGTGAGTGTGCACAGACGCCGGAGAAGAAAGGGGGGTGTGGAATGTGGCAAGGAGAAGAGTGGGGGGTGTTTGGGTGGGGTGGGGGGTGGCAACATGGAGAGGGAGAGCATGGGGAACTAGGTCTGTGAGGAGAAAGACGCAGTCTTGAGAATGGAATGAGTGCTTGAAGGGGAACCGAAAAGTGACAAGAAATATGAGTGCTGAGGAAGGACGAAAGCGAAGAGAATGAACACATGCAGGGAGATTATGGAAGTATTTCAGATGTGCAAACAATGTGGATGAACAAACCATGAAGGTTACAAGGCTAAAAAAAAGCAGGTACGTCTGTGCAGAACTTGTGCTGCAGACCCAGTTTTACAATACCAAATGCAGTGTCACATGAATGTGGCTGAACCATTACTGACCAGGCGCTGCAACTCTCTCATTTGCCACACATTGGCAGATAATTCAAATAAATATTTAAAATGTCATATATCTTGCCTTTAAATAATACATGTACTTATCAAAATACATATTTATATTCATATTCTTGGTTCTTTCGGTAAAGTCACGTAGAAGGGAAACAATAAAATAATAAAAATATACAACAATATTTATGTTTTAACATATATGATTAATGAGTAGTGGCATTTTTAAATTGGAATAAAAATGTAATACAATACTACGAAATGACGGGTGTAACAGAAAGTGTTATTTTGCGTTCACACTGAAGGGCCTACGAAAACGGACTTTTTGGCAGTAAACAATATTGTAAGTAGACAACTGCAAATTTAATAGAGTAAAGCCTCGTTATTTCGGTATTTGATCATTCGGCATTGGGGATAATTCGGCACGGCTGCGCTTTTGGCATTTATACATTACTAGCCTATAGCCCGTCCAAGGACGGGTGTATTGCAGTAAATCTGAAACATTCAAGCGAAAGAGCAGACTGCACGTCATATTTCATTAATGCGTGTGCAATTTGTAAGGCCGCGGTGACACGACTCATTTCATTTAAAGGTTATAATCCCTTGTTCATCATGACGTCCCAATAGCGTTACAGAGATCGTGTGACGTGAGGGTTCTGCCTTTGAAGTGAGGGTTGTGAGTTGACGCAGAGGAAGGTGGAGGAGACACTCCCCCACCCCCATGTGGAGTGACGTCACCCGCTCATGATTATTAATGAGGGGGGCTGTTCGATGTGGAGTGCCGTCCCCTGTGCATGATTATTAATGAGGGGGGTGGGGGGTGATCCATGAGGAGTGACGTCACCCGCTCAAGATTATTAATATGGTGGGGTGCTCCATGCGGAGTGACGTCACCCGTACATGATTATTAATAACGGGGGGTGGGGGAGTCCATCTCGAGGATCCCACCTCTTCGTGATTATTAATGAGGGGGGCTGGTCGACGTGGAGTGACGTCACACGCGTTACACAAACAGACCTAGACTCATTATATTAGTAATTCGCCATGAGACGAATCGCCGTACCGACTGGTCCAACTTTGGCATACGCGTGAAGTGATGCCGCGCACCACGACCAAAACTACTCGGTCTAGTGGCGGCGCGCATGGTGAGCGTTAGTGCAGACCTGTTGCTGTGGACTTTACCTTGTGTATGCACTCTGTGCAAGCCAACCCTCTCAGGAATGTCGTCTACAAGAAGTAATAGAAAGGGACTGAAGTATAAATCCCTTTGCGAGACAAATACAAAAAAAAATCGCCTGCAGTGCTGGTTACTGATGTTCAGTGTTAGTTTTTTTGGAGAAAAAAATTGGAATTTTCTTTTTCAGGCAGGAGGCACTGGGGGAGTACCATTGTACATCATTTGGAATATTGGATAATTCGGCAAGGCCAGAGCTCCATATGTGTCGAATTAATAAGGGTTTACTGTATATGCACATTAACCAATTGAATTCAGAATAGGTGTGTTCATTCCTTTAAAACCTCATCTTACCAAACGGTATGTCAACTTACTTTGATGGAGATTTCACATGATAAATGATGATACAGAGAGAAAATTAGATAGCCATTTTTCCGACAAAAGGCCATCATTGTGAGGACTCGCCATTTCTGACGAGCCGTCCGTCCAAGTCCTTGACTCGCTTTGTGTTTTTGTAATACCGTACCAGCCAGATGTTGATGCACATTTATGTCACTGGGCCACGTGAGCCTTCCACAGATTTATGTTGGTCCTGGTGACGGTGGTGAAGGATGCCGCGGTGGGTGCAGCGGTGGTGAAATATTAACTCCCTTGCCTGGTATGCAGGAGATTGTGGGTTCGATCCCAACCCTGACACCTGTATATTTGGAGTTTGCATATTCTCCCCGTGGTCTCGTGGATTTTTCTCCGGGTCCTCCGGTTTTACCCTCCAGATTTAGAAACAACATGCATTTAGAGTATTTGGCTGCTATACATTTCCTTGCGATAAGCCACTTCGTTCAGCTATCGTTTGTGGCCAGGTCGCTTCTTGAAAAAGAGCCATATAGCTCAGTGAGCCTTACCTAATAAATTAAGAAAAGTCAGAAGGCTGTGCTCTCTGCTTTGATGGATGCGCTGTCTGATTTATTTGGTCGTGCTTTTTAAGTGTGTGCATGTCGTCCACATCAGGTGTGCTGGTGGCGTACGAAGGAGTGCCGCTCCACCTCACGCTCTTCCCCAAGCTCTGGACTGAGCTTTGTCAGCCTCAGGTGGACAGCGAACGTTTGATTGAATAACGTGTTTTATTATTTTTCAGTTAAGATTAGACAGCCAAGGACTCGAATAAACGAAAATATAATTAGTATTTGCATTGAATTACTATAAATTCCTCAGGCCTGCTTTTGCAACATTAAACAAATATAAGATTTTATCCTAACATTTCTTGAGAGCCTATTGAAATGATAATTGGGCCCAAGTATAGCTTAAAGTGTATTATGCTAATACTCGTTTTGTTGACCACACTGAAAAAGAGAGAGCCATAATGTGATGTGCCAGTAACAATTTTGATCATTTTACTTTTTGTACATATTCGTTTTTGGAGTAATACATTATTTAAGGGTTTGTTTATTACTCAATAGCTACTATTAGGTATTTTAAAAACTTCATCAGGAAACATTTTTAAAATGTAATTCTCTTCAGGCTCAACAGTGTCAAGTACAATTTCCAACTCGTATTTTTATCATCTACCCTGTCTCTGGCTACAGTAACAAGATATTAACTACCTGGTCTGGTATACAGAAGATCGTGGGTTTGATCCCGATCCTGACACCTGTATATTTGGAGTTTACTTGTTCTCCCTGTGGTTGCGTGGATTCTTCTCCGGATCCTGGTTTTGCCCTCCACATTTAGAAACATGCATTTATAGTATTTGGCTGCTATAATTGTCCACATGATAAGCCACTTCGTTGAGCTATCATTTGTGGCCAGGTCCCTTCTGAAAAAGAGCTATATAGCTCAGTGGACCTTACCTGGTCAAATACAAAGTTCAGTTTGGATTATGTGCTATGAAGAAGAGCACAATTGCCTTAAACATAGCCTTTTATATATTTTTCCTTATAAAGGCACGATTTATTGACTTGTTATCTGCGCTTGTGCACCGCTTGCCAATCACCAAATAAATGGTGTACACAGTCGATGTTGGATATAAGTACACATAGCATTTCTGATGTAAGCAGTACATCCTGGCATTACACTGCTATTGGGAAGCTAAAGGACCTAATTCAAGCACACAACTGTAACCAATAGCACCCCTTGCACGAGGAGTGAACCTATATCCAGCTTCTACAGTAGCTGAAAACGTTGTCAGTGAACCATTTCACCAGACAGTGTCGTACTGTGTGGTCCACCCAGAATGCTGTGGTCCATACGTGTGTCTGGGAGGCTAAAGGGCGGTTTCTTTCCGTGTGTGACCTGCGTTGTGTGTTGTGTGCGTTCCCCGCAGCCTGGCAAAGCGTGCCTGAAGCTGCTTTGCGAGGAGCCCGTGTTCTCCGAGTACATCGAGTGCATCCTAATGGACGAACGCACGTCGCTCAATAACAGCGCCATCTACACCTTCCTCGCGTGCTTCTTCCCGAAGGTAACGGCATCGGCCGCGCGACGCGGTCTCGAAACGCACACGGGAATGAGCCGAGCGGCGGCACCAACGCGCGTCCACGTGGGAGCATACTTCGCATGAGCGTGTGTGTATATATGTATATGCACTCAGTTGTAACGTTTTCAGCATAATAGTTTTTGTTTAAATATTTATACATTACGGTTTTACATAGAGCAATATAAATGCGATTCAATGCCCACACACTGCATATCACCATTTAACAAAATGCCGCCTTGCCACCTAATGATTCAGCGTGCCCATGTGATGAAAGAATCAATTTTATTGAACATTCTATAGCACCCGCTGTAGCTGCAGGAGTTACATAAACCAGTTGCATAGTGTGTGTACAAATCTAAAGTAATCTTAGGTCGTGTGCTATTTCGTGCATATATCGTCAGCATATGAATTGATTTTAATTTTTAATCCAAGGATCGTTAACTTGCCTAAATGCATGTTAATGATTCAGGTGATCGAGGTGGGGAGGCAGAGACAATAAGTAAATAGGAATATATAGCAGGGTTGTAATGGGACACAACCAGAAATATGCATGTTTGTTGAATTTAAGACCCCGATTGGTTTTTAAAAACCATAAGCACCCCCATACTTGTCCCTTGTGCTTTACAACCTCAGTGCTAATAAAGCGCTGCACGGAGCGGGATGCGGGGAGACAGAGCATGAGATAAACGGTGAACCCGGCCAATCCCAACGAGAGACTTCTCTGCGCGTGTGGGTGCATGTAGTGTAGTGGTTATGTATGTATGTAGTAATAGGTTTTTATAAAAGGGTAAAAACCTATTACTATATCTTGCTACTGGTAAAGGAGGTCTCATAATGTGTGTATGTAGCCAACCGTGCCAATTGGTAAATGCTTAGCCCTATTGGTGCACAGAATAGTTTAAATATGAATGACATCTTTGGTTCTTTCGGTAAAGTCACGTAGAATGAGAATAAAATAATAAATTGATAGGAGCTGCACTTTTAATTTTATTTTATCAATTTATTATTTTATTCTCATTCTACGTGACTTTACCGAAAGAACCAAAGAAGATGAATCATTGCAGTCACGAAAGCTTTAAATCGAAATATGAATTACATATCACGTTTACATTTCGTTCTTTGTTTGAATAACTGCTTGTTAATTCAAATTGTTTAAAAATAAATAAGCCTGAAGCAAATATTTTCCTTCCAGTCACTTAGCCAACTCACAAGCAGAATTAAAATGTATATGTCCTTTACGTTTGTCTGAATAAATGCATTTACGAGAGAGCGGGAGACAGGAGCTGCACTTTTCATTCAATAGCAGACATCGACCGCACTCGGAAAGCGGTTGTGAAAACAATGCATACACATCACTACACCAGCACGAGCGGTTAGTTAATTCTGCTTTGGAAAATAGAAAATTACTCAAATGATACAGATCAAATCAAATCTTCCCGCAGGTGCAGAACCAGATACTGTCCGGCTCCAACTGCCCGAACCTGTTGACGAACCTGGTGAACACGCTGGTGAGCGAGCAGGGCAGCCTGCAGCCCGAGCTCTTCGCCCAGCGCGCGGACGCCGCTCGTCTCGCCGCCAGCATGAACGGGGTGCGTCCACGCTTGCGCGCACGCTTCCCTCCCACAACACGATGCAGATTTGCACATCATTCAGTTGCGACCGCGTCTCGAGCCCTCGCAAAGAAACGGTGCGAATGTTTATTTCTTCGACAGGCGGTCATAGCTCTTTGAGTTTGGACTTAAACAGGGGGAGGAAGTCAGCAGCATGGATGTCTGCTGTAGATGCACCATGCTATGATTGGTTTGGTAAAATTTTCCCGCAGTTTAATTGTCATGATCTGCCTCCCAGTTTTGCTCAAGAATACATTTTAACGTCATTAAAATAGTTTCGCCCATGCCCACCTGTATTGTCTCCATTGTCTCATCTGTACCTTGGGTGCCGATTCTTTGTTAAGGCTTGGTCACGCCGTGCTGGTGTGATGTGTTGTAACCCCGTGTGTGTGTGTGTGCGCATGCGCGGGGACACAGGACCTGCGAGCCCTCTGCCTGCTGCTGTCGGTGCAGTGCCCGCGGCAGCTGGAACCGGCGCTGCTGCCTGCGCTGCAGGAGCTGCTGGGCCGATGCCGCGCCTGGCAGCAGCAGCAGCAGCGCGAGCGGCAACGCGAGCAGCAGCAGGCGGTCGCCTCTGGCAGCGCAAAAGGCGAGCTCGAGAGGGGAGAAGCGGATGCATCGCGTCCCATAGAGAGATCCTGGCTATCAGGCCTCTTGATGCCTTTCTTTTGGCTTCAAAGTGCATATAGGGTTGTTTGTTTACAGTTTTTTTTTTATGTTTATATAGCGTCTATAAATGCAAGTGCATCCCAAGGTTCTTTATGAATATAAATTAAAAAAAAGCTACATTAGAGTAAGAGGGTCAGGAGTCAGGGCATGGAGACACCGTGACGACTCCTGAAGAGCATGATACATGAGAATGTTTTATGGAAATTGTTACCAGCAATTGTCAGTGACAATGCATTTGCATTGAGCTACTGCAGAAACTTAGTACGACAGTGGCATAGTGGTAGGGTTCTGTCACGCCACTGAACATTGAGTTTGTTTAAAGTGTGTTTGATGAGCAATGCTTGATCTACAGAAGAACACAATTATTGGTAACCTCCTGTCTGATTGGAAGCTGCCATCCCTTGGCCCACTGGGGGTAGAAACGATCCATAATTGAGCAACTACTTTTACGATAAAAAAACGGTGCTGCAAACGTTACAAGTTGTGGTTGCTGGCAACTTTTTCCCTACAATTGTCCTGGTGTATCGTAGCCTTAAGAGACAGGCACGTGTACCAGTTAGGAGGATGTCTTGATGGGGGTACAAACCAGAGTGGAGGCTTCCAATGAGCTCACTCGCATACCTTCACAATCTACACGTGCAGAGGCGTAGTTGCAGGGCCGTGTGACCACAACTTTACTGGATAAAAATGTAGTTAATTGGCTAATTGTGAAATTACGAATAGATTTTACTTTAGGCTGACGTTTGCTTTACTGCTGATATGCAATGTCTCCAAATATGAAAGATATGCTGTTTGTGAAAAACGTGTTTGCCCGTACTTTAATGCAACTTGTGTAATGCTGTGGCTGCGGTTGCCACACACCTGGCATATGGTACTCTCTGATTCAGTGTGGATGATGTAACATGAAGTCGAGCTGTGGGACAGTGGTGTGTGCAGTACACTGTGAAGCTGGCGACCTAATTTAGATTCCTAGTCATGGCTAATATCAGTGGTGAGTGATAGCTGAATCACCATTTCACACTGACCAGTGTGGTGACGTATGGTTAAACAACTCGCACGACTGACACTGCATAGTCAGGTCTTAAAATTAAATAACAATGTATAACACAAACATGTATTTTCGTACATGATAGTGGTAAAGGTTAGAGTTTGAAATGGTTGTGAATTAATGAAGAGCAAAATGAACAAAACAAGGCCGGTGTTAATATAAGAACCCAGTTGTCGTACCAAAGTTTTACTCGCTGCTCATTGCTCAAAGTTGCAAATCCTGAAGACATTAGATAACTTTATAGTTAATTTTAGCTCGCTTACAGTAATTGTTTTCTCCAATAGCAAATAATATGATGTCGCATATGCGCCGTGTGGACAGGCCTGAGCTCGGACGAGGAGGGGGTCACCCCGCACAAGCGGCGGAGAGTGAGCCGGGACAGCAGCGGTTCGGCCGACGCCGACCTCGCCAAAGGTCCCATCTCCCCGGCGAGCCCAAGCGGCGCCGAGACTGAAGAGAGTCGCGAGTCAGCGCTCATCGACCCCGGCACGGAACAGGACGATGGCCCCCTGGCCCCCGAGCATGTGCCCACACCCTCGGAGGCGAACCGCACGCCGGCTGGTACTTCTCCAGCAACTGGCGGAGAGGACGGCAACCAAAGCGAAGAGATGGAGGCACAGGGCGGTGCGGCCACCAGGAAGGACGAGCCTCTGGCAAACGCAACGCAGGGCGATCACGGGGAATCGTTCAGGCCGGCCGACACGGAACGCTTAGACTCCCCGAGAGCGGTGCACGCCGATGGCAGTGGCGGAGAGGTAGCGGTGGAGGACAGTGGCGTGAAGGCCGAGGTCTCTCCCGGCGAGGGAGCGGCAAAACTTGCAGATGGACCTTCGGATGTCATCACCACTTCCGCCACCTCCAGCACCTCTGCAGCGCATGGGCAAGGCGATGAGGCAAACTGTAGCGATGTGACGGCGCAGCAGAACAGCGATGAGTTGGCAATGGCGAGCGAAACCCGCAGCCATTCCAGAGGCAGCCCCAGCCCCACGCGACAGCCCGACCCGCTGGAGGCGCTTTGCCGGACCATCGAGTCAGCCATTGCCATCGTAGGAAAAATCCTCAAGTCCACCTCCTGACAGGCCCCAGCTCGTTACTTTGTGGGTAACGTGGGCATATCTCATCGGACTCTGGTTTCACTCTTCCAGAGAAATGCTGAAGTGCGCTCCCCCTTTGGCTGTTCCTGTGCAACGCGCACCACAGCCTGGCGTCTGCAGTGGCCCCCTTTTAATGTTGGACGTGGCAGGCTGTTGTGCGTTTGTGTGTGTGAATAGATCAGTGTTTACTATTAAAACAGTACTAATGTAGTGGTGCTTACGTGGTTGGGCCCAACTAAACGTGGGTGAGTAGAGAAAACACGAACATTTTATTTGGTCTCTGCTTTGCTCACGCATATTACATGTTTTGTTTTTAAATTATGCTTCAATGGCCTGGTTTTTGTGCACAGTTTTCATGTGTTAAAATTACCCCAATATTTTTCCTTTGGTTTGTTTTTAACCGTTGCCAACAGTACAAGATGATTTCTATGTGCACCTCCTGTAGACAAAAATCCTTGTCCTGTGAGCTTCTGTAAATATACCAACCACAGGTAAATTGATTCTGTTAAGAATCCTTTTTTAAATGACGTGGTGTTTGATAATGTTTCCTCTCGTGGAAATAAAAATGACCCTTTAAAGATAAATTTGTACACAGCCTTTATTTGTTGATTATTTCCAAATTTCACATGTGGTAATGTTAGCCAAGCATCATGATCCAAACACCATAAATATTCCTTCTACTGCAGTAGAAAACCTCCGTTTGCTTAAACATTATGTACAACAGACTAACAAACAGGGATACTTTGTTTTATAGTAAATGCACAAATCCTGAAGTACTTTTTTCCTGTTCATCATCTGCCAGTGTTAAAGCAAACCCAAACAAATTGCCCTGGCCTTGTAGATACCGACCTAGGGGCCCAACTCCCTTGCTTTTCAACACAAGTTTGAAGCTTCACAAAGATGTTAACGATTTTAAGTCACTGGAGCACTTGAGTGGTGTATATTTAAGAATAGCGCTGCAGTGACATTGGAACAAAAACAGGGCTCAAGTTCTAAAAAGCAAGTCTTTATTCTCATTGAAGCTTCAAACTTGTTTACTGGACACAGCCTAGGTTTGTATATAAATACTTCGGTTGCATCTTCCTCCACATGGAGATCTGCTCCAAACTCCAGAGGTCCAATGCAAGCCATGCTTGATAGCTTGGGCAACCATTGTTTTTCCTAAGATATCAAATTGAGCGATATGTGAAACATCTGAATACATTGAAGCTAAATACTGCATAAATCAGATGTGGACATCATTGACTTCTTTGAGGCTGATCAATTTCAATTAGAACCTGGACAACTGCTTTGGCAGCGTAAAATTTGAAACTGCCATCATTGCCAAACGCTGCATCCATTACTAACAGCCCCTGTGCTATGGTCTGCTTTTTGAACCATTTATTATGTAGCATTTCTTTTCAGTTAGGTGGAATTTAGTAAAGACGACGGTGGCAATGTAGCTTCATCTTCATCTGCTTGTGCTCCACATCTCATTTAGCAGCAGTCTTGCACTAAGTGAATCTGCGTGTGTGATGGACGTTCTGTCGTGTTCATAGTTCACGTTCGGCTGCACGCATCCCTCATTCGTAGCCCGTGGTGTCAAAGTTAGTAGAGTCGGGCCCCGTAACCAAAGGTCAGCTTGATGCCTTCAAAGTAGTAGCGGCGCCAGCCATCACGGGTCAACTCCTCCTCATTGGTGGGCACGCCCTCGCAGCACAGCGCCAGCTCCGTCTCCACCCCCTTGTCGGTGAGCACCAGGGTCACGTCTGCGTGGTGCTCTGCTCGCGCAGTCCGCACAGCAGCGACAGCAACCGTCATCCATGACCAGCGCACGAGCATGGAAGGCGCTGCGCTTTACATTGACGCTCGCGCTGTGAAGCGTGTACGACACATCCTATTCGTCAATTAAAACATTCTGCACTCGCCATAAAGTGCATCGAAATGTGCTTGCAAGAAACTTATTTTTTGAAACGCACACGCCTGTTGTTGGGAAATGGACACGTAGGCTCACGCATTGATTCACCTCCAGTAGGTGTTTGTTACTAGTCCCAAATCAGGACAATTATGAAGCAGTTTGAATCCTTGCATGCCCATCCAGTGCTAAAAGAACTGGTTAGCATCCGTCATGTACTATTTGTACACGGCGGCATCCAATAATTTGCTTCATCTTTAATGATGAGTTTGCGCATGGATACTTTTGTAAATGTCAACAGATTTAGATAAAAGATAGTGGTTGGTCCAACAAAATATCAAACTAATTTAGGCCAAAATAATCTACTTTTGACCTTGTGAACACTGGTATCTGACTGGGCCTTGCATTGAAAAACTGCAGTGCCCATATTGTCAGAATATCAAACCCTCTTAAATTAACTCGTTGAACACGCATTTACCTTTTAGGTTTTTGTGCCGACTAGGAAACACTATCACGCATTCTTGGTTCTTTTGGTAAAGTCACGTTGAAGGGAAACAATAAAATATATATAAAACAAAATTCTCACGACGTTTCGACTGCAACACAAGCAGTCATCAGGTGTGAAAACCAACGGCGAGAACATTTGAAAGAAGTGGCGGTATTTATTTTTAAACGTTAGCGCCACGGATAGCGATCTGACAGTTTGTTCATCTATGTTCGGAAAAGAGGACGGGGGAGACGAAAAATTAATGTATGTGGTCCGAAAGCCACCGTAAGCGTGAACAATCAAGACCCGAAATGGTTGATCAAATCCTTACAATGATTGCTAAGGCAGAATCATCTTCTCGGTTGAAATTGTCTCTGTGTATATGTGGATAGCCTCATGAACGAATCTCTCATGGTAGCCAGATGGCTTGCAAAGAACCTCTCTCTTGGAGAAGTCAATGTCATGTGAGCCTACTGAATTATAACAGTGATTTGCCACGGCCGAGGTGTTGGTCCTACCGTGTTTAAGGTCTGCTTTGTGTTCACGAATGCGGTCCGAGACATGTCGTTTGGTTTCTCCAATGTAACTACTACCACAGAGGCAACTTAGTTTGTAGACACCAGGGTACTGTATGTCCGGAATCACATCTTTTACAGACGGAACCAGATCACGGATTTTATGGAATGTGTTGAAACGGACCTGGATCTTGTGTGTATTCAAGATTTTGGAGATCTTTTTTGTGATCCCCGCAATGTAGGCTCACATGAAATTGACTTCTCCAAGACAGAGGTTCTTTGCAAGCCATCTGGCTACCATGAGAGATTCGTTCATGAGGCTATCCACATATACAAACACAGAGACAATTTCAACCGAGAAGATGGATTCTGGCTTAGCAATCATTGTAAGGATTTGATAAACCATTTCAGGTCTTAATTGATTGTTCACGCTTACGGTGGCTTTCAGACAGCACACATTAATTTTCGTCTCCCCCCTCCTCTTTTCCGAACACAGATGGACTCATCCATCTAAACAAACTGTCAAATCGCTATACGTGGTGTGCTAACGTTTAAAAATAAAAAAATACGAACCACCACTTCTTTCAAATGTTCTTGCCGCTGGTTTTCACATCTGATGATGACTGCTTGTGTTGCAGTCGAAACGTCGTGAGAATTTTATTGTTTTATATATATTTTATTGTTCTATTGTTTCCCTTCAACGTGACTTTACCGAAAGAACCAATAATATGAATCACTGCAGTCACGAAAGCTTTAAATCAAAATTTGACTATCACGCATGCGTCACTTGAGTGTGCCTATTTTAAGGTACAATATTAATATTCAATGTTAAAATTGGATGCAAGTGGTCTTCCTATTTTAGACCATGATACTGCGCACTAGGCGCTAAAAAACAATGTCGGGTTAAACATAGAAGAGCACCCGTTCCGTCACTCACCAGCTGGCCACGTCCTGTACCGCCACTTCATCACTATCCTCTCGTTGGGGACCTGGAAAGTGACAAAAAGCATAACGCAACAACTGCTGCAGCCAGGGTTATCCAACCGAGGCCATTACAACAGAAATATGTATGTTTGAACTCTCGCACCGTACATAGCCAACCGTGCTAATTGGAGGTGCGGGGGAAGGACGACAAACTAAACACAAAAAGCAGTTCTAAACAAATGAGTTTTCAATGGCTTCTGAATATTGGAAGAGCGTTCCAGACGGCCGCAGAACCGCATCTGAAAGCGTGCAACGCAGTGAACGTATAAAAGTGAATTTGGTCATAAAAATACGAACTGCTGGCAGGATGCGTGTGACGAGTGTTGTTGAGTTCAAGGGTAAGAGTGTTTCCACTAGGGTGAGTGAAATGTTCTCGAGAACCGCGTACCAGCTGCACATAGTAACCGCTGACATTCCCGTTGAGCAGACTGAACTTTCCGCCAGGCTTGGGATCCACCTCGGCAGGTGCACGTGTGAATGCCTGCACAAGCTGCAAAGCACAATGCAAAGATCTGCCATGTAGCCTCACCATACTATTGGGGCAAGTGATGTTAGCGAGCAGCACCGATTTCCATCGGTACCGCACACCAGGAGGTTGGTGGCCACCACGATGTCACCAGGTACTCACCTGAGGCTGAGTCGACCTATGGGAGGATCATGACTGGTTTAGGTAAGTCATTAGTGGCTGTGCGCGCAAATAAAACTTGGATCACTGGGTTTGTAATGCAGCGCACCTACCACTACACTACCACTCCCCACAAGCACATGAAACAATTTGTTATTTTACCAGGTAAGGCTGACAAGCTATATAGCTCTTTTACAGGAGTGACCTCGCCACAAATAGCTCAATAAAGTGGCTTATATGAAAATGTATAGCAGCCAAATACTCTAAATGCATGTTTCTAAATGTGGAGGGAAAAGCCTGAGGACCCGGAGGTTGGGTTCATACCCACGACCTCCTGCACACCAGGTGAGGGAGTTAACATCTCGTCACTGCAACGCCCCACATACGGCATCAGCTGCCATTCACCACTGGGAGTGATGTCACCACAGCACTCGTGCCAGCCTAGGTACAATACAATTTTGAAATGCATGCCTATACAGGCCACCATACTTCAATAGGGATTACACTGTTGGTACGGCTATTTTAATACACGCAATGGACAGGGAGGACAAGATCAATGGGTTCACATATGCTCATGCATCATGTACGTTGACTCAAGAGCGCAGACGTTTTGTCACCACGTCTACACCTCTATATAAGGAACACAACAGGTGGACTTCACAAATCTGGCTGTCGCCTGATGAAGCTAGTTGTAATTACTGGCGAAACGTCGTACTCAAATTGTAAATGTTGTGGCTTGGCTCTCCAACACACCGGCGTGCTGTACTAGTGACGAATTGGCATGTTTTGTTTAAGTGACAACCCTGACTAGTTGGCTGTGTCGGGTGGTGGCGGGTTTAACGACATTTATATATTTACGCAATCTAATCCAAAAAAACCTCTATTATGGAGCCTAAGTATACTTTGAGGCTATATGAAGTGTCGATGACTCACTGACAGGATGTCACAAGACAGACTCAGGTTTTAAGAATTTGTAATACGCTGGCAGTGGTACACTAACAAAAGTCACATTCGCCAATAATGCCCTGAAATGGAAAAATATATACAGGTAGTCCTCTTCTTACGATGGAGATGCGTTACGACGACCCCATCGTAAGTCAAAAATATCGTAAGTCGAAGATGGCCTAGCCTACCCAGGAGTCTTAAAGAATGGTGATAATTTAGCAAAACAGAGCAATTTACAGTACTGTATAAACTATATACTGTACGTATTTATTAATTACAATACTGTATTGCACAGTAAAATGTAAAGTAAAAAAACAAGGTAAATTCTTAGCCTACCTATATGAACTGCAATTTAATAGAAAGTTTTTTTCAGGAAACAATCCTATCTGTTATAAAAGCTTGGAACTAAAATTGGGCTTTGAAACACACAAAAAAATACATGCGCTAACACCGAGACAACTTAACTCCATCAACCGCTGGTGAGAGTGAGGCATCACACAAGGCGGGAGATGCGTACATCCCGGCAGCGTCCCAACGTACAGTATCGTACCTCATATGCTACTGCGTTTGCCTGCTGCACGAAATTTAAAATATTTTACAATTTTGTCGTATCGCCATCGTAAGATCGGAATATCGTAAGTCGGACCACCGTAACTCGGAGACTATCTGGAATAAGTAATGTTTTAGGCAATGGCCCTTCACTTACATCCACCAGTCTGGTCTCTATCTGCGATATGAAGGGCCATTGCATGAAACGTCAACCATTATATTTTTTTCCTTTTAAAGCAGTGTAATTGGCGAACGTCCAGGTTTTATGGATAAACTGAAATGTTAAACGCACTCACACATCCACTCAGCACCAGCCTCAGATCATTAACGATTCACATCAACACTTTCTTCTAATCAGCTGGTGTAAGAGTTACCATTTAATGTAACCTTTTAGACACAAAGCGAGTGTCTGTCAAATCCAATAACATTAGTTGTCCTGTCAATGACAATAAAAATACAACTTTGAAATATTTTTTGTAATTCTACACAATTCAAGCGCACTGCTTTATAGAACTGCATCGGTTCAGGACTTCACAAAGACAAAGATCCTCTGTATACTCTTTGGTTCTATTCGGTAAAGTCACGTAGGTAAAAAATAAAGCAAAAATCACGACGTTTCGGCCGCTTGTGTTGTGGCCGAAACGTCGTGATTTTTGTTTTATTTTTGACCTACGTGAGTTTACCGAATAGAACCAAAGAGTATGGATCCTTGCAGTCACGAAAGCTTCAAATCTAGAATCCTCTGTATAACCTTAACAGATGTTGAGAAAGTGCTTTTAGCGACCACCTATGAAGGCCAGCACAGCACACTAATGGGTGAGTGGCCAGCACCACGCCCGACCGCCTTTGTCTCCCCAGCGGCGAATTTTAGGCAGCACACCATGGAACTCATTTGAGGCCGAGTCGATCTAGGGGAGGCCCAGGACCGGTTCAGATAATCGTAGCTTGTGTTGGCCGTGATCGGGAATGGAACACGGGTCACCGGGTGCGTAGCGCAGCGTAGCGCTAACCGTGAGCAGTACTGGACCATACCTCCTGGCGCACAAAGACCTGGAAGAGATCCATGGGCGAGGTGGTGAAGGTCTCGCTAAGGTTCACGCGGCATGTCTCGAACTTGCCGCCGTTGCCTGGCCCCTTAGGGATGGACCCACCACCATATGCTCCCTTTGGAAACATTCAACACCAACAAGAGATTAACGTTTTATTTGGCACATCCACTGATGATCAAGTATAACATATTCACGCGCTTTTATATTTTATTGTTGTTCATGACTTAAGATATTACAACCCTATTATTTTTATACGTACAGGTTTGTTGAAGTCCTGACAGGGCCAAGGTTTCATGCAGTAAAGTTTCAAGCTTCATGGCGACTTTGACTAAGGCACTCTTGTATGGTCACCCTCCTCCTTCCTGCCAACTTGTGACCCCCTGACTTTGGAGAAGTCAGGAAATCCCAATACCTGCTTCTTCACTGGGTCCAGTTTGAGCTTTGGGGCCTGAACTCCGTTGTCCTTCTCTGCTGGAGCACCATCCTTGGCAGGCAGGATCATTCCTTGAGTGAACTCTGCACAAGGCACGAGCGTACATACATCAGTGGAAATTACGGGAATTACCGAACGATCACTCTTCCACATCGAGTGGCCTCGAGGATGTAAATTGCACGGCGTAACCATCACAAGGCAAATCACAACGAACCGTGGCGATGTTTAACGCTCTTTGGTTCGAAGCCACACAAGCACGACTTGCCTGATTTGACCTTGCTCATGTAGGCGGCGAGCGCTTTACGAATGCCAGCCTCTCCGGCCGTCCTCATGAGCTGCAGGAGGTCGGTGTCTGGCTCGCCTGACTTCAAGCTCACCGATACCTGTGGGGGGATTCGCGAGATACATTTTTGCAGGGGCTTTGAGAATACGATCGAAAATCAGCAAGTTAATAAACGCTAGACGAGAAAGATAAATCTCTTCCGTGGTTCTACGACCGCACACTGTGCTGGGAAACGCAGCGTGCGTGACGCTGGGAGATGTGGCGCACGTGTCGCAAGAAAACGAGGCATGCGCAAAGAAGCCTGGAGGTGCCACTTACGTCGATGTCGTCCACGTCGTTTTCCTCCGAAAGGTTGGGGATATTCACGATGCCGTTATACTTCACTCCGGTTTTTGATGTCCCTTTGTGAGCAGAAACATTTTCACTTCTTTAGAAGTGTTTTTTGTGCTTAGTTACGGATTACACACCAATACAATTCGGAATGTGTAGCTTCTAAATGCAATGTAAACTCAAGACGCCATACTGAAGCTGACTGCCATCGTGGTGTATTTTTGAACGTAGTGTTAGCTCCAAACGCAATCAGTGAACGGGGTAGCGCCAGGGCTATTGGATGTGGTCAGAAAATTAAGAGTTAAAAGTATTCAGAGAAACTCTTCAATAGACTTTGGTCACACCCTGTACAAATACTTTATGGGAAGTCACATTTACAGTCCATAAAACTCCTATTTCATATTTACAACAAATTAACTGTTTATAAAAGTACACCTTTGTGTTTATGGGTTGTGGAAAAATCTAAATGTAAAAAAATATAACAGCTATCTCAAGAATGTTTAAGGTTCAGTGTCACATACAAAAAAACACACATTTTTCACATTGGCAACTCTAATTTAGATTGCAGCATGCCATCAGCCCAATTTGTTTTGTAAAAAATATATATTTCCATATAAAAGTGCGCACAAACTTGCATTTTTAAGATAGGGTTGCTGGGCGACAGCACCCGAGGTGAACAACTTGTTTGAAGGCTGTGCCCATGAACTCATCCGACCTGGCGCCAGCATTTCTAAAGATTCCGTTTGGAACAAAAAAAATAGGATTCCAGACAGGAGGGGGCAGAAAGGCCCTGTGGCCATTTCCGCCTGTTGAGGGGACAGGAGGAGGGGGGGGGCAAAACAAAATGCTGACTCATCCTTTCTAGATTTAAAGCTTTCGTGACTGCAAGGATCCATACTCTTTGGTTCTATTCGGTAAAGTCACGTAGGTAAAAAATTTAACAAAAATCACGACGTTTCGGCTACAACACAAGCGGCCTTCATCAAGTGGCCGAAACGTCGTGATTTTTGTTGTTTTATTTTTTACCTACGTGACTTTACCGAATAGAATCAAAGAGTCTGACTCATCCTGTCAGGCTCGTAGCTAGATATAAGACAGGTCCTCTCTGAGGCGATTTTTCCCCGTGCCGTGTGTTGTGTCCTCCAAAGCTTCTTAAGGAAATGAATTCGTGAGCGAATCGTCGGCCATCACACCGAAAAAACATGGGAGAGTTAAGGGAGCAGCACAACCGCAAAACCCTGACGCAGTCGATGCGTTTGTTGTTTTGCGTGCGCGTGTGAACGCTTCCCCATCCTGGGGTCGCTAAGGTGTGCGTGCCCACCTTTCCACGCGAGGCCGATGTCCCACTCGTAGAAGACGATCAGCTTGCCCTTGCGGTTGTTGCAGGAAGCTTCGCCCTCGATGCGCGTCACCTCTGTGACCTCGCAGACGCCCTGGGCACCCTCCACCTTCACGGCTAGCAGCAGCTCCTTGAGGAGCATCTCGGACCAGTGCGTCACATCCCGCTCCGTCCTAGCCCCATCGCAAATCACCGTGGGTTAAGTGCATTTGTGACACAGACCGGCGCCTTAATTTCTAAATGTGAGGGAGAAAAAGTGATTTCTAAGTTAAATATTTGACCCCTTCATGACTTGCTGGCGAGTGTGACTACACAGTAAGGATTATGCCGGTGCAGCGATTCAATTGTTAATTCGGGAATGAATTATTTTATGGTTTACTTTGTACTTGACACTTGTTTACTAGTTTGAGTCATTTGTAGTTTTGTTCAGTCCATTAACCTAAGTGTAACTTTGCCATATCATTTGTATAAATTGCAATCAAGTTGATGCATGTATTATGAGCATAAGATTCAAGTTTCATCGATACATTGTGACATGCCCTCGTAGCGATATACCTAACCCCTGTCATCGGAGCAAGCACTGTGGTAGGAATTTGGACAATGTTCGGAATCGATGGTATTTGCTTGTAAAACAGTCACTTGATTGAAGCAATTCACTTTCAGGAATTGCTTCAATCAAGTCGGGTTTGGAGATGGAGCAGCCTGCGTGTCTGTATTTCTGGGGCAAGGTGAGAAACAGAAACAGCTCCTAAATCTCTCTTATATCTTCTCCATCCCGCTGCCCTCAAAGCATTGCGCACAAGCAGGTAAATATCATCAGCCGCATCACCAACCAACCGTTACCATCTGCGGTGCTTAAAAAGTAACCAAGTAACCTCCCCAGCCACCGCTTTTTCCAACTGATGGAAACGCTATGAGGACGTCTCAGCCGCGAATGAGCCGCTGGGGCTCGACACATTCTGGCCTAAACATCTCAGCCGTTTAAATGACGCAACACAAATGTATACGACAGTTTCTCTCTCTCGTAACTGCAAGGCTGCTTGAAGTTTCATTGAACGTTTCAAGCCACCATTTATTTCTCTTGAGATGACACTGCGTGGTCATTAACATATGTAGGCTTGACGTCGCACTCCCATAATGGGTCACCTGTAAGTCAAACATTTAATTCCCATTCATTCACGCTCACGCAAAAGGGCACAACCAGTACGGGGGCACGGCCAGTACGGTACAATGCCTGGACGTGCGGTTAACACAAGATCAGAGGGCGATTTTGCCTCATTGCCTCTTCCCTTCAGCTCCCCGACCACACGGGGTGCAATGCGTCGCCCCAGGCGCTAGGGGGCGCTGTGTTCGCATGTGCGGCGCTCGGGTGAAAAACAACAGCGTCCGCCGATCGGCACCGGGGGCAGTGTTGGGCCATGCGGTGCGACAGCATTTGTGTTAACGGGGCGAATCGTAACAGTTGCACGGCAACCATAATATAGTTTATATTGGGTTTTTTTTGTTGGGGGGGTGGGGTTATATCGCGCAAATAATAATGAGTCGTTAAACCCGTGACCACCCGACAGTTTTACGACACATTTATATTTACGCGATTTAAACCAAAACATATATATTGTGGATATTGGTCGCGAAAGCCTACGTGATAATAAGTTGCACGGCAACATGGGGAAGACCCACGGTTGGGGTTAGTTAGGAACAGGTTTAGGGGTTGTGGCGGTAAGGCAGATTGTTTGAGTTAGTGTTCAGGATCGAGTTAAGAGTCTGGGGTAAGCGATATGTTTAACACGTAGGCTTTCGCGACCAATATTATTCATAATAAATGTTTTTGGGTTAGATCGCGTTATTTGTAAATGTGTCGTAACCCTCCACCACCCGACACGGCCAAACAGTAAAAAATGTGTCACAACACACCGGTGGGCTAAAGTAGTGAACTATTTGTCCTTTGTAAACGTGACACATTTTTTACTGTTTGGGCCGTGTCGGGTGGTGGAGGGTTACGACACATTTATAAATAACGCGAACTAACCCAAAAACCTTTATTATGAGTAAGCGATATGGTTGGAGTTCGGGTTATTGATAGGTTGGCCAACCGATTGGCTGCAGCATGGTTACTCACGGCGTCTCACACTGGGTGCAAGAGCACGAACGATGTGGCCACGCACTGCCTCGTTTAAACGATAAGAGCCGGGGACGTGATGGCAGTTCAACGAAAACGCGCGCGCCCACCAGGGTCTCGCACAGGGCTCGAGTGGCAACCCAACCGCGACCCCCTTAACCCGTCCCACCAACCACAAACATCGTCAAACAAAAGGCGACGGCGCCTCCACCCCTCGACCATCCTTCTGGTACCTTCTCAAACGTGGGACAGCGCCCTCTTATCGACCCAAGCGGAACAGAGTTCCCTTGCCGTCTCTGCGTCTCAAGATATTCCAGTCACCCGTGTGTCGTTGTTACTCTGCCCCCAATACTAATGTCTCCCCAGACCCCTTAGCCCCGTGGTAACCCGAACCGCCGTGACCCCACTGGTTCGCGTCCTGAGTTACAGCTAGCAAGGTCCCTCTGGCTCCGAAATCAAAGCTCATTTTGATCCCTCCCCCACCCCACCCAATTACCTATGTTGTCCCTCTGTCTCCAGTCTTTAGATCCCAGGTCCTCGCTGTTGGATGTTCCCCAGGTATATCTCTCTCTGGTCCCCTCCGGGTCCCCGTAGTAATTCCCGATATCCCAAGTATTATTGGTGCCCTGGGTTTACTACCTCCCTTGGTACCATTGGCCTAGCTATCGAATCGTTCAGTGCAACTGCACCGGGGTCCACGGGCAGAAGGGACCCAAGGCCCCGGGATCCATGACGCTGAGAGGATGCGGGTGGTGGTGGTGGTGGGGGAGCATTGGAGAGGCGGCCCCATTTCCCTTCTTGCACCAAGGCCGACTCGCACCACGTTACGCCACTGCCGATCTCCGCCGAGTCGTCTCTCGTCCCACTGAGGTCTCCTTATCCACCCCCACCACAGGCAACGTAAGGGGCCTCCAAGGCGGCCCCAGCCCCCCCTATCAGTCAATTATTATTGCCCTAGCCCCCCACACTCAGCCACCCCTAGCTCCCAACAATTGCTGCTCTCCTCCTTTATGCTGACGACCCCCCACCACCACCACCACTTATCCCATCTCCCAGGTCCCCACGCCGCTAGGCTTCCCAACCCACTGCCCCCCCCCCCCCTCGACACCATCTGTCCCCGCCGGCGGCCCCCACCAGTGCCAGTTGTTGACGTTGGTCGCGTCGGCGCGCTCCTCCACGATCCAACGCGGGTCGCCCTCGCCCCACTTGGCCATGACAGGGAGAGGAGGAGGAGGGTTGGTGGTGGTGGCGGTGGCGGGCGGGCGGGCGGGAGCGGCTCCTTCCTCGCAGCGCTCGGGAGAATTTACGCGAGGCAACGGCGGCGGCGGCGACGACCGGAGAAGCAGTGACCAGGGGGAGGGTAGGTGAGGAGGAGGAGGCTGGTCGAGGGAGGGGGGGTGCTCGTTTATCGCAGTCGGCGGCGAGCAGAGCAGAGCGGCGCTGCCACCTCCACCACGCGGCCCGGCGACTTCACCTCTGACCCGGAAGGAGAGAAGCTTCCCGAACCGGCAACACGAGAGAAGCGGGCGGCGGCCCACAGCCAATTAGCGCGCGGCACCGACGCGCCACGCCAAGGCCACGTGGTTGGTCGTCGTGGTGGTGGTGCGGTGGCTTATGATGAGGGGGAGTCACGTGGTGGTGGTGGTGAGGGAGGGTGAGGTGCACGTGGTTCAGTTCATAGTTCCATTTATTTGGTATAGCCCTGCGAGCCATTCGGCTCTTGAATCGGGTGCAACCGCAACAAACAAGAAACAAAATACATGAACAAGAAAACATCTTAAAGTGACTGTGTGTGACTTGGTGCAAACAGAAAATCCAGGGGAAAAAAACATCAAAATATTCCTGAAAAAGCACCGTGCACCAACGCTGTGTGCAAAAATCCCTGTGAGGGTGAAGTGCGTTGGGTAAGTTAGTCACGTGGTCATGGTGAGGTGCGTGGTGAGGGTGAGTGATTCACGTGGTCATGGTGAGGTGCGTGGTGAGGGTGAGTTCATAGTTCATTTCATAGTTCATTTATTTTGGTATAGCCCTGTGAGCCATTCGGCTCTTGAATCGGGTGCAACCGCAACAAACAAAAAACATGAACAAGAAAACATCTTAAAGTGACTATGTGACTGTGCAAACAGAAAATCCAGGAAAAAAACATCAAAATATTCCTGAATTAAGCACCGTACACCAACGCTGTGCGCAAAAAATCCCAGTGGGATGCAAGTCAAAATAACAACAACAACCACAAGACAACTAAGATTAAGGCCATCAGTCAACTCCGTATTACAATAAACAAAAACATGGCCAAAAAAAACTTTTCGAAATCACCAAATAAAAGCCATAAATCCAATGTAACAGTGATCATAGGGACTGTGACCCAATTTTTTACAATAAACTATATAAATTAATTATAACACCAAAATCTATAGTGATTCACGTGATCATATGGTGAGAGAGGGTGAGGTGCCTGGTGAGTGAGTCACGTGGTCATAGTGAGGTACGTGGGGTCAGTCACGTGGTCATAGTGAGGTACGTGGTGAAGGTGAGTCACGTGGTCATTGTGTGGGAGTGTGAGGTGCGTGGTGAGTCACGTGGTCATGGTGAAGTGTGGTGAGGGTGAGTGACGTGGTCATGGTAAGGGAGTGTTAGGTGCGTAGTCAGGGTGGGAGTGAGACACGTGGTCGTAGTGAGAGAGCGTGAGGAGCGTGGTGAGGATGAGTGAGTCACGTGGTCATAATGAGGGAGAGGTGCGTGGTGAGAGTGGGTCACGTGGTCACGGTGAGGGTGAATGAGTGAGACACGTGATCATAGGGAGGGTGAGTGAGTCACGTGGTAATGGTGAGAGGGTGAGATGCGTGGTGAGGTGAGGGTGAGGTGCGTGGTGAGGTGAGTGAGTCACGTGGTCATGGTGAGAGAGGGTGAGAGAGGGTGAGGTGCGTGGTGAGGTGAGTGAGTCACGTGGTCATGGTGAGAGGGGGTGAGGTGCGTGGTGAGGTGAGTGAGTCACGTGGGAACGGTGAGAGGGTGAGGTGCGTGGTGAGGTGAATGAGTCACGTGGTCATGGTGAGAGGGTGAGGTGCGTGGTGAGGTGAGTGAGTCACGTGGTCACAGTGAGAGACGGTCAGGTGGGTGGTGAGGTGTGTCACATGGTAATGGTGAGAGGGTGAGGTGGGTGGTGAGGTGAGTCACGTGGTCATGGTGAGAGAGGGTGAGGTGCGTGGTGAGGTGTGTCACGTGGTAATGGCGAGAGGGTGAGGTGGGTGGTGAGGTGAGTCACGTGGTCATGGTGAAAGGGTGAGGTGGGTGGTGAGGTGAGTGAGTCACGTGGTCATAATGAGAGAGGGTGAGGTGGGTGGTGAGGTGTGTCACGTGGTAATGGCGAGAGGGTGAGGTGCGTGGTGAGGTGAGTTACGTGGTCATGGTGAGAGACGGTCAGGCGCATGAGGGTGAGAGTCAATGAGACACGTAGCTATGGTGAAATGGGGTGAGGTGCATGAGTGGTAGTGAGTGTGAAATCCATGCATGGCAAAATACTTTATAGACGTGGTCACTAGAGGCTGTAACTACTGCTGCCAGAATGTTTTATCTTGCTGTGGGGAGTTTGGACCATAAACCACGCTAAATCACGCCTCTGGCACCGCTTGCGAAATCTAAATCAGTATTTTTCATTTTCAAGAGGCGGTTCAAATGTTAGAGCAAATCGTTTTTTTTTTTTTACGCGCAAAAAAAGAATCGTTTACAATGCAATTTGCTTTTATAAAGTGTCGTGAGTTGTGTCGGTATTTGATGACTTTTACAGCAGAAAATTATGGGGGTCGAATGCTCCAAAGGCAATTGACGCGACCATTTTGACCGGTAGAAGTGAGAATTGAGACAATTCACAGATAGAGAGAGAGAGAGACACGGTCATAAGATGCATTTCTTGAGCCTGGATGTGAACTGGTGCGGAGACCCGGCAAGTGCAAGATATCCAGTGGGAAGAGACTTCTAGTCTGCAGCAGCAGAGAGAAAGACGCCTCATGCCGAGCACAGGTTAACCGAGAGCGTTGAAGGCCTTGGTTGCTGGGGCACGCTGCAATGTTGACCCAATCACTGCTCTGAAAAATACGGATATACTGTCATTATAATTCACAATGGCTTACGTTTCACGTGCAGACCTTGTTGGTAGCAGTGAAGGGATGAATGGTGGGTGACTCGACCGGAATGAATATAAGAATGTGTGCATGCCGGTGGAATGCACGATGATGACGATGCTCCCCAGCGGGATTTGTGGAAATTGATGTTAAGGCAGGACAATTGAAGGCCAGGTGAAATTGTGGCTCGAATGTGGTTTTGAATGGAGGTGAATTACCACTGCTGCTTTGCTGTTAAACATGAAGCCTGGGGTAGGACTGTTAACCCCTCAAGAGGACGATAATACATTTGCTGTCCTGAGGCAATTTCCCTGCGGTGTCTCTCATAGGATTTATTTTTTCATGGAGAACTTTCCAGAATGTTTAATTCTCCACGTATCCAATTATTCTATTCATTGCTGGTGTCATGCTGCGTGGCTTCTTCCAAAACCCAAGGTTCAATCATTTGCCTCCAGACCACCAAATGAAAGTGCCATTATTTTGAGGGAGTAGAGAAGTGGCACTGTGCCACCGTGGTATAAGCAAAACGGATCCGAGTTTGATTCCCAGCCATGGCTAACATCAGTGGCGAGTGACGTCTGACCTTGTGCTGGGCACTTTCACCATTCACCAACGTGCACTGGAACATGGATTTGGGTAGATCTTCATCCAGCAGTGGATTAACAAAAGCTCTGTGTGGTGGGTAATTGTCAGGCGTAATACGCCGCCACCACTACTGGAAAAAATGTAGCTCCAGTCAGGGCCCAACAGGGGGCAACAGCGGGTCCGGCCTGCACCAAGTAGTACTGGTGGGTAAGGCAATCTGGAGGGCGGTTAGGAACCGGAGGTGGACACCCCAGGCCCCCATTGGGGGCTGGGGGATTGCGCAACAACCTAGGTCCCTCCAGAAGGTTCCAGAGAGTGGGCGTGGCCAGGGGCGGAGTGACCCTGGGAGCCCCATAAAAGCCGGACCCCAGAGCGGCTCGGGCAGTCAGCGTCAAGCTGAAGACCGAAGAGCTCGCCTGAAGACTAGGACCCTGAAGATCCCTGGACCCGACGTCCTTATCAGGGCCGGGTCTGAGTGGGCCAGTGGTCGAGACCCGAGGACCTTGGCTGGGTCGGGTCAGCCTCCCCTAGGTCCCGTTAGCCGGAGGGCTAAGATTAGGTGGCTATACCTCCTCAGGTCGTCGGGTAGAAGGGGCCATTACCCCTTCGTGTTAGGGACCCCGTGTGTTATTGTTAAATAAATACGTGTTGCCTCCTAAAGAAGACTCCGTCTTCATACAACCCACTACACATGCGACAAGCGCATTTAACGAATTCCTCACGCTTAAAACTATTTTTGGAAGCGATTTCTTTGATGGCTTGGTGCAGTGGTAGTGAAGGCGGAGCTAAAAGGGGCACGCAGGTTAAGCCGTATGGGAGCCCATTGAGGCGTGACACTTTGGCGTAAGATGTGTGGTAATTGCAAGGTGGGAATGGAAAAATTACACGAACGTTAATTAATTGCTAAAAACAGCAAATATCGCGAAGATTATACGGTGCAGTCTTGAACATAGATATATTTGATTATGGTGGTGGAGCGGTGGAACAGTGGTTTGCGCACTGCCGCTGCAGCATTCACCAAACATTTGTTGTATATGTGTATGTAGACAACCGTGCTGATCGCAGCTGCGGGGGAAGGACAAAGAAAATTAACTAAAGCAGTTCGAAAGAAAAATTCGTTACAATCTCGATTTAAAAGTTCATAGCTCCGGTGGCTTCCTAATATCGGAAGAGCGTTCCAGACAGCCGCAGAAGCGCATCTAAAAGCGCGCGATGCAGTGACTCTCTTTGTTCGATAGCTCGCCAAAAGCCGCTGCGACATTGTTGTCCTCATGTCAATACTAGGCTCGTCATGAGGACGAGGAGGAGACAGACTGGAGGAAGCAAGGGAAGAGAAGGACAGATGGCAAAATTGTCACGTTTCACGTGTATCTGTGTAACCAGTTGAGAACTCGAGATACCAGCATGAGTCGTTTGCAAGAGTGACCTCGGGCACCTAATAGACTGGAAGGGATGAGCTCGGGCAAAGGAGAGATAAGAGGAAGGAAATGAAGGGGAGGAGAGATGGAAACAGACTGGAGGAACAGCGGAAAGAGATGGCACATAGAGTGGGGTGGAGTGCTTAGAAGGTGCAGGAAGAGGGGGGAGCAGGAGGATGGAAGAGCGACTGGAGGGAGGGAGGGGATGAGACTGGCAGGCACAGCTGTGCTCCGGTGCTGACTGAGATCTTGGAACGACGTATTTATTCCTATGGGAGCTGATGGGAAGTGTTGTTGGGGGAGGGGGGTGCTACTCCTCCACCAAGGGGTGGCGTGGATGGTTGGGGGGGTGCTAGGCTTGAGCTGCAGTGAGCGCTGTCT